AACTACGAAGGGAGATATTGATAATGTGAGGAAAAAAAAAAAAGTGAAAAAGATACGCAATAAACTATTTGATTAGGTATTGTCATCTGGAGGGGAGTAGCGGTAGCGTGTTGTGTGGGTTTTCAGCCAATTGCTCCGGGGCTAGGCATCGCAGCACGAAAAAAATATGTACCGTACAGTTCAGCACATGATGTCCTGCGCAGGAGTGCCGGGTGCGAGCAAGTGCGATGAGGCTAATTCCTCCATGGTTTGCAAGAAGGGAGGCAACTCTATGTATGCGCTAAGAGTCGCGTCAAATGTTTTAGATACCAAGCTCAATCAGAGTGAAAACGATCAAGAAAGGCGCGACAATGAAAGAAAAAACTGAGAATTGCTTGAATTTTCGCCAGCCAGCGACAGAACCATTCCTTTCACTCCCTTCCAAACGACAATGAGCGCGCATTTTGGGTAGGATCCTCAGCCGTGAATAAACAACCACCGAAAACGAGGGCGCATGCGATCGGCACGCATTGTTTCCCTCCCTCCCAACGCCAGACTGACCGAGGGGGCGGATGGATGCGGGCGGCCTGATCGCACTCCGGAAACGCCTTTCACAGATCGATTCCACTCCTTCTGTCTCCTTATCCCACTGCCAATATGGAAACTATTGGAAATAGGCAATTGGCAGGGCAACGAAGGAAGGTTTGGATGTTGTCCAACAAGAACAAGAACCCGGGGAATGGCATGCTGAATCCGAAGAATTCCCACGATGCTGGTGATGATGATATGGTACGAGTACTGTACGAGTACTTTGGCTAACTGAAGGATACGATTCCTTCCCTGATCTTTTATTCACCATGGACAGGCCTCGTCAAGCACATCCAACATTCTCGATCGCCACAGCTTCCCCGCGCCGATGGTGGAGCGCAAGGTGTAATGTATGCTACCTTACGCCCAGAGGTGGTACATCTCATGCATGTGTAAACACGGCGCAGCAAGTGTGTCGGATTGACCCCCGGGCGTCGCGCTCCACCTTCCAAGATCGATCGATTGTCCGCCAATATTCGCTCTTCAGCCCATCACAATCTCCCGGCTGTCTCGGACACAGACTTCGAAATATCCCTGCTTCATCAATTCCGTCTCTCTTTCTGTCTTTGTGTTTCCTTTTTCTCACCATTGCCTCACCGCATTTGGGAGCCGAGAATCTTCTTGAAACAGCAATTGCGCTTGAAATGAGGTCAATTGAGTCGGTGTGAACTCGCCAAGAGCCCCCAAAATCTCCTTAGCCGATTATCTACGTATTTGTACTCGTACAGTTCCGGTACTTGGACTCCTCCCTCACGACAGGCAAGGGTGGAGGTCAGTTGTGAGACAGCATTTCGAAGCAAGTCTCATAAAACCGCCCTCTCTCTTTCCTTCAACCGATTCGAACCGAAAATTGGTTCTCTTCCAGAGAATGAAAAAAAATTAAATTGGGATTTCTAAAGCGTTGGCAACATCAGGAATCGATCAATTGCAAGCCAATTGCAATCAACTGTGGCTACCTCTAGGGTAGTCAAAAGGGCTGAAAGTGGTCTCGGCATAAGCAAGGGGAGGGATATGGGACAATCTGTGTCTCCACATTACATACACGATATGCAGCTGGCATGGATATGATACCAGAAAGAAGGGTTATTATTCCGGACCCATGTTGCACAAATGCGGTTGTACGGGTACTCGAATACCCATTCGGTAGCGGTAAAACATCTACTGTGCGAGTACTCGAGCGCGATACAGTATTACCGGTATTCGCAACAGCGGGATTTGAGATCCCCCCTCCCCCCGGCCTTGGCGATGAAGAAGCGAATCGAAATTCCCCACGACCCCGGGCTCGCTGCTGAATTATGAAAATTGAATGGCTGGGAAGGTCAGGAAATGTTATGTGATTGATTGTGAGTGTTAGAATTTGGGGGGGGGGGGTGAAGGGAGGAAGGCGGGAAAAGGAAAAGAGTGGTGAGGCCTTCTGCAATGGGAGTGGGCCGGGATATCTTGAAGTCTATGTGGACACACGTGAGTGGCTGGACGGAACCCCAACAGAGGCCTGTGCGGGTTTGTTTATTTTTATTTTATTTTTTTCAGCAGGAATTGGAGAAGAAGCTGCAGCGATTTGCCCTTGGTGGAGGAGGAGATCTTTCGCTCTCTCTCCTTCGCTCGCTCCTTCCGCCATCCACCTGCTTCCCGTGCCTTGTAATCCCCGCAGTTGACTTTCCTTCCACCCTTTGCAGTATCGTATTTATTTATTTATTCGTATCATACCGGTACTCGAGTACCGCTATTTATTTTTATTTATTTTTCTGTTGTTTTTCGTTTCCCAGGAGTCTCCGCGCATCCACGTTCAGTACCGCACCGCACTGTGCTGCACCCTCCCCATAATCATTCCCCCCCCCCCCAGCTCTCTTGCCTCTGACCACACCCCTCCCGATCACAATTGTTGCAATTTCCAAGCCCTTTCTTGACCTCGCAGAAATCGTAAGAATTAGCCCATAGTCCGCTCTACCTGCCCCAATTACTCTCTAAACATTAGCTGGCCACTCAAATTGACCCTCTTTCCCCCAGTCTGCCCCCAGCTACTTCTACCCTTCACTCATCACCGAAGCTTCCCTTCTTCCTTCCTTCCTCCCTCATCCCGCAAAGCACCTCCACAGCGCGCTCTAGCCTCTCAATCCCTCTTGTGGTAATCTGCAAAGACGTGTTCAGCCAACGCTTTCTCTCACCCCCCCCCCCTTTTTCCTATATACCCAAAATAAGCAAGAAGGATTCTCCTTTCTTGTCGCCCATTCACTCAGTGTAAGGACGACGAGAAAACTTTCGGAGAATCACTCAGCTTGACAATCTGGACTTTGACGCTCGAGTCCCGATCCCCTTCAGTGTCTTCCCTTCGTCCTACGCATCACCAGGGGTAACAAAAGAGACTGTTGTAGAAGAAGAGATACACACCGAGCACCACCACGCTGAGCCTTCTCACTTCTCTTCTCACGGACACGAGCGGGAAGGTCACCATCATCACGAGGAACGATACCAGATTGAGCATCAACAGCACCAGCGTCAGCACCAACAGCACCCACAGCACCTTCAAGGACATCACGTACATTTAGCCCACGAAGACGAGGAAGACGAACACCTGGTTACTGAAACCGTCCGCGAGAGCCATCGCCATCACGAACTAGTTCCCCACCGTTCGCATACCCATATCGAAGAGCACCACCATCACCACAGCGACCACCCTCAGGCCCTCCAGGTTTACGTTAAAGAAAAGGCATATAAGGACGACGATTCCTCCTCCAGCAGCAGTTCCTCCAATTCTTCCCGCGGTCACGGTCACGGTCACAAGAAGCACAAGCATCATCTCCTCGGTCTCGGTCACGCGTCTCATCACGGTCACCACACCCATCATCTAGGTCACTCATCGCATCACGGTCACGACCATCATTCACACCACTCACACAGCCCTGCCGCACTACTCCACCGTGTTAAAGAGCACCTCCCCTCCCTCCACCACCACAAGGAAACCCACCACTCTCACTCCCACCACACTCCCTCCGTCTACGTCCCTTCCGTCCACGGCCACTCTCACACCGACCACTCTCACTCCCACCACCACCACACTCCCTCCGTCTACGTCCCTTCCGTCCACGGCCACTCTCACACCGACCACTCCCACTCCCACCACCACACCCCCTCTGTCTACGTCCCTTCCGTTCACGGCCACTCTCACTCTGACCACCCTCACATCGACCACCACCAACATCAAAAAGTTCACACATCCACCGCTGAACTCGAATTCGACAACGCGTCTACCTCTTCTCACACCAACTCCCACACTCACGCAGTACCTGTCATCGAGACTACTGTTGAGCGTATCGAAACTACCGCACCTTCCTACACCCCAGTCGTAAGCAAGTCGATTCACGTCGAGCCCGCTCCCAGCGTCTCCTCTGAGTCTACAACCTCCGTCCACAAGGAGATCCACATTCCCAAGCCAGCCAACTCTCTCAAATCACTCAAAATGGTCAAGTACGACGCCTACTCTTCCTCCGGCCATGATGACATCCACGCTGCCGAGTACATCGCAGGTGGTTCCAGCCACTACAACAAGCCTCATCACGACCTTCACACCTCCTCGTCGTCTCACATCTCATCAGCCCACGCCCAATCGAAGAGCACCTTCACCATCCCCTGCCACCACATCCGCATTGGTGATCTCGTGATCCTTCAACACCGTCCATGCCAGATCATTCGCATCACCACCAGCGCCCAGACCGGTCAGCACAGATACCTCGGTGTTGACCTTTTCACCAAGCAGCTTCACGAGGAGCCTTGTGTTGTCTCCCATCCCTCTCCCTCAGTCGTTCTCCACTCCTTGCTCGGTCCCGTCTTCAAGCAGTACCGCCTCATCGACATCCGTGATGATGGCAAGCTCGTCGCCATGACCGAGACTGGTGAGATCAAACAGGGTCTCAGGGTTGTTGACCAGGGTCATCTCTGGGGCAAGCTGAAGGAGGCTTTCGGCCACGGTTCCGGATCCGTTCGCGTCTTGGTCATCTCTGACCACGGAAAGGAATTGGCTGTTGACTACAAGATTGTTCACTTGGCGCACAAGTTGTAGAAGCTTCTGTCTCAGTTAAACCTTTTCATGTGTATGTGTGTGTTGTGTAAAATTCGATAAAGGAGCGATGTATTAGTTTTACGGCGGGTTGGCGGATATCGGCGAGACTTGTATTTCTTTTTCTTTTTGTGTTTTTCCCTGTCTTAGGTCTTGTTTTTGGTTATGAGTTCGATTTTTCTCCATGTTCATTCCATGCAAGAAAAGCACAAAAAAAACAAGCTTAGTTTTAATCCGGGAGATGTAGTGTTAAAAAAATCCAGTTCAGAGCCTGATTCTTCTCGTGCTGAAACATTTGCTGTTCGGTTCAATTGCATTCTTTGTGAAAAAGATGGCCTTCATGATTATGATTCCTCTGCACGACCCTCAACAAGTGTTCTTGTCACACGATGCTCTCGTTTTCCCGTTTTCCCGTTTTCCCACGCGTTGCCCTCGCCGCTTTTTTCCAAAAAATGCCAATGTTTGTTTTGATCCCCACCCCTTTTTCGCGTAAGCCGTGCCATAACCCAAGAGCGGCGCCAACTACCCCCATCCAGCAGGGGTCACCCATACACCAGAGGGCACATACGAGTACTCGTACTCTCGCACGGTAGTCTACACACCTCCAGCCATTCCGCCAACATCCAAGCTGAAGTGAACCTCACCCCCCTATCCCTCTTGTACCTCCCCGTCCCAGCTCGCCACACTCAACCCAACGCATCGGGTCAATGCAGCAGAGGACCGGTACGGCAACCTGCCACTTAAACCAGTACTTGTACCCTATTCGCACATCCCAACCTTACCTCGGGAGACCACCGTCCAAACCAAACCAACACGTCAATCAGTTATTACCGCTCTTTTCCCTTCCACTGCACTTCCACTGTAATCCACGACCACGAGTGCCTGCCTGGCCTTTCGGGCGATGGTGAAATCGCCGGAGCACCCGGCCGTATCCCGTCCTTGGTGGTGGTGGTGGTGGTGGGTGGCGCTGACGAAAGGGTTTTAAGGGGTTGGGCTGCTGATCGAATCCAGATCTAAGCTACATACGGCAAATCTAAAACGAATGAATTGGGATGGCTGGGCGGTTGGGGAGTCGGTAATTTTATATATTATTGCGAGTACTGTACCGGTATCAGAGAAGCGGCTTGTGTGTGGGGGAGAGCAGGGGGAGGTTGAGAGGAGGTCACTGGGAAGTCTTTTCCTTTTTTTCTCTCTCTCTTCCGCTTGCCGGTACTCGTACCATATTGTTTGCGCATCCGTGTTGGGCCCACCAGGGCCGGCAATGTGTGCGCGGACGGTCCGCGAGTGATTATCGTTGATTGGTGGGCTGTGGGGGCGAGTGATGGGTTGTGGTGTCTGCATTGGGAATCACTCGTCGTGCGAATCCGAATCATGTGCTCGTGTGAGTTGTACTCGTACGGTGATAACGCACCGGTAATGGGTTCCGACCTCTGTTTACTATAATCCCGATGCATATTCTTTTGATACGGTGGTAACATTGGCTTCTACCTTCAAGTCTTTCCGCACTAGGATCCATCGTTTTTGTTGGATTGCGTGGACCTGTGTTTGTTTGTCTGTTTGCCTGTTTGTTTATCGGCTAAGGTAGGATGACTTAGGAAATGTTTGTATAAAGGGTCTTCCTGCGCTTTGATTGGCTTCTTTTTTTCCCCTTCGCCATTTCTCTTCCAGTCCCTACGAATTCCTACAGGATGATTGCTCTGCTCCTTCTCGATTAGCCCCTACCTGGCCTGGATTTGGGGGGCTCAGTTTGGACACCTCCTGGTTGACACGAATTCGGTTGGGGTTGACACGGATATTCTTTCTTGGCACATATTGTCACCGGAGAATAGCTTTTCCGGCCCCGGATGGCTACGACACCCGTCTCATATCATACGCCGGTGAGTTTATTTGAGAGCGGGTGAAACAGCTCGTACAGGTACCGTTATCCAAACGACGCTCCATGAATTGCTGTATACATGGAACCTGATATCATACTTCATGCGGATCTTCGATACCACACTCTGGTGTTTGCTATTTATAAGAGCACTGTGCTCGTTGTGCCTGTGTCTCGGATGCTCAACTCTAACTTTATCTTTTCATGCAGGAGCCTCTCCACGTGCGCACACTCTCCCCTCCCCTCCTCCCCTTCCCCGCTTATAACGTGGGAATCCGCCAAATTATCGGTTTTTGCGGACAAGCAGCAGCAGGGTATTTCAATAGTGGCTGCTGCTGCATGTCCGTACCCTACGCTACTTTCACCCACCTATCCAATGCTGGCGATGCGGGACCCATTGACATCAAACAAAAAAAAAAAAAAGGTAACTCTGCTGCAGATACATTGACGACGACGCATTATAGCAATTGGTGCAATAATGGGGAAGGGGCTGAAAGCGGGGAATTCGTGGCACCAACAACCCGCTGTCGTACCTCCCAGCGTTTCCTCGCTCAAATGACAATTTTGCCCCCACCATTTGGCAGTCCGCCTTGAAACGTTTTATTCATTTTAACTTGCACCAACTCTTATATTTCCGAAAAATCTCCCCCCGCATGGGTTCTATGCGCCTACCTAACTAACTAACTCCACTTCTCACCTCCCAACATCCCTCTCAGACAATATGTCGACGTTGGTACCTCAGATCAGAGTGGCCACGCCAACAGCTCCGCCGATTCCGCAACGCAAGGACAATCCTGCAGTTGCTAGATTCTCGCTCACCGGGAAGGTTGCTATTGGTGGGTATATGTGTGGCGGGAGTTTTTTTTCTTCCCCTCCTAAAAGCCCTCTACTGACAAGGCATAGTTACTGGCGGAACGGGAGGTCTAGGGTTTGAAGCTGCGCGAGCACTCCTGGAACACGATGTTTCTGGCCTCGCCCTCTTTGATATCAACCACGATGTGGGTCTCCAGGCCGTCGAACGGCTGAAGTCTGGATTTCCGAAAGCCAATGTGATCTTCGAGCTAGTTGATGTTACGGATGCGGCACGCGTCAGCGCAGCTGTAAACGTGGTGGAGGAGGAATTGGGCTGTGTGGATATCCTACTTGCATTTGCGGGAATTGTTGGGTGTGTTCATGCAGAAGATATGGCGATGGAGCAATGGAATAGGATATTGGAGGTTAATCTCACCGGCTCATTCCTTTGTGCCCAGGCTGTTGGAAAGTATGAAGTCTATCCCGCTTCTGCAAAGCATGTGTGGTTCACGAGCTGGTCTGTATCAATTTCCCGAGTGGTATTTTTTTTTAAAAAAAAAAGGAAAAGAAAGACACCAAACCAACTCGTGGTCTGGATGGAATCCCCGACATGATTGAACCCACTACCTGAGTCGTTTTTTTCTTTTTTCTTCCTCTCACAGTTAACACCCCCCGCGAGCTAATCGAGCTGGGAAAAAAAAAAAATAGAAAAATGATAGAACAGGGCACGGGTGGATCCATAGTCCTAATTGCCTCAATATCAGGTCATACGGCAAACTTCCCGCAGCCGCAGGTCTGTTACAATGCGTCAAAGGCGGGCGTGATAATGACGGCGAAAAGTCTTGCGGCTGAGTGGGGACGATATAGGATTCGTGTGAACACGATCTCCCCAGGCTACATGGACACGGTATTGAACGAGGGGAAGGGATTGGACGGGCACAAGGCTCAGTGGTATTCTAGGACGCCATTGGGACGCATGGGAGGGAAAGACGAGCTTAATGGCGCTGTTGTTTTGCTCTGCAGCGAAGCTGGCTCGTTCATTACGGGCACGGACATCAAAGTGGACGGTCAGTTTGTCCCTTTCCCTCCATTCTCCGCCCCCTCAGGCCGTTCCGCAGGTGCTGAGTAATGGATACAGGCGGAATCACCACGTTTTAGATCACCGGGCCTGGCTTGCGCGTGTTATATAGGCAGCGCCTTCCGCACTATTGGTGGATGGAGGATTATTATAACCCTTATGCTAAGCCAATAGATTCTTAGGAAGCACAGTTGGATCATAGTACATCACTCGTATGATATAATGATTGGACAATTGGGTGGTTGGACGTGGCTTGTTTGGTAGGGCATTGCTTATCAGTACGGCCCGCTTGTAATAAGGTTCTTCCTGACTGCATCGCCTATGTGACAGTTGGCCTGTCAGCTGAGATCGCCATTCAAAGCTCTCGATATGAGGCTTAGCCGGCTGTCCTGCGCAGGTGCTGGTGCCGGTGCTTCCATTTCTAGAGAAATAGCAGAGCCTTATTCATTCTGAATGCCCTAATAGACTGAAGTGACTCCATCTGCCGTTGGCCATGATCATCGTCGGTACAGATATCTACAACAATTGACAAAAACTAAAACTTCTCCAGAATACAACACCCAGGGAAAAAGGGAAAGATAGAGGAAGCAGGAGGGGGGGGGGGGGGGGGTCTCCTTATCCCGTCGCATCACCGCTACCCATAACAAAGCCTTCTATAGAACCTTCAAGGAAGTCCTGTGCCGTTGGCATCCAGGAAGATAGTCCATAGTCGTCCGGAACCTCCGCAGCGCCCACAGGCATAGGCCCCAATTCGCTGAAGCCCAATCCATTGGCACAATCCGCCAACAGTGACGCACCCGACGACGCTTCTCCAATAGCGTAAACACTGAAGCTACCGGTGGGAGCGGGCGACGGGGGTGCCGACGGCTTCGCTCTCCTGCCCCATATGCTCATAACTCTCTGTAGAACCTCAAGATACCTGCTTGCACCATCCCCGAGACACCGGCTCGTTGCTGCTAGGCACTCCTCAGCCATTAATATATTCCCCGTCCATATCGCGGGTGGGGGAGTCTCGTCCACAGTAAGGATAGCAATAACGAGCACGAGCGCAGCTTGAAAGGAAAAATATGTGCAATACCAGGCAGCACCCCGACGCAGCGTCTGGGAGCAGATGAACGCGTGAACGGAGTGAATCGTCTGGATAGCTAGAAAAAGGCAAACCCCTGCCCCACTCTTAGTGGGCGCGATGCCCTCTATAGCTTCGGCCCTGACAGCGGGGTTCTTGAGGAGGGGGAGAAAGCACTTGTGCATTAGCATCCTGAAGTTCAGTCCTTTCCACACTATCACAGCCTTTGGCTCCGCGAACCAGGCTGGTGTCTCTGCGTCTGCGTTAAAATAGGCTGGAAGGGATTTCTGCCATGCTAGCATGCGCTCGTCGAGGTTGCGGATGAGGTCGCGGGATGGCCGGAGCCCGCGGTATGTGAAGAAGCTACTGTGGATTTGGTTTGCGAGCTTCACGAATTCACAGTGTGTGATGATGGCGGAGTACGTGGTGCATGAGGTTATGGGCCGGGGAAGTGATGATTCCGGAGCTTCCAGGTCCTAATGAATAGCAAGTCAATGTGAAAAATTTCCCGGGGATAAAACAGAGAGGCCGTACCCCTTCATGGATGTTTAGGGGAACCCGCGTCTCCACGCGGTCACTCATGATTGTTGGCCGGCCGAAGGTGATTGAGGACCCAACATCAAAGCAATAGATCACCCACCATATCCGTCTGCGCATTTCCCTTGAAAGAGTATTGGCGGCCAGTGGTGTTTTCTCCGTGAAATCCCGATGTAGCCCCAGGCCGAGCGCCATGCGAATCGCTACACCCATCATATTGTAACCGGTGTTGGGCCGATCTCGCTTTTGAAGGAATTGGCCCTGTAGAGGTTAGCCGACGACAGTGATTCGGCCGAAAGCCTTACTACAAACCATCAATGCTAGGGTTTGTATCTGCTCTAGAGTCCCTGATTCAAGAATACCGATCGTCGAGAGCTCTTTCCGAACCGTATACCAGATCTGCAAATCCAGGCCCTGATCCTCATCTGGAGAGCCCGCATATGAGCAAAAAGCGCCCATAGTAAGGACCATATAGTACAGAAACTTCCATTGGGGAGTGCTCAGAACCTCGGAAAACACAGCGCACCTTGACCGGAATGTCTTTTCGTGTATCAGGGGGTAGGAGGGGTGGTACAGGTAAAAGTATGAATCCACCAGAGCCTGCCGAGCAAACGAAGAATTGAGCCTGTGGGCGATATCAACGCTCGGGGGCGGGGACGTAAGAATAGTTTCTGGTAATAGCGGGCCCTGGTAGTACCGAGTGACGAGCCGTTGGATTGTCCGTAGTAATGCTGCTCCGGAAGACGTACCTAAAGCCAAGCCAAGACAGCACACCGCTTAGCCAAAGCCATGCTGCATGAATTCACCCAATCGGGCGGGGGCGGGCTGTATTAGATAACCTACCAAGATACCCAACATCTCTAGCATCAACATTCAGTGAAGCCATCCCATCCGACAGCCCCACCACCGCCGCATCCCCTCCCCCGCTGCAGGCCCCACCAGGGAGCTCATCACCCTCGCTCTCCCGCCACTCAAACCCACACGCACTCTCCGGCGGTGCCTCCTCCTCCTCCTCCTCGCACTTACGCATGTCCTGGTAATAGAACTCCATCACGCGCATTGCATTGCTGTGCTCAGCTGTGGCCGAGCTTGTTGCCGTGTATCTGTCCGTGGATAGGGAGCGTTCGATGTCCACATTGGGGTCTATGGTGCGGAGGAGGTGCTCGAGCTTTGCACAGCGGAGTTGGAGCTTGTCGAGATTTCTACACCGCCAGTTAAAAGGAGCTGTTCTGGGGGGATCAAGGAAAGGGGGGTGGGGGGATTACTGGCGGGTGAGGGGAATTCGGGTTGGCCGAGCTTCGTATATACATCGACGGTTGCTCTTTTCGCAGAATTGACAGGGGGATTCGCCGGAGCACTGTGTATCGTTGTCAACAGCTTTAGTGTCGGTACCCTTTTCTTCGGGAGTGGGACGACTGTGTACCTTGCCCTTACGACGCTGGGATTTTTTTTCCCCGGGGGTCAGCTTGAGCCTTTATCGAATTCTCCGCAATTCTGCGAGACCTCTCGAAATATTTACCTTGCATTCATTACACTGGTTCTCAAAAGATTTCCAAAATCCCGTACGGGCAGATCGCCGAACATTAGTCACGGAACAAAAAAAAAAGGGGGGGCCTCATCGTCGTGAAGGGATTCATAATTACCGCCCAAGGAGTAGTATTCGTAGGATTCGACCTTCCACGGCGCTCGGGCATTGCCTCAGCCATTCTCGCAGACAGGGGAAGAATGTATATGTATGTAATTTCAAACGAAGGTTCTGAACGTTGTTTGTGTGTGGATAGAGGGAGTTTGCTTCTACCATGTAGCAACAAGGTAGAGCAGCCGTGCAGACGTGGGAATGCCATAAGCTTCGCAATCAGTTGTCATTGTTTTTGTGAGCGAACGAACGAGAAAAGGTGAATGCCAAGATAACGATTTATGGGGTCGATTTTTTTATTATTTTTGGGCAAAAAAAAGTCAATTGCGGGTTTTTATGGTGCCTGTAGAGTATTTTATATTTATTTTTGGGTTTGACCTTCGATTCTAATCCTTAGCTCATCCGAGTGCTCGTGTGTAGCTTTGTTTCTCCCTCATCCTCATCCTCCTCACCCTCCCTAGCATCGCGTCTGGCTGCCGAGTATGATCCGTGTGCGAGTTAGTGAGCGAGTGGGCAGTACCGTAGGAAGGGGGGAGGGGGGGGGGGGAAGTGGGGATTTCAGTGATGGCGGGGGTTCCCTCCTGGCGCCATTTTGCGCGGATAACCTCTTTCGGGATTACCGCCTCGAAATGAGCGTTCCCTGCAGACGGGAAAGGAACGAAATATGGGAAAGCTAGCCTTAGATGAAGTAAGCTTTTGCTCGGCATGCGAGGGGGGTGGTGATGGTGGTCCTTCATCGCCAGTAATGCACCGGTACGGGTATTTCCCTGGGGGTGCTGGCTGGCTATGATACCAGTGATATGATGATACGATACATTAGTGATTAGTGAGTGGTCGGGGGATCACTTCAAGTTAGGGTACGATAGCGCGTGTATGGATAGTGCAGCCTGTAGCCTGGAGGGGGCGAGTGGTTTCGCTGCCCGTGGGTCGTGTCAGCCCGGTGTACAGTACAGTACAGTACAGTACAGTACCGTATGATGCAGTATAGTGTGTGCAAGAATCCCCGATCAGGACTGCTGAGTGCGAGCTGGTTGAGCCCCACTGGTCGGCTGCAGCTACAGGGCCCGTCCGCCTAACCGTCTGCGTCTAAAGCCTATATATCATGGTGAAAGTGGACGGTCACGTCATGGCGGGAATCGTGTTACAACAGATGGCTGAAGAGTGTTCATCTACTGTAACTTTCAACCATCTCCATCTGTGGGTGAACGGACCCGCAGTACGCGGTTTTGGAAATTTCTGGGAGTCAGGAAATGAGCGATCGACAGCTTGTTTGGTGGAGGAGGTAAAACGACGACGGGATCCTATTACTCGTAGTATCATACAGCGTCGGACACTGCAGATCCACACTTGTGTTGATTCGGCCCCCGCTTATTAAGCGATAGACCACTTTCCTCTTTGGGCCGGATTGGTTGTACTCGTATGATAGTGGGGCGGTGATCGGCAGCTTTATCATCTGATTGGGTGCAGTGCGGGCACAGAAATAACGAAACATTGAATAGCCATACCGTCACGGGAGGTACCTCTGTAATTCTCAGGACAATGGCGAGGTGAGCATGCTTTTACGGAAGCCTTTGAGCTTAGGCGCTGTGATTGTTGGGCTACGGTAGGGAATTTTGGAGTTGGGGATGATTGGGGCTTGATTTTTTGCATTGTTCGGTGCCGCATCATGGCTGCCTCTGAGATGGTATCATACCGTGTCAGTGCTGTTATGATACTGTTACCCGTGCATTCGGTATGACATGCCGCCGTTGGTCGGGAGGGGGAAATTAGGTGTTGTATGACAACCCATGGTTCTTGGTTGAACTAGGCCTTGGGCTCCTCCTATCTTGAGGAACTTCATCTCCTATCGTAGTCTACCCAGCGCAAGTGCTCCCCTCCGTCCATACTTTCGTGGTAACGGCCCACACAGCCTTGGGCTTGGAATTCTCGGGGAGGTACATTTGGCAAAGTGGTGGTCAAGACGATCTTACGGTAAGAGGTTTTTCCCTTTAGCTCACGTTATTTACCCTCAAGTATTCCTAGGGGGTTGCACGCTGAATCCAAGGAGGTTGGTCGATCGTATGATACCAGAGGGGCTCCACAGGAGGGAGGTTTGGGGACATGATGGCACGAGTGCAGTGGAGCGGACCTGCGCAAAATTTACTACACGTGCCGTACTGGGTGGCGTTTGTGAACGCGGCTGCGATTGCCTAGTGCCAAGATCCGGGCCGAGCGGCCAAGATTTCGCGGCATTCAGTAGCGGTCCTGTTCACCAACACCAACCCACAACGGGTGTCGAACTGCCTATCGTAGTCTTGAAGGAACAACCTGAATGGCTCCTGAAACCCCGAACCGGGTCGCGCGCCTCTTCCGACCGAAGCGACCAATGCTGATGTATCATAGCCGCTGATCACTAATCACGAAATATGATTCGTTGCCTATTTGGTCGTGAAACGATTCACAGGGGGCGTGAAAGTACCCTAATGTCTGGGCGAATCTTGTGCATTTGGGTGATTGTTGGCTCGAGGCAGTGCGGGGGGCGAGGCGTAGAGGAAGTGTCAACAACTGTCAAAAGCCCCCCATAAGGTGCACCCGGGATAAGAGAAGGCTGGGGAACCCAGCCCGGTATTTCTACCATAACTTGGGACGAGCCGCGAGTCGCGACAATTTTTCTTCAACCTCTGGCGAAGCTACGGAAGGATCCTCAAACTGTTTCTTGGGTGCGGCATAGGCGAGAAAGGTTGTCCCCTAACTTGAGACTTTGCCGGTGTTGGGTTCACACATTTCCAGGCGGAAAACTAACTTGGTGCGCAGATGGGGTCTACTTATCGCCTCGAACAGATGCTTCCCCAAAACTACGCCCTCGCTGGAAGAGCACGACTTGGGATCCTGCTCATTCTCGCCCTCGCCTGTAATGCCGAAGCAGCCGCAGGAGATTCCCCGATATCATCGTCCTCCGATGTTTGGGCCACACTCGTGGCGAACATCGCCCCACTGCTGGTCCTAGTTGGCGAGAAGCACGTAAAGGCATATTTCAAAAATATGTGTCGGCCATCACATCACTTGCTCTTCGCCTCTGCGCCCATAGGGCTTGTCACCGCCGTAACTACTTTGATCCGGCTGAACGGCACGCCGGTGCTCAAGCGGATGATTGGTCGGCAATTTGAGACAAGGTCAGAAGTTCTCGCCGATGTGACTTCCGTCTCTGGGGGTGAGGTTGGATTGGAGCTGCGGAATATGAACCTGGAACAGACTATCCAACCAACCGATGAGGATCTGGCCATGTTCTGGGTGCACGGGAGAACGGAAGGATCGCCGGAAGAGGTTGCAAACACTTTTTCGGGTTGGATTGGGACTCTCATGGGAATTGGCTATGCGACGGCCAACTCTGCCTCTTTATATTACGATAGAAGGTGCTCATGGGAGATGATAATGTCCTTTAAAGCCACGGGCACCTGTGCGCCCTGGGTTGCCAGGCAACGTGTAGCAGAATCACGTAACTTGTCAGAGCTCTTGGACCAGTGCGAGAAGAAGATTGCTGCGGAAAAAAACTCTGGGGGCATAGCGACATGCACGGCGTCGGCAGCAGTGTATGCTAGATTCACTGACGTTTCTTTGGGCTTGACGGCTAGTATCAACCTTGACGACGGAATATTGGAGATGATGAGGTACACGGTTATTGCGTTCTGCTTGATGGGGAATGTCGGAATAATTCTTGCGTCCTGGTTCCGGGGCCGTGATCCAAGAGATGTAGGACTTGTGGGTGCGGGGCTTTTTGTTTCCTGCGCTGGCTCTTGGCTCACTGCGTGGCTTGTTGATGAAGCGTCGGAGGAAACGGTTCTTGATATGTCCCAGTTGTCAGCTGTTGCCTCAGGCTTTTTTTCGGATAGGATTCCAGAGGGAACTGAGCTCAGTTTCTGCCCTAAGAAGATTGGAATCTCAACCGATGCTCGCCCCGGGACAAGGCCAAATGTGGCCAAACTAAGAGGATGGATGTCTACAGTAGCTGTCGTCTTAATGGTGCTGGCGTATACTGGGTTATACCTGGGATTACGATCTTCTGATTGGTGGGTCTCACTTGCCATGCTCGGGAACGCAGCTATTGCCGGAATAGCCAGGTCTATCCTTCTACCTACAGCCCTGTACCTAGATTCACCGGGTCTCCGTTCACCAAACCCGATGACTTGCGGTATTGGGTATCCCACGGTTCGAGACGATTTGTCTCATCCAGACAAAAGCAACAACAGTTCCCTGGATATAAAGGCTGGCTCTGTGCCGGGCCAGAGCCAGAGGGTTCTCTCAGAACCACTTGATGTCGGGCTGTACGAGACCATAGCCCGCGAATATCGTTACAAGGGTGGGTCCAGAGCCTACGACAACCTACACCCGTATATATGGACAGCTCTCGCGTTGGCCACCGAGATGAGCAAACGGGGAATCGCACCGCTGGAAATGCGAGACTTCCCCCCACGGAGCGCCGGGGTCGCCAGCGCACCAGAAGCTTCATGCATATTTTCCGACATCATCACACGAAAAGGGGTATGGCGCCAACCCCTAGAAGTTATACTCCATTCCGGCGGCCAAGATGTGCCCGAAAGAATATTGGCCGCTTTCTGGGGCTGGTACTGGCGGGCATCCGTTCATCAGGCGCAAAAGGTGGCCAGCATTCAGCTTCCACCAGATTTGGCGAACCGCTTCATTGACCTAGGCGACGACGACGAAGCGAAATTTGATACCCCGACTGACAAATTGAAAACGGTTTTGAGCTCCTCCACGACTCCTAGGGAAATTTTGTGGATGGGAGCGAAGCTGTGCTATGCCTCTTGCCATAATTGGGATTCGAGCGCGTTCGAGGAGGCCGGGGTGACTTGGTTTGGTGGGGTTTCGCCTCAGTATTTAAGGCAGGGGCAGATATTGTCGTTTTTGGATGCTATTGTTGCAGCAGGACTCACATGCCCACGCGCATGATAAATAGCCTACCTTTTCGTGGATGTGGGATGTGAGGGTATTGCCAGTAGTCAGTGCTTTTCTCGATAAAATTTGTCATTTCCCCTGCTTTTGGCCATAGTTTAGATTACTTGTACTACAGGGTAACTTGTATATATCAAAAATGAGCTGGGTCGGTTTCCTCCTTCTAGAGAAGGTTCCTGTTCGCCTTGAGTGACTTCAGGCACCTTTGAAGCGTCTTTGGTTTTTTTTTTTTTTTTTTGGAAGGAGCCTTGAAATTTCGCCTAACTTAGTTCATCACAAGCCTAGGCAATAAATAACTACCGTTATTCTTGTTCAAATACCTGGGTATGATATCATACTAACAGAACCTAACCAGCCAAAGCGCCCCTATCCCGGGAGGGGGTATCTTCTAGAACATTCGACATTTCAATTGGCCCATCCAGCAATCGTGCCACGACCTACCGTAACCTATGATAAAACCGCAGGATCGGGAGGGAGTCTCTCTCTTGGGAAGGACACACCAAGTATGATATGATATGATAGACTATCGATTTCCTGGAGGGTTCGATCCTTCAGGTTAGTCGAAAAGTTTCCAAGTGTAAAATTTAATGTAAAAAAATAACATTTTTTTTTTAAAAAAAGGTTAAAATTCCGCCTCCTCCTCCTGGTCTAGTCTAGTCTAGTCTAGTATAGTCGACGGTGCGGTATGATAGACGTCCCATCTAAATTTAAAGATATCTCGAAGCAGGGTTCTAATCTGGTGAATAGTTTTCACCTCCCCACTGAGGTCTTGAGGTGCCCCGTCGGTGCGATACTACGGTACCTTATTATAATAATATTATAACATCTTACATATAATAATACTCGATTGACATTTTCCTTAAGCGGGTCTGGCAGACGGGGGGGACGGGCTAGAGTTGTGGAACCCTCCCTACAAGTGAAATTGTATGATGTAGTGTCTCCCCTGAGAAATGAAAGGGTTTGATAAAGGAGGGGGAATAAGATGTATCGTAATCCCGTCTAGGAATGAATTTGCGTACATGGGGGGCTTTTGTCGACTTCTTGTGTGATGGTTTCGTGGTTGAGAGGCTGGTCACTACTGCTATGATACTAATGTTTATAGAAGGGGGGGAGGGGTCGACGACTGAACGTTTGACATGATGTTGCTCGTATGATAGTCACCCGCTTCTTTTTATTTTTATTTTTAGCGTCCATTTCTTTGCCCGGTGAACCGGAACCATTCCGCTGCCCATAAGATTCCGAATAGGCCTATCTTATTCGATCAAGAGCTCCCGGGGATAGGCGCCATGTGTTTGTAGCAAAGCTGGTTATAGCAATGGCGGCTCAACATATGGAAGGGCCAATGTAGGGACGAGAGTGTGAATAAGGTGGGGTTAGTAAGGTATGGAGGAGTGTAGGATTCATGTAGTGAATGTGGGTTCTAGAACGAGTGATGGTTGATGTCGTGAAGGTCATTGTCCTTGGAAGGTCTTAACGTTTGTTTATTTGACACACATGGGATTGGAAGAAGGTCTCAGAATGGCACTAGAAGTTGGATGGGACTTCACCCTCCTGAAAATTGCGTAGGCTTCGGTAAAAGTTTGATATCTATTCCGAAGTGGCCCTAGGTGGGGACTAACCTGGAGCGAGAAAGCGGATGCTATCTTGATGGTTGTTTATGGTTGCCATGGCCAAGTTAGGGGCTATTTGGCGGGGCCGGATTGCGATTTGGGGTCACGGCTTCGGATCCGTGTGTGGTATGACAATAGTGGGAATTACTGGTAAATTGGAGTGTGATTAATAATCAAAGTATAAGTCGCTGTCGAAGTGGAGATGCCAACCTATGATACCCAGCCGAGCCTGCTGTGTGCTAGGTAAACTGAGTCAGTTGACTGACAGGTATAGTATCCCATGGTATGATACCGGTACAAGTACTGTCTTCGGGAAATATGATTGGTGGTCTGGTGGTCTGCAAGTGATTATGGGGCTACACAACCCAAAGGCCGAAGGGAGAAGCGGCTCGGGGGGAAGTTTGAGGTGAGAAGAAAGGATGTAATATGAAGGAGGGTAATGAATCGAGAAGAAGGGGGGAAGGGGGGGAGGAAAAGGCGAAAGAAAGGCCGGAAGAGGAGAAAGGTAAAAATTTGGAGAGTTGGAGTATCACTATATTGTTCTGTCCCTAGGGGATATATATATATATATATAAAGAATCGTATGACACTCTCTAGATAGTGATACCGTGGAAAGATTGATCCTACGGATATGAGCTACCGTTAGCCTTCCTTGCTTGCTGGGAGCGGCCCCTGACCACCCTCGACGATGCCGGGACCCTGGAAAAGCGGGAGCAAGCAGGAAGACAGGAAATCTTCCATGTAACACGACTGAGCAAAGCACTTACATTGAGCGAAGGTCTGCCTGGGCAAGCGGTAGCACATTACAAATATGATTCCGGGCAGGTCCCTATTTCCTTTTGCCTCATTCAATATTGAAGAAAGGTGATTTCTGGGAAAGATGCCCGGCCTCTGATTAATATATCCCCCCCCCTCCAAAAAAAAAGAGGGAAACCTTGATGGGCTCTTGTTAATCAATGGAGGGTTGAGGGCAAGCTGGTTGCAGTGTGATTACACGTCCGAGGCAAACTTTCTTCTTCAAAAAAGAGAAGAAATCTAGGGTCAGTCTTCTTGAGTAGGTACTTTCTATAGCCAGCAAGGTGTAACTTGGTCGGTAGTTTGAAATTCCATTTCGTGGTTTGGAACAACTGTGCGATTGCGGTATATTGAGGACTTCGATCAGACTCCCCCCTGTACGCATGTATCACACCTGTATGATACAAGCCTAACAAAATCTTACATCCGCTCTGAAGGGATAACTCCAGCTTAGTTTGTCTATCCTAGTAGCCCTTTAGCTATAAGCACTAAGGTTGAGAGGACTGCAGTTAGTGAAGACAGTTCCCCGAATCTATGTATTTGCCCCAAGAGCGAGGCCTGAGGTGCTACTCATCCCTGCCTTCGTTTTTAATGCTGAAGCAGCTTTGGGTGGTTCTCCAATGTCCTCCTCCTCCGATGTTCGGGCCGCATTTGTGGCGAACATCGACTCCCTACTGACCCTAGTTGACGGGAAGAACGTGAAACCGTATTTCAAAATTTATGTGCCGGCCATCGCGCGACTTCCTCTTCACTTCGCTCATAGGGCTTGTTACCGCTGAAACTGCCATACTTTAATCTGACCGGACGTGCAACTACCGCTCAAAAGGCTGATTGGTGGGTGATTTGAGTCGAGAGGCGAAGTTCATGGCGATACGGCTCCCATCTCCGGTGGCGATGTTGGGTTGGAACTGCGGAATATGGGCTTGGAGCAGACTATCCAGCCAACCGACGAGGGTCTGGCTATTTTTTTTGGGTATACATATCACGCGAGAGCCAAGGGAACACCGGAGGGGGTTGCAAAGAGCTTTTCGGATTGGACAGAAATCCTCATCCGTATTTCCCAAAGCGGTGATTGAACCTCCCTCGTTATAAACAAAAAAGTCCATACCAAAAAAGGTCGGAAAAGCGGCATTCCTACGGCCTGCCAAAAGGGGCCTTCTGGACGGAAAGCACGAATGACCGCACGAAGAAACTCTAGTAGTAGTAAGGGGGCTGGGAAGGAGGGATAAGAGCAAGGCCAGCGCCCTCCGTAATTCAGATCAACCACTTCTAAAGGTTGACATAAGGTTTCCAGGAAGCCCCATCCTACCCGCATTATTCGGCCTCAGCATTACGTTTGTTGCCATTCCCACCCACTACCCAATGTACAAAACCCTCGTTCATGATTCACAATGTGTGAGCAATCTGCTCAAACCTAAGGGGAAAAGTAGGGAATCTACAAGGGGTGGCGGGGTGGGGAGGGGCATTTATCAAAAACAAATTCGACATCCTCAAGTTGCTCAGTGAAAGCCCTTATTTTCCAGCATCCTTGTAAATAGCCACCCACGAGGGGCCCTCGTGCTGAACAGCGGGAACATGCGCGTTCGATCTGGTGGTGGCTGGCCGTGAGCCATAGCTGTCGGGATGTGCAATGGTGAGAGGTGGGATGGGGGGCTGCCAGAAAAGCAGAATACGGGGTATATAGTTATAGCTCACTCGATTGGCAGTCCCATCGATTGGACCAACGTACCGGTAGCGCAGACCTCAACGGATCAAATGCATCTGCTGACCGGTGCCCGGGGACGGCAACGAAATCACGAAGATCGGAAAGCCGGATGCGATGTGGAAGGTTGGGACCAGATGGATAGTGGCTAGGCAGCGAGTGAGTAATCATGATTGCATACAGCATGGAGGACAGGGGCGGGTGTGTCCGGATTTATTGCGTTCCGGCCAATGCAAGCACGTAAGCGGGGAATAATAATGATAATAATCACTGTTTAGCCGTGTTACTGAAGTAGAGTATCATACAGCAAACTTTACTATTCTCTAGTCCATCCTGCCGAGTTCTGACGGCACCATGCTGTTGAAGCCCTCACTTACTCATCCAAAAATTACGCTACACAGCAAGTATGGAATTCTTATCATTGGTTCATCAAGAGTTTTTTTTTGAGGGAGATGGAGGGCTTTTAGCTATTAGTGGTGCGGAGCAACCCCACAGTATCGATATAGTGAAACATAACAGCCACTTCCCCTTACCACACCATCCAGTATGATACGGTACGAGTACTCGTATATTTCCTAGAATATGTCCAGATCTAACGCTAGAGCTCCACATCCACAGGTACGGAATTAGTAGTTTAGGGAACTTTTTGAGCGCCCCTTCCAGCGAAACCAACGCATCTACACAACCGCAAACCGGTCGTCACGAGCATTCTCCGTGGAAGGGTTGGAGAGAGATAAATAAAATTGGTCAGCAGTGACTGAGAATTATTCCGCATAGAAGCGGGCACATCTTATAACTTAACTCTCGCTATCGCAAGGTTTGGTGCGGCCGGTCAAGACTCCGTTCGCTACGGGTGCGGACACCAGCTTGAAGAATTGGGCGAGGGGTTACGGGATCGATGGCCACACACATAAGATTATGATGCTATACTGGGGAAGGGGGTCGTAATGGTGAGGAATGGTCACCTTGTATTGTAGGGAGATTTTAGGTTCTCGGTGTTAACCCCGGAATGTATGATGTGAGAGTGCGCTTGCCCCAATACCCTCGCCTTGGGCGCGATATCGACGGGCATATCATATGATACGACAGGGTGTCTGTCAGTGAGCCCAGACGTGCCCCTCGGTGTTGAGGTCGATGGGGGAGGTTTCCCCCCCGCCCTATAGCATTATGGAGCAGGCAAGTGTTGGTGGAATCGCCATGTCTTATTTCGCTCTCTTTACTCTTTGACCACACCCCTGTTGTTCCTCTACCCAAAACAACTGATTATTGGCGTCGGGTATTTGATATGGAGCCTGGTCCTCTGGAGCCACATCCATCCAGCAAGAGTTTGTAGTATGAAATCGCTTGGTATCGCTCGGGATGTATAGTACTCTTCTTAAACTTGAATGGACAGAGAAAGACCCCCTAGCTATATTCTCCTCAGAAATTAAAGACCGGGAAAACCTGATCCCATATAAATACCCCCCCTCCACGTACTGACCCCTGGATAGCTCAATTGGGTTACAAGCAGGAAAGCCTCCGAAAAGCCATAGAGAAAAAAGGGAAAACAGGAAAATAGGTTTCCCGCACCACCACTTAGCCCTCCATCGCTTCAAGGATTCGGTGGATCGGTGCGTTCCATTCAATAATGCCTAAACCTCTGAATGAGACCCGAGACAAACCCGCAAGCAAGCAACCTCACGAAACAGGAAAACGAGCACAAGATAAAGCTCACCTCCGCTTCTTCGGATTAACCATCCCCCGACACCCCATGTCCCCACAAGTCCTGCGGCTCCCCTCCCACCCCTGCCACCAGGTCCCCTCCTGGTGATCGTCCTGATTAATAAGCCTATCCCAGTGCCCACCCTCATAGCAGTAGGGTTCTTCGTCCTCTGGCGCCGCATGGCATTGCGAATCATAATCCGTATAATCAAGGGAAAGCCCACAGCAGGTGAATTCGTTGGTATCATAGTCGATATGTTCGAGATGACCGTAGTGCTTTACTTGGCAGCCGACATTGTATTCTTTGTCGAAGATTTCGTGGCAGTAGACGCAGTGTGCATATTTGTTGCTTTCGTGGGCGGGGGGAATGGTGGTGGGGGATTTCCCTGCCTCGGAGACGATAATTGCAGCAAGTTCGGCTTTGCTGAGAGAGAGGAGGTAGTGGTTGAGTTGGGTTTCATTCTGGAAACGTTGGGCAAGTGATGCAATTGTCACGATGGGTGATGCTGCCCGTGGGGGTGGGGAAGACGCGATGTCAACGCGACCGCGTTGTGTGGTATCGAGGGATGGCGGTGCGGCAGAGGCCGGAGCTGAATCAGACGTGGGACCAGTATCCGGAGGAGTGGAGAGGCGTTCGATTGTTTCTGCCATTGTGTTTAGAGTTGGGTACATGGGAACTATTAAAGGAGCTGGGGGTTCTGCGAAGGCTGTAGTACGGTACAATAACTTGCACCCTACCGCACGGTGCCGAGCTGAGAAGGCGATGGCACGGAAACCCGAACTCCACTGTTCCAGCACTTCCTGCACGGCAATGGGGTCTCCCGGGTGCTAGGGCTCCAACGCCAAGATACATGTGCGCTATCACAATTTAGCTTTAGGTGGAAAAGCTTAAGTGCATGGTGCAAATATTGGGACGGGAGTGCCTGCTGCATCAATCGCACTCCTGGCTTGTTAAACGTGCTACTCGAGCACATGTCAGGGTGCGATTACAGTACGGTTCGGCAAATCCACGGGATAAGCAGATTGGTTTGGGTGCAAGCTTATGCGACAGCATCCGACTGGCCCCTCTCGATGTATCATGATGCTAGTTTTCGCCGTAGTACAAGCACCGGTGGGTAGGTAGCATTTAGCTCTTTCATTGGATAAAGCGTTTATTATTGGTACCATATATATACCCTGAGCGGGCATCTATAAATTCATTGCAAAAAGGTGTTGCTTGCGATAGAGGTTTAGAAGATACCCGGTATAGCAGCCTTCCTCTTTGGGAGAACGTCCTTGCTAAAATTGTTCTTATACCACCGCTTCTGCTGCATAGCCCTGGAGAAGAAACATCAGTACTCGATCCACTTGATAGATTTTCCCTCCACCGGCCGGGTTCGCGAGGGGGTGTTACCTCGGGAGCATAGTGGCGAGTTCGTTGACTACAAATAGTGTGGCGGGAAGGAAGTTAACGAACCCTCCCCCAGCAATTGCATATCCACCCCACTCAATCCATTCACAAAAGTACTGCGCAAGTCAAGGAATTAGCGCCCCATGGGGCCTGGATCCGGTAAAGGCAGGCAGACATACATGTGGGCACCAAACCCATTTAAATAGGCCGCCTTCGGGGATCTTATAGACTCTCCCACCGCTCCTTACCAGTCTGCCCTGCTTTTCGGCATCCTTGGCGAAAGATGTGTCCCTTCTGATTTCCCGTAAGATCTCTTCGTGGTACATGTTCCCCCAGAGCCCCAGAACAAACATGGCACTCCCAATCGAAACCTGCCAGACAGGGACATCCGCAGCGGAACCATAGCCGCCCAGCCAGCCGCCAATTGCGGAACCGTTTATGATGTTGAACGAGACTCCCGCGCAAACCATAATGAAGTTCATGGGCCCCATTGACGAGTTTCTATGTCATGAAAGTCAGGTTCGGACTTCAAAATCGGATCTCCGGTTCGGTTCCACCAACCGTATAGGACTAAGAAGTGCCCGGTGAAGGTAGTGTATGCAGTACAGGGAAGCAAGCCAGGTATGGGTTTTCGGAATCTCGCCGGTACGCTCGGGATTGGTACAGATCGTGTATAATAGTGTGAGGGGAGAGAAGAGCTCCATGAAAATCCATCCCGGCTTTCCTACTACGGGTCAGTGAGCGTCGACAGGAGGGAGGCGTAAAGCTTGGGCCAGGGGCTCACCGGGCACGTTGAAGATGGAGGCATACGAGGTTTTCCCGGAAGGATAGAACTTGGGGAGAGCCAACTGAATTGGCGCGACCTGAGCCGAGTCAGTTGCTGGTCAAGTTCGCGTATGCCACCGAAGCAATGGATAGCATACCAAGGGAAAATACCTCCAGCACCTCAGGAGGAGTTGCCACGCATCCCTGGTGAGAGGGATAAAGCCTTCGGAGCGTAGGAAATCTACTGGCTGCATGTTTGTCGGTCGCGAGATGGTGGAGAGTTTGGGGGAAGAAGGTGGAATGACGAGAGCTTATGAGCACTCAAGCAGAGCAGAGTGCTTGCATCAACCGGGTTCATAATAACGGAGCCAAGAGGAGGTATCGTACGGGCTGCGGAGGCCAGCGTTGCAACGCACACAATCCCGTCTGAAGGCCACAGAAGCAGCGGGAATCCGCCATCTCCCATTTACCAAACATCAGCGACGGAGATGGTATGCACCAGCACCGTACGGTACCGGTACTCGCTCACCCGCCAAGGGGGGTACGGAGCACGGCACAAGTGTTACTGTATCATAAGCTATCAATCTTTCCATCGATACTGGGACTCGCACCGTTCATGTGCCCATAGGGTTCGGTCGGAGCTGTCTGCGGTGCAACACTGACCCTTTTGTACGAGTGCACGACAACCATGATATCATACAACTACTGTAACTTACCATAAACTCGTTAAATCCACTATCGAGAATCAGGGTCTTGGCTTGCTTGTAGGGGGGTTGGTACAATATGCTAACATGATGAGTGATTAGCTATGAGTCCAGCGTTAGCCTTTTTAAGCCTTTGATATAACTGTAGCACCTTAGTTATCCTTAAGGTACGAACTTCGTACTGGTATACAAAGCCAAAGAAGAAATGTCATTTAAGTTTTCTATGTATGATATACTCGTGCCAAGGTTCTGGTTGCTTGCTCGCTCGCAACCTGGGCACTCTCTTGAGAGTGCCCCCGAAAACTGAGCCGGCCAATTTTCGGGGGTTGCAGCGCACTAGCTGCAACCTTGGCACGAGTATATACCCTCTCGCCCTCCGCCACTGCACTGCACTGCACGTACATCCCGAAAGAGCGACCATGTCAATAGCGGGAGAGCCTGTGACAGCTATGGCCCTTTCACTTTCTCTACTACGGTCCCAGCTATCCTCCTTTATCGCCTCTTCAGCCTCGCTCGGATTGATCCATAGTACGGCACCCTTTACCGCGGCTGCGGGGACACTGCTCGTGCTGGACTCCTCGTTCAATCCACCGACGAAAGCGCACCTGAACATTGCCGTCTCTTCGTTCAATGATAAATCTACTGGATCGATCCGAGAAAAGCGGTTGCTATTACTCCTCGCTACTCAAAATGCTGATAAAGGTTGTTTGCTTAATCTGAAGCCGGGAATTCACAATGCAGACGAGTTGATGCAGAGTTCTACAAGCTCCTAAGCCGGCGTCCTTCGAGGAAAGGCTCTCAATGATATCCATGTTTGCATCCGATATATCGTCTTCGCTCGCACCCCTTTCGCCAGCTATAGATATAGCTATTACCAAGCATGCAAGGTTTCTCGACAAGTCAGAGGAACTGATGAAGCGCTATCCCAATGTGATTGAGCAGGTATATTTGACTGGATACGACACCCTCGTCCGTATCCTGGATACCAAATACTATCCAGTTGCCTACACATTGGAGCCACTAGAGAACTTTTTCCGGAACAATCGCATCTGGTGCATGTATCGGCTTGGGGATCGGTGGGGTGGACGCGAAGAGCAGGATGAGTACTTGAGAAATATTAGAAGTGGGAACAGGGAGGCGGAAGGGTGCAGGAAGGAGTGGGCCGGGAGGATTGAATTTATTGTGAGTTGGGCTTTAGGATGGACATATGGCACCCTGTAACCTCGGATCAGCACGATCAATGGGTCACTAATGATAGAATTAGGAAAATGAGAACAATACCCCAGTCAGTTCGACGAGAGTGAGAGAAGCCATCCGTAACAAGGAAGAGGGTGTTCTTGATGAGCTGTTGACAGAGGGAGTGAGGAGCTGGCTGCGTGATAGCGATGTTTATACCCGGGATTAAATTCATCTAGAAGAAGTTCCACCGGCCCTTGCGGAGATAGGTGGATCTAGGACTGCGATGAGAAATTTGCATCGCATTAATTGTTGAGTGTTTGTACGGTAACTTGCTGCCTTCCGCCTCTGCCCGGTAAAATTGCAGGACATATGATACCGGTACTCGTATCATACCGCTAAGTTGCTCTTGTCACTTGTGCGATAAAACATCTCGTATCATATCATACTACGATACCGTACTCGTGGGTAAATTATATCACAAGCATTTTGGTTGTGGCGCTTATTAGTCACCCCATGACGCGGTTAGAGCCGCAATCGTAGCTAAACCATCGTGACGCCCCACCACGATACTGTATCCGCTATCTTGGAGGACCCTCCTCCTCCTCCACCTTCCGGACCTCCATATACCCTTTAATTCCCCTACTCTATAGAATTCCTGCCATGACTTCGTACGCCCCCTCCCGTCTAAAGCTTTCCAGAGTTAGCACCTGTTACTGACGACTCCTTTCCACTGATCCAGTTCCAATACTCTTCATGTAAAGTCGTCCTTGCCCTATGAGCTGCACAGAGTCAAAGGCCCACAGCCAAGCAAATACTTATGTTTCCCTCAAAGGTTCCGTTTCGAAAGTCAGCCCCGCTCCAACTATCTACTGCCGTCAGGCAGTATATCTCCACTAAATATGATCAGCACCCAGACATGTTTACCACCGACTTGGCGGCGATAGACAAGCTTAGGAATGATGCTATCAATGTGCAGGAGGCGCATGTGAGTGGGGTTATGAAGATCTCGGCTTATGCAGCGCAGTTGCAGTGGATTAGCGGGAAGTTTCCGATAGATGTATGTGTGCCGGACCGGCTTTCGGGAGGAATTATGGGGGCGGGGTCGGATGTGCTGATAGCTGGGGACATAGATTGGGGCGGATTTTACTTGGTACCCGGCACTGGGATATAATACACAACGTCCAGGTGAGGGAATCGTGCTGGTATGCGCGACTGCTTCTGGTATAACTGACTTTCAGATAGTGACCCAAAATAATTTACAATTCGAGCGTGCAAACGTCCTCTACAATCTCGGGTCTCTTTACTCCCAGTTAGCATCCTCCTCGCCACGGACAGCCCAAGGTCTCAAAACAGCATGCAACTACTTTTGCGCAGCCGCTGGCGTTTTCACCTATCTCAAGAAGGGGGTTCTCCCAGAGCTCCGCAGCACTCCACCCGAGGACATGGATGAAGGCACTTTGGAGTCTTTGGAGATGCTGATGCTCGCCCAAGCGCAGGAGTGCTTTTGGCTAAAAGCGGTGGTGGATGAGCATAAAGATAGTTTGGTTGCTAAGCTGGCGACAATGGTCAGCGATTTTTATGACCTGGCTGGCGAATTTGGGAAGAAGAGCGATTCAATCTCCTCGGAGTGGATGCATCACTTGTCGGCCAAACATCATCATTTTGCTGCAGCAGCACAGTATAGAGCTGCTTGCGACTGCCTTGAAAGGTCGCTTTACGGGGAGGAAGTAGCTCGGCTGAAGGACTCCTTGGATGCAGTTAACGAAGCGCTAAGGGAAGCGCGATATCTTAACAAAATCGTTCTTGGTGATTTGCAAGGGCTTAAGGCGAAAGTCACTGAAACGCTGAAGGGTGCAGAGAAGGATAATGATCTGCTCTATTTCCAAACTGTCCCACCGGCTTCTGAGCTGCCCAAGATACCCAGGGCACCAATGGTAGAGCCTAGGATTCCGAAAGAAATCTCGGGGGCTACTGGTTTACTCTCTGAAGGGGGCGCTTATGGGCCGCCACTGTTTTCAAAACTCGTCCCATTTGCGGTGCATCAGGCTGCAAGTATATATGCTGAGAGGAGAGACCGATTAATTAACAATGTCCTTGCAGACAAGTTAGAGTCTCTAACCAACAAGTTACATGAGTAAGCCTTTACCACCTCAATTCTAATTCAAACTGACTAGGGTTGACATTAAACACCCAGACTCCTCCGATCCCTCAACCTCCCAGGCTCCCTTCAGGCCCTAGAGAAACCACTGGGACTTCCACCTGGACTTATGTCCCATGCAGAAGAAATAAAGCAGCAAGGTGGAGTCGCGACGTTGTTGAGGTCGATGGATGATATTTCAAAATTGAAGGCCAATGATAATGCCATGTACCAGGAGGTTCTCTATTCTCACCCCTAGCTTACAAGCTCAGTGCTAACTAACTTAGGCTGTCGAGATGCTAGACACCGAGGCAGCCGAGGACGAAAGGGCTAGAGGCAAGCATGGCACTGACCGGTGGCACCGTGAGCCTTCCAGCCAGGCAGCGAGCAAACTCATTGCATCAGTCCAAGAGTATGCCGGTATTCTCAAAAGCGCAGACAATTCGGATGGCCTGGTCAGGGTTAAGCTCAACGAGTGTGAGAAGAGTTTAAGGCTATTAGGTGGAGACATTGTAAGTATTATGCATGTCTTAGCTCAAATGTGCATTAAACTTGACTAACCATACCATTACAGCACTCCCTCCAGGACTTCGTCCCGAACTCCTCGAGAGCATCTTTAACCCCCAAAATGGAACGTGAAGTCGCAAAACTCCGCCAATGCCTTAACGAAATCTCCCGCCTAGAATCCCGCAGAAGGCGCAAAATTGAGAGCCTTCGGGAAAAGGCCAAGGCCGACGACATTAGTAAACCCAGCCTCCACCCCCCCGCGTCCTCACTCGCTAACAACCCCCCTAGCAAACGCTATTCTAGCCGAAGCCGCCCGCCTAGAACGCGAAAGTCCCCTCCAAAAGCTTGAACCTGTCCACTTCGAGCCCCTCTTCGAATCCCGCCTTGCAGCAAAATATGACGGCGAGAATACCCTGCTAAATGAGGAAGCGGAAGTGCAAAAGGACATCATATCCCGCACCCAGGAAGCTAACGCCTCTTTCTCTGCCTGTAGGAAGGTGGACTCTTCACTGAAGGAACGAGAGCAGGCGCTGCAAACCCTCGAGAACGCGCATAGCAAGTATCGTGAGATACTGGATAACTTAAATGCGGGGAGGAAGTTTTACAATGACTTAGCAAAATTGCTCGCGAGGTTCCGGGATGAGTGTAAGGATTTTGTGTACCAGAGGAGGATGGAGGCGGGGCAATTTGAAGTGTAAGTTTTGCCATCCATCCATTCTTTGCATAGGGAGATGGGGAAAATACTAACTAGAAGAGGGGGGGGGGGTTATAGTGAAATTACAAACGCGATGCAGAGCGTTCGGCTTTCGCAGACCCCGATTCTACAGCCGACCACACAAAATCGTCACCACAATCACCCACCCCCACTGCAGCAGAAGCCACAACAAGCGCAACAGCAGATGCCGCCGCAACCACCACTACTTCCGAGTGTAGTACAGCATCAACAGAGGCAGCTTGCGTCCGGAACACCTTTGCCAGCGCCGGTGCCCACTCGTGCCGCCATACCGCCGCCGTCACCGGGGCTGTGGAAGGGTGACGCCACGACTGCTATCAGGTTTGCGGGGGAGCCGTCAAAGCGTTGATTGATTGATCGGTTGATTGATTGACTGGGAGTTGTGGGTTGGGCTGGGTTACGGCGGATTGGCCTGTGTTTGATAGCTGTTTGAATATACGAAATACGTTTTACACCTTATCATTGGTGAGTTTGTAGGAATGTGTGTGAGTGTGTACTCGTGCCAAGGTTGCAGCTAGGGCGCTGCAACCCCCGAAAATTCGCTGGCTCAGTTTTCGGCGGCACTCATAAAGTACCTACGCAAAAGTCTTGGTGATCGTGCATCTCAGCCATGGCAACAACAGTATGGTGGGAGTAGAGATTTTGAAATAACTCAACAACAAATTGTTTAAATGAGAAGAGATTAAAGGAAATAAAATGTAAGACCACTGTTTACATATTGATGAAATAAAAAATAAAAAAAGTTATTCCTAGTACCTTGTATACTACCCCTTTGCTGCAATGACTGCTTGAACTCTGTCTGGCATTGACCTCCACAACTGCTCAAAAAACTCAGAAGGTATTGTATCCCATACCATGGATAATACCTCAGCTAGCTTCTGCTTGACCTTCTTAGGACTACCAGGTGTTGAAGCAATGTCAGGATACTGAATCTGAAGTCTTTTCTTCAGCTCAACCCAGACATGTTCTATGGGATTAAGGTCTGGTGAATAAGGAGGGTGTTCAGCCAACTCAATCCCATTTTAGTCAAACCAATCTTGCACTGTCTGAGCTGTATGAACAGTACAGTTGTCTTGCTGGAAGATAGAATCACCAAGGATGTCACAGACTCGCTCCAGGACTAGAATAAGGCAGGTTTCAAGCAGCTGGAGGTAAACCCACTAGTCTACTGATTTCACAACTAAGGGAATAAAGGTTCTTTTGTTTCTGTCCCAGAAGCATCCCCAGACCATTAAAGAAATGCCTTTCCTCTTTTCAATCCCTCTCACACAGTCTAGATACTACTTTTCAGAAGCAGATCTGAATATCCATTTTTGCTTTGAATTTCTACTCTTTTTCACAGAGCATTCACTACTCCAAATAACATCTTCAAACTCCTCTGCAGTCTAATTCTGGTGCGTCTTAGCCCAGGCCAGCCTCTTCTGAGCATGCTCTGATGAAAACTGTATTCTTTTCTTGGCTAGCCACTTCTTAATACTACTCTCCCTCAGAGCCCGGTCCATTGTAGAAACTGAGACATAGGGAGTCAATATCTGCTGTAATTTCTCCCTACTCCAATCCCTGTGGAGCTTGGCCCCTCAAACTAATGATCTCTTGGCTTTCTGGGAAAGCAGCAGTGGTTGAGTAGAATATGGGAGGTTTTCAATTGAACCCCATTAGAGAGACTGGGCAAGAAAATTCTGGACTGTTGACCATAGGCAGCCAACAATCTGGCTAACCATTGAAATTTGCTAAAAAACCTTGAAGAAAGCAAGGATCATACCTTTCTCAACTCTGATGAGCTCTTTGCATAATGTCTTGGGTGCCATGGTTGATGTGGTAGGGAGAATTTGATTGGTCACCATTGTGGTTGGATTGCATCACCCTCACTTACCTGCCTTTTTCACCAAGACTTTTGATTAGGTACTTTACTGAATGCCTGACAGCTCAATATAAGATTGTGGCTCAGCATAGTATTGTGGCTTAATGGAAGATTGTGGCTTGATATCTATTTGTGGCATCATATTCTTTTGTGGCTTTTATGAATATTTATTGGTAGCATTAAAAATGGATAATTTTACTACAAGTGCCACCAAAAAAATGAGTGCACATGCTCAGTTCCAATACAACAACAACCCCATCACAGCAACCCTGTACATACTGACAAAATGCCATCAAAGGAAGACAGAAAGTAGTGAGAGAGTACAAAATTAGAATGTATTGAGGTCATTCAACTCCAGGCTGAGGGCTATTCATATTGTGCCATTACTGACTATATGATGATCTCAGTATCTGCAGTGGGTAAAATTGTTTGCAAATGGAAAGCGATAAGAATAGTGAAAAACAGTACCTGTTTAGGAAGATCCTACAAAATTGGCCCCTGTGAGCTCGGAAGGCTAAATAGGACTACTGAGAGTAACCTATAAGTATCTTTAGCAGAAATCACAAAGTCTCAGCTGAATTATTATCCACAAACAGTTCAAAAAGCTCTTCACAAATTGGACGTTTACCTGCAAATTTCACATCGTAAACTCTTCTTGGATGCAAAAAGCAAGTGGAAGAGGTTGATATAGTAGTGTCGGTAAAGGCGGTACTGGACAGTAGAGGACTGGTATCAAAAGTTCTATTCTGATGAGGTAAAGGTTAAGATTGAAGTAGGTGGAGGCTATGAGAGAGTCTGGTAGAAGCCAGGAACTGAGCTTCAAGATCACTACTTTTGGGTAACCTTCAAAGGGAAAAGGGTATCTACAATATTCTGAGCTGCAATTAGCCATAACTGGCAGAGCCAGCTTATTCATATTCACCAGAGACCCTCAGAAGAGTATTGACACTCAAATCACCATGGTGGGATAGATTCAGAGCAATATTGTTAGGAGGTATTGAGGCTGGGGTTTCTTCCTTTATAGGAGGAGGCAGGAGAGTCTGTTAAAGGATTCTTTCTAGTTAAGAATGGGTCTAAGATTCATATTTCTGCATATAGTCATCAGTTTAAGTTGGGCAATAAAATTGTTTACTCAGACTAGCTTGGATATAGCTCAGATCTGAATCCCATTGAGAATGTTTGGTAGACTCTAAAATGCTAGCTAAAAATTTGATTCCAAATACCTCAACGATGACCTAGAGGTATTGCAGGACTGGTGTGTGCAGCATGGGAGGAAGGGAGTAGAATTGAACAAGAAAAGATCGATAGGTTTATTGAGTCCATGTCAATCTGGGTGCTTCAGGTAATTTATCTTCATAGAGGTCATTCTGGGTAGTAATTGCTTCTTCATTTTACTTTATTTCATATCTCTTACTTTCGGCTGGAGTAGTCTATTGGTTTTTGTATAAAGTTTTGTTTTCATAATAGTAACAGTCTTTTTGGAGGAGCACCAAGGCTTATGTGCACTCACTTTTTCCGTAGCACTTGTATTCTATTATATATGTATTTTCCATTTTCTTGCTTGTTTCTTAATCCCTGCAACTATCAGCTTAAATGTTTTTTTTTATAAGCCTGAATACTGGTTGTATTATGAAGTTTGTGAAATGGATGGAGCTTGCATGGTGGTGTACAGGAGTACATATAAAACCATAGTAAATCTGAATAGGTCCAGTAGAATAGTTAGTATACTCATATACTTGTACTGTAGTAGTAGTATTAAAATAATAAAGTAGAATAGGGGTATTTATAAAATAAATATTATATCCAGACCTTTATGTAAATATCAACAACATAGTAATTTACTAAAATATTAACCCTACAAGGCTGAACAATATCAATGGCAAAGCATGGCTACTGGCAGATTGGTAGGTACTTAATACTAGAAGGATTACAAAAGATGAGCCTAGCAGATATTTCAGTAAAAACTAGAACACTACTAAGTACCTGCTCTAATATTATCTAAATAGTACACCAGCGAGCTAGTGAAAACCAAAACCCTGATCTCTGAACTGATGAGAATCTTACTCTATTGTTAAACTCAGTAAAAGGTTTTAATGAGGCCATGATACAGGTATGAAAAGAATATTTGATAAAGATTACTCCATAAGATACAGACTATTGCTGTATTACCTTTACACAGTTAGTGGAAGCAGAAACTAGAAGTTTTTTTTTTAATTTAAAATTCAAAGTAGAATATGTAACTAATAATAATAATAATAATAATTTTAAAATAAAAGTACAACTGAATATAAGCAGGCAAACTATTTCTCAAGTACTATGAGAAAATAAAATATATTGCTGAAAGCCAATCTGAAAATCAACCCTTAGCCTGGACCAAAATACAAGACTATGATGACTTGCCTTTAGTTTGAGCTACTGGTATCAAAGCTATAATTGGAGAAATATTATCTTTACAGATAAGTCCTATTTTGAGATAGGAAGTCTGTGGTCCTGTCAAGCCCATGAAGTACTTCAAGTTCATTGAGCTGGTAGAGTCTATTTGCTACAAAATATTAATCAAAAGATTAAATAAGGGACAACAGTAATGTTTTGGGGCATAATCCTTCACAGAAAAGCTAGTATATATGAGTAACTCTTTGTATTTAAATTTATACTGTTTTATATTTAAAGTTATTATTTATTACTAATTTATAGTCCAATTAACTTTATTTCTAATATGTACCTATTGTTCAATACTACAGTTATTTGACAGGATACCCCTCTTTAAACCCAAATTTGACTGGATGCCACTGAAATAAAATGTTTGATAGAAGGCCACCTACTATGTATTCTTTTACCAAATCTTTTTCATATAGTTTATCTCACATTCAATCATAGTAGTCTGACATATAATAAAATATAATAAGTAATACAAGTAAATATATTATAGTAATATATAAAAGTAAGTACTAAACATAGGATTCTGGGTATATTAAAATATCATATTCAACTATTATAACTTATTCTGCCTCTCTGCTCTATATTATTTAAATATAACGTATGTAAACAGTTGTCAAACAAAATTTCACAATATTATACAAGTTATAAGGTTATATTTCTTGATTTTTATTACCAAGTTATGTTATAAAGTACTTGTTAGTATACTAGTGGATTGAAGTTTGAGAATGCTTTAAGAGCTTACTATAAAGAAAAAGTTATAACAAGGCTATTAGAGGAGAAATAATAGTTATAAATGAAAGTAGAAAAGAAATACTCATTATTAAGAAAATCTGAAAATAAAAAGAAATATTTAGACTGAGAATAGTTATAGTAATCTTATCCAGTTGATATATAGAGAGGTATTTTATCAACTTTATTTTTTTTTTGCAGGAGTATTCTATTAAAGTCAGAGCTCTAGAAAAGTATACTATTAAATAATGGCTTCTATCTTGGTTTAATATATTTCATTCTATATTAGACCTATAGTACTGGAGGTGAAACATACTATGTAAAAAATATTAGATTGAAATACATATGGTGGATGGCATTCTATTAAAGTTTCTTTTACAGTAGTATTCTGTTGAATTTAGTTTCAGAGAGGGGTATCCTGTCAAATAACTATTAATACTAACAAATTATTAAATATATACTAGGCTTTGAACTTTCATATCATATGTATAGTATACTACATAAGACAGCCAACTAACAGAAAGAAGTCATTCTCACTCTTCAAAGAAAGTATCAATTAGAGCTGATAGCAAATGTAAATGCCAGCTCCATAGAATTACTAATTCTATTTCCAGACCTGGCATTGAAAACCCAGAAGTTGGATAGAAAAGCGGGTGTTGATTGGTATATCTATAGTATGTGAATCCTGAACTCCCTTCTCTATCTATTTACAAATAGAACAAAAGAGAAGTTTTTGGATCATAATATTGTGATAATGGAGGACAATGCTCTAGCACATATTTACCATTATCACAATATCCCTTGTGAGCTGCATAGATTTACTAAGCATACATGATCTACTAACTCCTCAGATTTGAATCTGATTGAGATAATTTGAATGGAGCTAAAGAATATATTATATGAGAAAATAGGTATATGAATGACTGTATAGCAGATCTGTTTTGTTCTTGAAGAGGTACTCATGCCAGGGTTGTGACTAATTATCACAACCCCTGGCTGCTCGGTCGTAACCTGGAGTACTCTAAAGAGTGCTTGTCAGCTCAACATAACTTAACAGCTCAACATGACATGTGGTTCAATACAACTTTTTGTGGCTTAACAGTACTTTTTGTGGCTCATCATTGTAGCTCAATACAACATTGTGATTTAATATAGCTTTGTTTATTTGTATAACTTTAACATTGTATCTTAATGGAACTTTATATTTTAATTAAACTTCATAGTTCAATGGTACTTGATAGTTTAATTAAGTCTTGTAGTTCAATAAAGTATTACTATTAAGTCTTACTATAATTGTATAGATAAAAATTGTATGTAAATTCTACAGTGCAATGTACAAGATTTGTCCTTGACATTACAGTAAAGACTAAAAATAGTCCTACAGGATGGATTAGCACAAGTACAACTTGAATCTGGTGTATTAGCGATGAAATATATAGATAATACACAAGCTGCTGAGTAGGCACTGGCAAAAGCCACTAGATACAGGGTTCAGAATTGTCAGCAAGTGCTGAAAGGAGGAGTGATCTATGTTTCTGAAGCATGTCAAATAGCAAAGAACTATGAAGAAGCTAAGTTAGATAAGATTGAGAAACAGCTCCAACAAGCTCAGAATACTAAAAAAAAAATTAGAGAAAGCAGAATGAAAGCCTCTATTTAATAAGATAAAATTAGATTTAAAAAAGAAATGGAATACAAAAGCTCATAAAAACAAAATATCAAAGCTTATAGTTATGGGTATTAAAAGGCAGGTAAAGTCAGGAAAAATAAATGTAAACTGGAATGTTTTATATACTAGACTGATAATGTTATATTGAGCCACGGTAATAGGTCACAAAAAGTGCTGTTGAGCCACATGTCATGTTGAGCTATCAAGTCATGTTAAGCTGACAGGCACTTTTTAGAGTACCCCAGGTTGCGACTGAGCAGTCAGGGGTTGTGATAATTAGTCACAACCTTGGCACGAGTAAGTTTAAATCCAACTTTCTATTATTTTTTATCTAATACTATTATAGGCTTGGAACAACTACTCACAGGAGTAGATCAATTATATTGATTTCATACCTTATCAGATAGCTGCCTGTATTTCAAATGAAGGAGGAAACAATTTTAATTTTTAATTTCTTAATTTTTAATGTTTAATATTTAATTTCTATAATAATTTTAATGTATTATAAATTACCCTTGTATACGGTTGAGACACTTATATTTAACTAATTCTTTTTTAGGGTCTTTTGTAGCTCTTTGCATGTTCTTCTGCATCTTCAGTAAACCCTGTCTATTTTACAAATGTTATGATACGACAAGTACTGTATTTTCTCTTAATAGTATGAGTGCTACCCAAAACTGAGCTAGCAAAATTTTGGGGGTTACAGCATCCTAGTTGTAATCTTAGCACAAGTATTGGTTAGAGGTATAGATGATAGCAATGTTTGCCCTATAGCTATATTACAGCAGCTTACTATATATAAAATACTAGGTGCTCCTAAGACATATATCAAAATATAGAGTAGTACAACAAAAAAAACATGAAATAAAGGTTAAAAATGAAAAGTATAATCAAAAACTTGAATATAGCTTTACACTCTCTAAAAGTGAGAACATTGTAATGTATTCAGGGTTAGAATCATGATACTTTAATACATGCTGAAGAGTATCTAATTATTGAAGGTAGAAGATTGTTTAAACATAATAGATAAAAAGAATATACTAGTACAAATAAAAATAATACAAAGTAAAGTGAGATAAATACTATAGTGAAATAAAATACTAGTTAAAATAAGTCCTATTATATTAAACACAGGATAATAATAGTACTAGTATTATTATAATTATATAAGACCTCCTACTGGCAAAACATATTAGAATAGTTTGAAAAGAGAATTAACCTGAATATCTAACAAGCATCTAAAAACTATGAGTAAGAATAGAGTAAATAACTTGATTACTAAGAAATCTTTTACCAAAGGTTTTCAAGTTTACTATTTACAGAGTATATATTTACTCATATTCCAGTATTACTTAGACTGTCTATTTAATTTTTGCTGAGAATTTTTCTGCATCTAAGTCAATTAAGTATATAAGGTAAAAATGGTTGTTTAATAAACTATATGTAGTTGTTATAAATAAGGACTAAGTAAGAAATTAGTTTTATATGACTTATAGTTTTGAGTTATAGGTATATTACTTTTTATACTTTAACTTATTTACAAGCTAGAGAGTTTTATATAAACTGTACTTATAATGTTGTCATAGCTACTAGGATTAGGATAGCAGAGTTACTGTGTAGAGATTTCCTCTATTGCAGATAGGTTTATCAGTAAAAATTAAAGCTTATATTCTATGTACAAGATGTAAACTATTAACTAATATATAAGGAGGCAGCCACCAGAACTCAAAACACAATAGTCCTTGGTATGATACTTGTTCAAAATATGTATGGTATAGTACAATCTTAATAACTGTGTATAAAAATATAATATAGTAGAAAGAGTATACTACAGGTGTGCTAAGTGAGGAGGAATTCTGTATGAAGGTAGATTGGTAGAAGTTCTTATCCTTAATTCTCTTAAGCAAGATGGGTGGCAACCCCTATTTATACAGGTACACATCCATTGTGTAACTAAGAGAAAATATAAGGAAAAACATAAGTGTTGACATGTTTGACTGTAACATATGTAGGAAAAACATAAGTGTGAATGTGTCTGACCCTAAAGAACTGCCAAGAAAAATCCTATAAAATATGCATAAATCCGAGGTAGTATGAGCAGATAATTAGAATATAATTGTAAATCAAATGACCAATAACTATACATGATGATGCAGGAAATGTAAGAAATAAACCTGAACACCAGATAAGAAAATATATAATAATCCCCTAATCATATCATGAAATATTAATGAAATATATGTAATATATACTCCAGCTGTAGTAATGTTTGTAGTCTAGAAATAATACTAAGTAGAAAAATATACAATATTATCAAGGAGAATATACATATGAAATGAATTAGAAAATTCAACAATACCTAATTCCTTAGACTCTATCCATTACATAAGTATATTATTAGTAAGGGATTGGATGTAGCCTACAACTACTTAGATATAGAATATAAATATTGAAATATTTCTTATACTACCTTAAATATATCATTAGCAAATAGAGAGGTGATCTTATTATTATATTTATTCTACCTTAACCCCCATTCTAATGAGTCTTTCTGACTTACTTCAAAGAAGAAGACCTTAGACCCGGTCCAACTCACTTGTCTCAAGAGTTAACTACCTCCTAACAGGTAGTTTCTTATACAGAATAGTAATTTCCTTTGATTTGCCAACCCTTATTATTACAAGAAATTATAAGTACTAAGAATTTATAACCAGCAAGTAGTGCTGCAGGTGGATGTTAAAAGCTCTAGCTATCTCTTGAATCATGCATCACTGAATATCACTCGTCAACGTGAATCAATAATTCAAAGACAAATATCAAGCCAAGTTAGGAATATCATGCCCACCACGACAGCTGCTAGTTAGTTAGGATAGCCCATGACCTTAGGTGTCTTTAAGAGTACCCCATTTTGGGCGTTCACCCACGAAAATAAAACCTATGGACCTGGGGCTCCCCTCCACTCTATTTAAATACTCGCTGTGTACTAATTGTAACATTTTGCCTAATGGGGTGAACATGATTTAGCATATTTTACAGCTGAGGATATACCAGTTCCCGGACTACATGGCACCATCCCCCCCCCCCCCCTGAAAAATTAAAGACAAAGATATTCTAGACATTGCGGTCTACTTGGAATCCTTTGCTAACTTGCGAGTGTGGTGATCCGTGGCTCTCGTGAGGAATTGCTTGTAAGCTTCCACCTTTTTCAAAACATTCATTTCCTCATCGGAAAGGTGTTTGCGGATGGCCTTCTCTATTTCAACTGTAGGGTCTGACAACCTGCCGACCCATGCCGTGATAGATGGGATACTACATCTTTGTTAGTGGGAAGTCTGAAAATTGAATGGATTTTGATGGAGATTGCGAGGACTTACTTAAATAGAGGTGTAAGCTGCAAATGGAGCTTATAGGGGAATAGAAGCGGGTTGGATCTCCCATCGTCAGGATCACCGGACTCCTTGGGTACTTTGATCTCTGTTTCCCCTTTGCCTACTAGCTGAGCACCCACGGAGTGAGGAACCTCTTTGAGTGACGTTTGGGAAAGCGAGCCACTTCCGGAGGGTCCCGCTCTAACCTGGGTGATTTCTCGAAATTTCTCATGGGCGTTCTCCGCCTCAATGCGCCCCCTACCGTACGGGTCGGGATACTCATCAAGGCCATTTATTCCCAATTCCTTGCCCCCGCCCAGGCGCTCTCGAGTAAGCATTTCTTCCGCCTCATTTTGAGCATGCTTCCTTTCCTGGCGCCCCCCGGGAAGTTGGCCTTCCGTACGTTGAGCTGCCAGGCGGCGGACCTCCATTTGCTCGGCTTTAATCCGTTCATCATTCAGAAGCTTATCAAGGCGTTGCTTCTCAACAAGTTGCTGCTTCTCATAACGGAGTCGATCTAACCCACGCTGCCTTTCTTTTTGGGGTTGGTCGTCCCCTAGGAGTTCCCCTTCTTGTTGCCGTTTCTCTATCCTCTGCTTCTCTCGCCGCTGCCTCTCCAATCGCTGCTCTTCAAGGCGTTCCGCCCCTAGTCGGAGTTTCTCCTTCCTAAGCTCCTCCTGGCGTTGCTCCCCCCGGCGTTTCTCCTCCTGACGCTTCTCCTCCCGGCATTCTTCCTCCCGGCGCTTCTCCTCCCGGCATTCTTCCTCCCGGCGCTTCTCCTCCTGACGTTTCTCCTCCCGGCGCTTCTCCTCCTGGAGTTTTTCCTCTTGGTGCTTCTCCTCGAGTTTCTCCTCCCGCAACTTCTCCTCTTGGCTCTGTTTTTCCAGCCGCTGCTTCTCGTCAAGCCGCTGTTCCTCTTGGAGGAGTTTCTCCCTCTGGAGTTCCACCTGACGTTGCTTCTCAAGCCCGTTCTTCAAAGAAAACTCCTCGGCAGCCTTTTTGCCTGCCTCCGTTTCCGCAACCCTCTTCTGTTTCGTCACAAATTCATCATGTTCCATTTGCGTTTTAAGGAAATCATCTGCCATCTTACTGCTTCTTGACTTTATATCCTCAAGCGAAGTCTTGAATTGGTACATTTTGGCCATCTCCTCTGACAGGAGATTGTCTGCTGCATCTATCCTGTCGGTGAGGGTCTTGAGACGGGTTTTGTTAAAGATTTCTTTGATCTCGTAGTCGTGGCTGTCAAAGCTACACCCCAAGAGAGCGCGAGCAGTTAATTGCACCTCTCTTTCTAACCATTCGAATACGGTTTGCAGGCTGAAGTGAGGTTGGGGCTCGGGGTTGTTTTTCCGGGACCGGGGACTTCCTACGTCAGGAACAGTGCTCAGATTTTTACCGGAATCACTACTGGCCCTCGGGACGAACTGAGATGCTGCCTGAGAAATCCCGCTAGCTTCCTGATTGGCTATTTTCTCCCCTTCCGCCACCACACTTTGAGAAGCCAATTCCTGTCTAGCTTCTGCCCCATTGATTCCGGGAATGGTCGTAGAGGCGACTTCAGCAAACTTCTCCGACCCAACTTTGTTGAAGGCGTTATCCACCGATTGGGGAGAATCGGTTTTACGCAAAACGTTTGGGGTAGTGCACGGTTTCAGGGTTAGCTGAATGTTCCTGCTCTCACCTGTTTCCATCTCCGGAGCCGGAGGGTCCGTGGACTTGTGCCCTCCTATTTTCGGTTGGATGTAGTCGTAGAAATCTTGATTTGCAGTCATAAGATTGCCGGTGTGCCAACTATTGAGGAAATGTTAGTGTAGTAGCGGGGTATTAAATGACAAGTGGGAATATACTGATTGACACTAGGGTTGTCCGGAACTTTTCTGGTGCCGCGAGGGGAATCAAGTGAGCTTGAGCGAGGGAGAGAACTAAGAGGCATGAAGGGGGGTAAACTGGTAGTGGTGGGCCTAGTGAGCTCATGTTAGTTGCTGAATCCTCATTTTGGGGGCATCACATACATCACTTTCCTACGTGGAATTCCGTGACCAGGTGCCCCTCCCCGAAAAGCTTTTCGTGGGTACTGTGAGACGGTAGGAGGTGTTACTCTGCTCGGATCGCTTCGGATCTGGAAGCCTGTTCTCGAGATTAGAGAGCGAATGGTCCGTCCACGATCAGAGGGTGGTATTTGAGTATCATCGGCGGCCCCAGGCCCAGGGGGCCCAGGAAGGGGTCCTTGTGTTGGGAGCCGACCCGAGTTTGGGTCGCTCCCAGGCCTGAAGTGATACCCCTTAGGAGGATATTTGCCCTTGGGCTCCGCTATTGGTAGGTAATTCGGCCCAAGACGATAGCTCTGGCCCTCTCCAAGGCCGTCGTTACGCTCGATTACCAAGCTTGGGTCGAATAGTGCTATTTGTGTCAGCGGGATCGAAAAGAAGAAAAAAGAGAGGGGGGGGGGCAAGAGATATAAAACCCTTGCTATCCTGATATGTTATTCAAGGTAGCCGCCCAGGAGGTTACCATTGGACTAGGATAACTGGTGGCCCCAAATAGGGGGGGAGAGGAGAGAGAGGCAGAAAGAAATACGCAATGCATGCTTACCTGCCCACGCCTCCACATGGTCGCCCTCTAGTGCCGGCTGGGAATTTTGAGCTCTCCCCCTCTCAGGATTCGGAGCGGGAGCGGTGCCGAATACTCTCGCTCCAGAAAGGGGTAGGCTAACGATACGATGGTCCCCTAGGTCCTCCTGGAGAATGGTTCAGCATATGGCGTAGAAGGCGTGGAGGCAGTCAAGACTGGTGATTCTTACCATCATTTGAGATATAGATCGTTCTTCCCGCGTTGGGTTATGCCGGTAATCTTGTTTAGAGAATGCAACCTTTGGAGTCTTGGAGATAGCGTCACCGGGTATATCCATGTCGATAGAAGATATCGAGGAGCTTTAGCTACAAATTGGGAGGTTTGTCCAAAACAGCTATCCGTACAGAGGAGATTTTAGTATATTCGCACAGGGGCGCAACAAGATGGAGGTGAAATAGGTATCGCGGGTGCCGAACAACACTAACTTATCAAGGAAACCTTGTGGCAAGGATTTGACGAGAAGGGTGGATAAAGGGAGAGCCGAGGGGGGAGTCTATAGAGCGCTTTCCTGAAGGTTTAGATGAGAGATGGAAAAGTATGTGTTTGGGAGAAAAAGGGAGTTGGGGGGGGGGGGGGCTGCTGGATTTTAAAGGGTGATTGGCGATATGGACGGATGGTAGGTGTGTTTGTGAGGAGTGGATCTTGCAAGGAAAAGAAGGGAGGGGAGGGGGGTTAAGGGTCTAGGGATGGCGCCGGAACCAGGTCTCCAATGATGGGGACATCAGGGCCGAGCCATAATCGATGACGCGGCATGTGAGGGATACTGCACATACGCGGAATATTGCCGAGTAGGAACCAGAAAACCCTCATGCCGCAGCCCCACCCATCCTTAGACAGAGGCAATGGCATCAATTGAACAGTTGAAAGGGACTCACTAGGGCACAAAACAATTACCATTAGCTGGGCGCTTCTGGTCAGCTATGATGCCCATTTCTCGTACCTTCCACTATGGCCCCTTAGTTCTGGGCGATCCTCGCCCACACGGGTATAATCCAATACCATTCCTCGCACGAACCGGCTGGATGCACCGACCGAAGGAGTCGAAGCATTGCTAATTCTTAATTTACGAACCTCAACTCTCGGAACGGCTTGTACCCTTCAAGGACTGTTTGTTGCGCGGGGTTCAGTATCGTATCGCACATGTACTAGTACTATACCGACACCATAACCCTCTACTCTAGAAAGCAATCTCTATAGCTATAGTGTTGGTAGAATGTATCATTGTAGGAACATCGCTTGATGAAACAACCGTTGAAAGGTGGCTCTCTGGGGATTGAATGCCGTGAGTGCAGACTGAATTAGGGGCAATCGTAGCTGAGAATGCCGCGGGAATAGAGATACAGCAGGGAGCGCCGAACCCACGCAGTGGTTGAGTTAGAGTACGATAAGTGCTGGCATATAGAGAGATACCAATTAGGATACGAGGCAATCAGACCGCCCAAAACTTTCCATTCCCCGTATTTACTACCTTTAAGAGATGCTATATCCACTCAACTGCCCATATTAACTTGGCGGGAGCCGAGAATTGGTCCAATTTCGTCATGGGAGTGTTTTTTTTGTTTTGTTTTGTTCCTCTCGTTTAATTTCTATCACCCATCGTGCTTTGCTTATCATACCGCGAGTTATTACTTGTGGGGTACAGTACTCGAGTACCTAGTACTATACAAGTACCATGCCGTTGGCCTTGGGATCGGCTCTTTGCAGGATAGCTCTGCCCCTTAGCCTCACCAAGGCGGAAAGCGGGTGTAATTCCACCCCACTTTTTTCCTATGATACAGCCAATGGCAACCGCCCCGTTCCTACTGACTCAGCAACACACAACACTCCAAACCCTGAACTCCACGTCCGGGAAGAGGAAAAAAAAGAAAAAAAAAAGGTTTCCGGCCTCACGAGGACAACCTCTTTGCAGTCACACTCGGTCACACTCCCATAGGATCTCATCCATTCACTCACCTACACACCTCCCCCCCTCTAACAAGTGGGAAACAGCGATAAACCCTTGGAGGGTCAGGGCCGAGGCTGATTCTTGGAGTAGAAAACAATAACTGACGAGGTCTGAAAAATGCTCCCGACTCGATTGACTCGGGCTAGGAGCTGCAAGGTGCGCATTCTCCCTCAATCGGACAGATTACCAATTCACTGTGGCACCACCGGATTCCCTGTTCTGACATGTATAACTCTAAACAGATCAAAACGCCCTCGTATAACCGGCTACTTCGTCGCAGCTTCGCTACTCCTGCAACAAATTCAAACTTTTCGGTTCATCCCGAGATAGCTGCACGAACACCACCATATGGAAAACTCATAAAGAACCTCACAGAGGTCCGCCGAGTCCTTGGGACACAAGGACTCACGCTCGCGGAAAAAATTCTCTACTCCCATCTCGACAATGTTGAGGACGCTCTTGGTGGCCGAAATGGCAAGGTTCGCGGGGAGGCATACCTGAAACTCAAAGTAGATCGGGTGGCGATGCAGGACGCTAGTGCCCAGATGGCCCTTCTGCAATTCATGACTTGTGGCCTTGGAAAGACCGCCGTTCCGGCATCGATTCATTGCGACCACATGATTGTTGGAGAGAACGGGGCAGATGTCGACCTCCCTAGGAGTATTGAGGGAAATAAGGAAGTCTTTGATTTTCTGGGGTCCGCGGCCAAGAAGTTTGGAATTCAGTTCTGGGCGCCGGGGTCGGGAATTATCCACCAGATTGTGTTGGAAAATTATGCGGCGCCCGGGTTGATGATGCTCGGGACAGATTCTCGTGAGCAGAGTTTGACACTAAATCGATGGTATTCCAGCTAGCTGACAAGGCCGGCAGATACCCCAAATGGGGGGGGACTTGGAGCAATTGCCATTGGTGTTGGTGGCGCCGATGCGGTTGACGCATTGGTTGACGCTCCCTGGGAACTTCGTGTAAGACCCCACCACCCGTTGCCACTGATTAAGCTAATAAATTTTTAGGCACCTAAAATACTTGGGGTTCGCCTGGAAGGTGAATTGAGTGGATGGGCAACGCCAAAGGATGTCATCCTCAATCTAGCTGGGCAATTGACTGTTCGGGTAAGTTCTTACAAACCCCCCAGGAGCAGTGTTTCTTCTGATCACTCTATAGGGAGGTACAGGTTACATTATAGAATATCACGGGCCTGGAGTGGAAACTCTCAGTTGCACGGGCATGGCTACAATTTGTAACATGGGAGCGTGTGTATCCCCCTTCTGACCTGACCCCAGCTCCTAACGCCCAACCCAGTGAAGTAGGAGCGACCACCTCTTTATTCCCATTCACCTCCAAAATGATCTCCTACCTAAATTCTACCCGCCGAGCCCCGATTGCAGAAGCCGCGGAAGGAACGAACAAGTCCCATAATTTCCTCCGTGCGGACACGAACGCAATCTACGACCAGGTGATCACAATCAATTTATCAGAACTAGAGCCGCACATCAACGGGCCCTTCACCCCGGACCTCTCCACACCACTCTCCAAATTCAAGGATGCCGTAAAAGAGAATGAGTGGCCAGAGCAATTATCCGCCGGCTTGATCGGTTCCTGCACCAACAGTTCTTACCAGGACATGCTGAGGGCTGAAGACCTGGTTAAACAGGCGGAAGCTGCCGGATTAAAGCCCAAGGTTGATTTCTTCGTTACTCCAGGAAGTGAGCAGATTAGGGCTACCCTGGAGCGGGATGAGACACTGGATGTTTTCGGGAGGGCTGGTGGAACCGTTTTGGCAAATGCATGCGGACCATGGTACGTTGCACGGGATATCACTCGATGGACCATGATTACTAATCCTTCCATTCCAGTATTGGCCAATGGAAGAGGAACGACATCTCAAAGGTATACTCCAGTCATACCCTCCCATGCAGGTACAACAGGTGCTAAGCCCGAGACATATAGGGTGATACAAACGCAATTCTTACCTCGTACAACAGAAATTTCCGTGCAAGAAACGACGGAAACTCGCAGACAATGAACTTTCTGGCCTCCCCCGAGGTATAATATACCCCCGCACCTGCTCCCAAACCCCCACCCTGACACCCCGCAGATCGTAACAGCAATGATATACTCCGGCGATATGTCCTTCAACCCAATAACTGACACGCTCCCCACCCCGTCCGGCCAGTCCTTCAAATTCAGCGCTCCTTCCGGTTCCGAGCTCCCCTCTCAAGGCTTTGAGCCCGGAAACCTCGCCTTCGTTCCTAGCAACTCCGCACCCTCCCCTTCCACACCCGTCGTTGTCTCCCCAACTTCCTCCCGCCTCGCCCTTCTCGAACCCTTTGAACCATTCGGCGCCGTTGACTTAAAAGGGTTGAAGGTCCTCCTCAAAATCAAAGGCAAATGCACAACAGACCACATCTCTGCTGCTGGCTCCTGGCTAAAATACAAGGGCCACCTGGAAAATATCTCAAACAACACCTTAATCGGCGCGATGAATGCCGAGACCGGCGAGGTGAACAAAGTGCACGACGCTAATGGCGACATCTTATCCATCCCAGACCTCGCCCGGCGCTGGAAAGCGCAGGGCGTGTCCTGGCTTGTCGTCGCGGAGAACAACTATGGCGAAGGATCAGCCAGGGAGCACGCAGCGCTGCAACCAAGGTACTTGGGCGGGAAGGTCATCCTAGCGAAGTCGTTCGCGAGAATTCACGAGGCAAACTTAAAGAAGCAGGGCGTTGTGCCGTTGACATTTGCCGACGGGGCGGACTACGACTCGATCGGTTCCTGCGACAGCGTTGACACAGTGGGGCTATATGATATGTTGGTCAGTGGTGGGGATGGCGAGGTGTTCCTAGACGTTACGAGGAAAACGGACGGGAGAAGACACAGGATTCCCGTCAAGCACACTTTTAGCAAGGATCAGGCCGGGTTCGTGCTTGCTGGGTCGGCGTTGAATTTGTTATCCAAGAGGGCGGCTATAGCTTGAGAGTTTTGCGGGTGTCGTTTCTGCGCGCTGAGTCTTGAAATTTTTCTCAGATTTCTTGTTTATACGTTTTTGCTCCCCCCCCCCTTTTTTTTTTTTACTCCTTCCCGGGGGATGGACTTCTTTGTGTTGAATAGTTTGAGAAAAGTTTAGGTTTTCCGAGGTGGTCGTGACTCCCGTTGATTTTTTCAGAGCATCTTTTAACCTTACGCCCCAAGCTCTCAATTCTTCTCTCTCTCCTCTCTTTCCCCTGCACCCCAGCAAACCCTCCCCAATGTCGAGGGAGAGAGAAAAAAGTTCAGAAATGAGCCACTGACTTATCCTCCATGCTCATAAACCAGCACCAGTAATCATAATAAAAGCTGCATACCCTCTGCATACCCTCCGATATCTAACAATACAACCGAATGACAACCCATGACCAGGTCAAGATCTTCTTCCCCAAAACAACACTCCCCGAGAAACGCCTCAAACCCTCTGTCCGCGATGCACACGTCTAAACCCCTCATTCATATCGCCAAGTATAGCCCCACCCGCAAGCCCTCCACTTCTCGAAGACAAGATATCATTCACAACCTCCGTCAACGCACTTGCAGCACGTTGGGGTGAAGACCTCAGATGCATCTTGTATCGGTGGTACTCGACCGTCTGAACCACGTCGAACGCTACCAAGAGTAGTGAAAAGACCCTTGATACCTCTAATCAGTAAAGAGGAAGTCAATAGGATATCATCCCAAGGCGTCGGGTACCAGAGTTCAAGAGTCATAACCACAAGCGGAACCCCCAAACCACATACCTCCTCGCAGGAGATAAACCGAGAGATGCTGGACATGATCGCGCATAGTGTGAGGAGGTCCAGAATCGTTTGAAAACTTGCTATGCGTCAGCCAGCCTGGCACCCCCTCCCCAACCCTCAATCGATTTTACCAAAAAAACTTAAACCCCGACTTCCCACAGCGATCCACAACAATGCCAATCAACGCGGCACCCATCGAAAGAGCCCCCTAACCCCCAGCTCCGCACTGAGTTATCAAGCCCTATTTACAGCGAAGGGGGAAGAAGAAAGAAAGAGAAAAAGACAAACAGGAAAAACATTTAGAAAAACCCCTTTATTCCATGGGCTCATCCGGATATTTTTGTGATTCATGATTACGAGGGCGGAACCGAAAGCTAGCGAGAGTGTGCGGATAGAGAAGAGGCACCAGCCCCATCTCGCGATGCGGTGTTCTAGGAGCTGTTGCTGGAGGTGTTCCCGTACTTTCAGGGTGCGGGTGATGGTTTGGGGGGACATTGTTTGGGAAGGGGATAGAGAGCGGAGTGGAGAGGAGAGTGGAGAGGGGGGTGGTTCGGTGCTCATTTTTGGAAGGGTGAGGGAAGGAACGGAAGGTGGCTGGCAGAGGAGTATGGGGGTCGAGGGAGGGCAGGAAGGATGAAGAATAGGGAGGGCGTTGGAGATGGATGAGGAATACGCGGATAGGTTGACGGTTCGATTGGGGGTGTCGGATTGACTTTCTGTAGGCTGCGTGGATCCAGCAAACAGTACAATAACATGATAGTGCATTTCTCGATAGATAGATCACACCATCACTTCCAAAAGAACCACTCCCATACACACACAGCGTACGAGCTCTGGCCTCCCCAAATCTCAGACGATACTATACCATCCATGTGGAGCATCCAACCACTCGATTCAAGCCTTTCATTGCATAACAAACAAGACGTATTCAAGAGTATCCAGCAATCCATGAACACCACTAGCACTCAATCTACCATACCAGAACCTCAATGAGTGTTATCGACATTCACCCCTACCCAACCATGCACACTCACTCACCAAACCCAGAAACAAGGCCTCAAGCCAAAACACCAACCCCTCCCTTCCAGGTGCCAAACAGGGTGGTTCACAAAGACTTAATTTTATTCATCCATTAAATTTTGTTCCTTTATTTTAAAAAAACCAATCATCAACCGTTGCATCCACCCCCAGCGGAGGAGAGTTGAACCTCCAAACCTCCCATTAGCAGTGAGCGACCCCGCCACTAACCGTCAGGGAGTTGGGTGCCGGTCAGCGGTTTTATACCTTCTTCCAGATTCGGCGGTAAATGGGATGTGCAGACTTCCCGGGCCTATTGCGGTCCCCACAGGAATGGGTAGGATGGGATCTTTGCATTCGGCTTTGGTCGGGTGTAGAGGGCGTGTGGGCGACCACCTGGACGTGGATATCGCCTTTTTCGGTACTCGCTCCCTCCACCGCTCGTCTTCAGAATATACACTGCTCACTTCAAGTCGGATTGCTGGATCAACTCGAAGCTGTAATATACTCGTTCCGATCCCACCCCCTCCCCGTAGGGCACCGACGCCTGCTTATGGTGGCTCTGATATTACGATACCATCCTCCCTCGTCGATCCGTGCCAGGGAGTAGCTTATATCGATTGCAAAACTCACGGGAGCCAACTTATGCCCAAATCCCCCTCCACCGGGCACTGCCACGGCTCTCGCTCTAACATCTGCCGACCCTAGCAACTGCTCCCAACAACTTCCCTACACTCCCGTGTTACTCTAGCATAAACGGTAGGGCGCTTCCTACGAGCGCCGGCATGGTATCGCTTGTGGTTGGTGCAACAGACTCGGCGGACCACTCACCCGCGCTTCCAAAAGCCACCCTAACCTATCGTACCGGTACCGGTACTGTACTGTACTGTACGAGCACTCTCCATCACCCCAACAGCCAAGCAACCCCAAAAATTTCCTAGAAGCACAAACCAATCAACAGGGATAATCCTCACTCCCATCTTCAGACTCGGTCTGATTCGAAATGCTTAACCGTCAACATCACCTTCCCCTTCCGTCTCCAAACCCTCCACGACCTCCTTTCCCTAATTCAACCCCGGGCTCTAAATTCCATTTCTAAACTCCCACCTCCTCCTGCGGGGAGGCACCGTTACGCTATATAAAACCTGACAATGATATACCGCCCCCACAAAGATCATGTCTCACGCCCGCCTCCCCATCAACCTCCGGAGTCGCAAGCAGCAAACACCCTCAGTCTCTCCGACAAGCAATCTCCACTATTAGAATTCACAGCCTCGGGGATACCGATCGTTCATGGGCATTTGGAGCCCCAGAAACTACCCACTACCGCTGTTGCCACCGCTGCTGCTACAGAGCAACGGAAGGGGATTACGACGATGCGCATGGGGATGGACGCGGGGGGAAGTGCGCGAGGGGGGGCGCGCCGAGGTGCTGGTCAAGGGAGAGACCATTGAACATTAGATCTATATAATAAGTTAGATACTTTACGGGGGTTGACAACTTTTCATAGCCTATCACTCGCTACAGCAACTCACAACCTGTTGAAACCTGCTTCTGACACTACCAGTAACGGGTATTGTGGTATCATTCAGACTATTACTTTTTCTCCTTACATCAATTCCTATCCCAGGCACACATCTAGGTCTCCGGTACTATTGAAGATACCTCCTTGCATTTCTATTTACTTTTCTTTCCTCTGCTATTGTTACCGTTCGCTCAACCTAATTGTCTCGCTCACAATAGTAGATAGTAAGAGCTTCTCGCTCCTCCTTTTTAGAGAATCAAGCATTCATCGTTCTCAATCACACAATCTTCTTCGCCGTGCAAACACTCCTCACCATACTCTCACAATACAACCGGGCATCACTAGCTTACAGGAAAGTAATCAATTCTGGTCGATTTTATTCGCTGTGATACGTAGAATTTCTTCCCTCTCTCCCCCCCCCAAAAAAAAATCCCAGGAATCCATACCAGCAAAAGAAAAAGAGGCGAGACAAAAAAAACGACCAGGAATCAAAAAGGCAACGAGAGAAAGCCTATAAAACAACCCAAGAAAATTCAAGCTCCATCGACCTTCAAAGTACTATTTGCGCTCAATATTAGTGTCCTCCAGAAGGAGGATGATACCCATTACCCCCCGTAGGCTGATACTGAGACGGTGGGGTTGCTCCCTGGTAGGAACCCCCGGAGGGGGCAGATGGGTTGAATGGACCACCTTGGTAGCCTCCAGGAGCACCGTAACTTGGGGGCCCAGAGGTAGGAGGAGGGGGTTGATTGTTTCCAGGGCCACTATGAGGAGGATAACCACCGGGAGGGGCCTGGTAAACGCCCGGGTTGTATTGTCCCGGGGGAGGAGCACCGTAAACGCCCGGGTTGTATTGTCCCGGGGGAGGAGCACCGTACTGCCCCGGGGGGGGTGGATGGCTCTGGTGAGGAGGCGGGTACTGGCCCGGAGCACCGCAAGGAGCCGGGTTTTGTTGGCCGACTGCACCGGAGAACTGCTGGGGAGGAGGATAATACTGCTGGGGGGGTGCGTGAGGATTTGCGTTATACGGAGGGTTGGGAGGATTCGGCGAAGGGCTAGATCCGGGGTATCCAGAGTGCTGCTGTTGGGGCCGTCGACCGCATGTTAGCACAAATCCTGGGTCTTCTCGTTCATATCTAACACACCTGTCCGGGTTGCCCGTGGCCGCCTTGACCATGGGCCTGTTGAGTTCCATGAACCGCACTCCCCAATAAACCTCCGAAACCACCAGTTGAAGAACCGTGGGAAGGGGTACTGTGCCCAGAAGAGCCTGCATGCGGTTTCTTTCCTCCCAACAACCCACCAGCTATATTACCTGCCTGACCAAGAAGTCCACCTCCACTGCTGCCATGCCCGGAAGAGCCACCATGCGGCTTTCCTGCCAATAATCCACCTGCCTGACCAAGAATTCCACCCCCACCACTGCTGTGTCCACCGCTGCCGTGTGAACCGCTAGAGTGTTTCCCACCTCCCAGAATACCTGATGCCAACGCACCAAGACCCCCACCACCAGACCCGTGGCTTGTTTTTCCACCGCTCAGTAAACCCTGTGCCAAACCACCCGCGATTCCTCCCAGGCCGCCAGCGCGGGTGGATGTCTGCCCATCAGGCTGGGGAGAAGGGCTGCTATAACCCGGTTGGGTAGGACCCTGACCCCCGGTCGTGTAATCTGTTGGTGGTGCAGGGTAGCTGCTTGGGGTCTGCGGAGCAGGAGTAGAAGAGGCCGAAGAGGTAGGGACCTCCCAAGTAGTATGAGCTGTTGAGGTCTGAACATAATAGTAACGTTGGGTGGAGGGGTCCCATTGGGCGATCCTAGAGCCAATCGTTAGCCACACCCTCGCAGGGCAAATCCGAAGAGAAGGAAATTCCCAGGGGAAAGACTCACCACCCGTGTGGCAGAGGGGGGGGAGAAAAACTGGGCCCGGTTGCATTAGGGGAAGCAGCGGTGTTAGGTGGACTAGGTGCCATGGCTATGTGCGCGTGCGGTGGTCGAGAGTGCGGGGTTTGTTTGATGGAACGAAAAAACCAAAAAGACGGAAGACGAATTGCGGGAGGCGGAGATGAAAAGAGGAAGATGGAAGGCAAGGGCTATTGTATCCGCCGATGAGGGAAGAATGAAGGGGGGAGGAGAGGGGGGAGATGAGAAGAGGAAGGAACACAACAAATAAAAGCAGAAGAGGGGGCGAGTGAGGAGTGTAGTGCGGCAGGGTACATTGTACAGTACACGCAGTACCAGTACCGTAATTCACCGTGCACCGACCGTTCTACAAGTATTATATGATACCGGCAGCACAGTACTTGTACGAGTACTGTAAGCAGGGAACAAAGGGTGAGTGAGGCGGGCAGTGCAACACCTGTCCCAGTGGACCCTTCCTTCTTCCTCCTTTTTGCAGTCCCGTAATTGCCATTTTGTTCTCACGATTTCATGCCGATTCTCGCGGGTAATTAATTTGTTGATTTTTATTCTCTCTCGATCCCCATCCACCCATACAGTAGAGAGAGAGCGGTAATTCCCTCCCTCTCGTGACTGCATGTCATATGGGACATCTCATGCCTCATCCCCTCATCTCATCCGTCCGGCTCTTCCAGATTCACGGCAACCACCTACCGTATGGCACAATAGCTTACAGTGCAGTATCATACATCGAACCAGTCCACCACACCACACACCTCCCCTCCTCCCCCAGCCGGGGACACGGAACCGCTCGCGCGTAACCGCGATAAATGGTAGCACGTAGGGGACAGGTACTGTAGGGTAGACCCGGTAGAGCACAACGCTCCTGCTTCCACCGTTCTCGAGGCCAAAATCGAGCTGAAACTGAGGGAATAAGCCATCAAATCAATCAGGGACCCGGGGCACCCCTCTCGTCCACCCACCCCCACCACCCCTCAACCACCTCCCAGAATCCCAACAATAAGACAGCAACCCTACCGTATCGCAGAGGCCGAAGCCTCGCACCCACGACACTCGTAGTACTCGAGTATGGTACCCGTTGTAGGGACTATTAGAAAGTTATGGCGCAGCGCATGGGATCCACAGGAGAGAAGTCCATCCTCCCCCCCTACTATCCCAATGCCTCCGGGTGCCCTGACCCAAGCTCTTCCGCGGTGCGGAAACAGACCATGGTGCGGTTCTGATACCGCACTGCTGCGCCCGGGATGGTTACGTTTCCCCCCTCTCCCTGCCGCGCTGTGCGGACTATTGTCATCTCGGCGGTATTCCATGCAAATGCCTGGAGACCTGAAAGGTGGAACCAGCACTGCCACAGCGCCACACTCTCTGACGACCAATCATTCCAGCCCTTCGGTTAGAAAGTTTCCGGTGGATGGTACGGTACCCCTCTGTGGCGCGTCAGGGGGTTGAGACAGGGGAGGAAGGTTACCCTGAGGCTTATATATCTTGGCACACCCAAATCTAACGTCTCAGCTCCTTGAACGCTCGCAGTATTCCCACCATCTTTTGTTGCAATCGACTAGATTGGGATCTCGTTGGCCGACCCGGGAACACCGATTGCTTGGGTAGATGTCACGGCTCAGAGGTGCCCTAAAGCATCGGCATCGGGGGGGAATCCTTCAGGCAGCGCGGCTTGCGGTAGTTTTACAATGCAGTGCAGTACCGGTACCGTACTCTAGTACAGGTACAATACCGGTATGATATTTGAACACGAGTGCTTCCATACCGAAATAGCCACGGATAGAGAGAATTCGAATCCGATTCATCTCCCTGAGCCATGGACTCCCACTAGACCGATGCTCTGAACAAAATTTGGCCCCAACCCGACGTTCACGGCACCCCGGTGCTGCTATGATACTGTACTCGCCAAAGCACCCAACGTACCCGTGCCTTATGATACCCTTCGCAACAGCCGCCACAACTGCTAACCCCGTCCTCTATCTCTCAAAGCTCTACCGGTATCATACATCACCCCCCTTCCTCCACGCAACACGCAGCCACCATCAAACGGTCCACAAGCTTCTCCCCAATCACCTTCTCGTCCGAATCGCCCACTCCGTCATGTCGACCACGGCCCCGGCCCCAACCCCAACCCCACCCCTATCCCTTCCAACCTCTTCCTCCAATTCCACAACCGCAGCAACATCTTTATCAGGGCTATCACCAAACAGCACTTACACGCCACGATACATAGACGTAGGAATCAATCTCACATCCTCAGTGTTCCACGGGAGTGACCACGGCAAGCAGGTTTGTCCTCCCCCCACTACAAAATTGCTCCCCGACTAACGACATCAAAGTACCACGAGGATGACCTAGAAGACGTACTCCATAGGGCAAAAGAAGCCGGCTGCCAAAAGTTAATGGTGACAGGTTCTTGTTACGATGAGAGCAAGAGTGGATACGAGCTCGCCCGGCAACACCGTACCTACTCCGCCCTTTTCATATCCCATACCTCAACTAACTCAATCTCAGCCGGCCTGATCTACAGCACCGTAGGCGTCCACCCCTGCAGCGTCAAGCTTATCGACTCCCACCCCTCCGGCCCAGAAGCCTACCTCTCCTCCCTCCGCACCCTGGCCCAAGAAGGTGCATCATCCGGGTACGTAACCGCCTTCGGTGAGATCGGCCTCGACTACGACCGCCTCTACCACGCATCCAAGGAGGACCAAAAGAAGTATTTCGTCCTGCAGCTCGACCTAGCAGAGGAAATTTGCCTGCCTCTGTTTCTCCATTCCCGGGCCGCGGCGGCGGACTTTGAGGATATACTATTCCCGAGACTACCCAGACTAAAGGGCGGGCTCGTACATAGCTTTACCGGCACGGTAGATGAGATGCGTAGGCTTGTTAGCGCGGGACTGTATATTGGCGTTAATGGGTGCAGTTTGAAAACTGAGAAGAATTTGGAGGTTGTGAAGCAGATTCCCTTAGAGAGGTTGATGCTTGAGACCGATGTATATCCTCCTCCCCTCTTCCTCCTCTCCCATCGGAGGAGGATAGTTGACGGTGAAGTAACCAAGCTTGGCTAGGGACCGTGGTGCGAGATTCGACCTTCGCACGCTTCTTACAAGCTTTTGAACAAAGACGAATGCCCACCAATCCCAAAACAGGTCCGCCGCGATAGGTTCAAGAAGGGCCTCATGGTTAAGGGCCGGAACGAGCCTTGCAATATCCCGCACGTGGCATACATCGTTGCGGCAGTCAAGGGGGCCCCACTAAAGGAAGTTTGCGAAGCTGCATGGAAGAATACCCTAGATTTGTTTGGCATGGACAAAACGGCATAAGCCAAGTTTTTGTTTTGCGCCGACGCTAGATTGTAATGGGCGCTTCGTTGTACGGGTATTGGCGTTTAAGAGAGTCATCACTAGAACTTTCTTCTCTCTAGCTCGAACAGGCACGCACATCTACGCGCGCGAGTAGCCAACAAGAGCATCGCAAATCCCTTTAATCGCACAAAATCACTTTCTCCGCAAACCCTGTACAATCTGATATACGGAATATACCGCTGCGGTACCCGAAAATTGTAAAACAAATTTATCCCACAAAACCTGAGAGGGCAACATGAGGAATCGATCAACAGGGAATTTTAGCATGAGTGAGAAGAAAGGTAATTTGCTTTCTCTAATTCGCAAAAAAAGAAAAACTAAAAAAAACTGCGCGCCCATAACACTGTAGCCAACAATCAACAAAGACAATATGAAAAACAAGATGCAGAAAGGTAAAGTAAAAACAAAATAAAAAGAAGCCGCAAACAAATGATCCAGGCTCCGTATTTCTGCCCTTTTGCTTTTTTTTTGCTTTTTTTTTTGCTTTTTTTTTTGAGCCCCTCACCATCATCAATCATTTCTACCCCTTTTCCCTCTCGAGCTCTCCCTCCCCCCCCTCCGCTCGCTCACTCCACGAATTCACATATATCCGCCGTAACCATTGCATCCAAGACAACACGTCCAGGAAGGTAAACGCAACACAAAGTATAATATGAGCGGTTCACAGGAAAACAGCGTTGGAAGAGAAATAAAATGACAAGAAATAAACCCGATACTGCTTCAACGTCAGAAGAGAAAAAAATTTCATTAAGATCCGTTTCTCCATTTCCCTCTTTGCGAACCTAAAGGAAAAAGAATCACAGAGCCCGAGAAGCAATGAACCAGACTGGAAAGAAAAGAAAAGAAAAGAAAACCGACCCTATAGACCTCTGGCTGCACACCTTTCAAGAGACAAGCAAAGACAAACCATAAGAGAAAAAGTAAGATGGGTGCGGAAAGGGAGCGGCAGATACTATAGACTCTACGCCCCGCCGCCCTACCAAGGGCATCGGCAGGGAGGCTCTACTTCGCAGTTGTAGGCTCTCCTTTCTGTTCGGCCGATTCCGGGTTTGTCGCCTGAGTCTTTGATGATATATCAATCTTCTCGTTCTCCTTTCCCTTTTCTGATTTGGGATCATCCTTCATTTTCTCGTCCTCCTCGTTCACTTTCTCACCCTCCTCCCTCTTCTCCGCTGGAGTGATTCGTTCTAACGCCTCATCATCATTTTCTTCCTCCTTGCCTGGCTCATCGTCAAACATCTCCGCATCATCTGAGTCAGTCAAAACCTCAGTTCCGTCGCCGAGCATGATAATACGACCAGCTCCACCTGCGGAACGAACAGAGTTATTGGACTCTCTGGCATCAAACTCATCCGGGCTATCGTCAAAGTTGGTAGGATGAACACCGGGTCCGCGGAATTCAGCTATCCACCGTATGTTAAACCAAATTATAATTTCATAATAGGTTCTAGACAACGCCGCGACTTACCATATTCCGGAGGGGCACATGGGCCATCGCCATCGGCAACCCGCTTTGCAATCAAATCATACCACTCCTCCTTGGTCATATTCCTGAGGAGAGCGACAACAATCATAGTCATATTGTCGCAACCGACTCCACCAGTCTCACTACTTGAGGCAAGGCAGTTATCCATCATGTTTTCACATATAGTATGCAGCTCTTGCTTAGCAGCAATGCCACGACGGACAAACTCAATGACTGCCTGAGACGATTGGCAATCCCAGATCCCTAGTAGCGCAGTCAGCATCAACGACCCCACGTTAGCAGTATTTCCCGGAGAATCGTACCGTCGCAAGCAATGGCAAGGAATTCGTCATCATCGGAAACCTCGTGAATAACCACATCAGGGAAAGCAGTAACTATCTGCTGTTCAGGCGGAAGATCGGCGCTCCTCTTAAATTCGAAATCCCCAATTGCTCTAGACAATGCAAGGTTGCCATTAACTCGTCCAAAATCGACAAACCCACCAGCGGCACATATTCTGGCCTTCTCTCCTAAAATTTTGGAAAGTCAGCCATCCATCCATCCATCTCAAAAAGGTTCGCGAGAGATAGCAAAACAAACCTTCATTCTGCGGCTTATGATCAAAAGACAAGGGTTTCGCTCTACCCTTTACTCCTAAAACCGTTCGAGAATCACCGGCATTCGCCTTCCCTACCATTAGTATTTATAAATTGCAAGCCTTGAGCCATACTTACAACATAAATTTTGGTATCGGAAATAAGAGCAGTAGAAGCTGTGCACCCGGAAACCTCATCATTATACTGGGGATCTAATCAATTAAAACGGCAACTATCAGCAACACTTCAACCCCAACCAGCCAACAAAAAGGCCAGCCGACAGATAAGCATCGATGAATCACCCTGCAAAATAGCTCTATCGGTAGCTAAAAAACCATCCTTTAACGCCTGCTCGTAATTGGAGTCCTTGAATGCAGATTGTTTCGCCAATATTTTGTGAACATTTTCACCGCTGAACATGGCAACCTTGTCTCCGCCGTGGCCATCGTATACGCCGAAGAAACTTATTCTGCCCTCGGGGCCTGTCTTGTTCGGGTCATCGGTATTCTGGAGGTCAAGGACCGCCGCATGAGCATCTTCCATCGTGACGCGCCACCCTTGCATAGATGATATGCCATAGGCCAAACGGTTGTCTTCACCACTCTCTGATATCTATCCGATTTGGCAAAAAAAAACAAAAAAAACACTTTGCGTCAGGAACTAAGTCTTTCTTTCATCCTTTCATCATCATGAACCACAGCGGCCAGAAGCGTCCCCATTGCATGCAGCACGTACCTTCTCCACCACTGGCTCTGAAAGGGTCTGACCCATGATAACGTTCTGTTGAATACGACGAGGGAAAAGGTAGTCTGTTTCGAAAGGTATGATATCAGTAAATAGGCAAATGGATAAGATTTCCAAAAGACCAAGCCGTAGATAGATTAATGGAGAAGTAGGATCAGGGAACGAAGCAGTTCATTATTCCAATAGAGGAAAAACGTGAGGAAAAATCAGAAAAACTCACAGCCGGGAAAGGGGGGGAAGAGAGTACAAACAGTGTTGAGTATTTCTCAGCAAAGTGGTCCACCTGGGCTGATGTTGGTGATTGGAAAGTTTAGAAGGTGTTGAGAAGGAGATGGATGGATGGATGGCGGGGGAGGGGAAGAGAGAAGGAAGGGCTTTGAGTGCGTCAAAAAGTCTGTGCGGCTTTGAACCGAAGCAGTGCCCAAAAGGTCAGAAGGGAAGAAAGCAACGACAACCGAGCGAACGAGTGACAGGGAGGTTGAGAAGGACCAGAACAGGAGGGAAACAGAAGAAAAGAGAAGATAAAACATTGATAGAGAAAAGGAAAGAAGAAGAAGGAAAAAAAAAGAATGCAAGAGCTAAGGAAGGAAGAAACTTGCAGCTTGCCAGGGGATGTTGCGTGAAATCTTGAACTGGAAGCAGGTAGAGAGAGAAGAGATTAGGACAAAAAAAAAAAAACCCAGGCAGAGTAGGATAAGGCTATGATAGCTCTAGTGAAATAATGACGAGATTTTCACCTTAGATTGGGTACAATACTAGTATCAGCAAAACCTTGTTTACAGTTCTTTCTTGTTCTTATTTCCTTGGGTTTCTTTTTTTTCTAAATTTCTTTCTCCCCTCTTCTCCCTCCCTCCCTCTCTCTCCCTCTCTCCTTTTTTTTTCTTCACTTGAACGTTGGTTGCGGTCGCGTGCGTTGTTTCCGGGAAGGAAGAAACTAAATCGCCGAGAAGCACAGTAACGGTAAAGGAATAAAAATCGGCCAAAGCAAAAGAAAAAAAGGTACGGGTATGGATAATGAGAATCAGGAAACAAACCAAAGTTCAAAGATTGTCCCCGAGAGCCTTTCGACGTTTGCTTTTTTCTTTTCTTTTCCTTTGCTGTATGAGAAAATGTGGAGGCGTGCAGTTGCAAGGAGTAGGGTGGTGTGCGGTGGTGGTGGCTCACCCGCTTGTAAATTAGAAGTTTCCTCCCTCTACGAGTATCTTATCGTGGGGAAAGGGTCCGAATCATGATGCAGTACAGTAAAGTACCGGTATTCTACTCGTATTCTACAATTCAAGAGAACCGTTGTCTCTGCCCGTAGGATACTGTATCCAGCATATTCTGCAAGAAAATAGCATTGTCCATTCGGACGGAAAAAAAAAAAGGTCTGGATGGTAGCCTAAGGTAGCCTAAGATACTACATTCACAGAAACCTCTTTGGCAAATAGCCGTGATACTTGTACCGTACTTGTACTCAACCAAATACGGCACGATATATCGATAGCAGCTTACCTGCAACCCAGCGTCGGGAGCAGGCTTGACTATCGATCTGTTCCTATAGCAGTCAACAAAAGCTGCCGCCTTGTCGAGGGGTACAGTATGAGTGGAAAAAAAAAATGAAAAAAAGAGAGAGTGTGTGAAATGAAGAAGCATGCCTTCTCCTCCCTTACTTTCCCTTCTTTGCTATGCCCCTTTTTTCCAACAATTGTGGGTTAGGCTGCCACACAGTATCAGTAACATTGTCATATCATACCGGTACTGCTCCTCCACAGCCCACAGATCAGACAGCAGGCTGGTTGCAGTACCGTACATTACAGTACTCGTACAGTACACTGCCGCACCGGTAGAAACGGACAGGAAGTGAGGCAGGGACTCCTCACGAGGGAACCGGAAGAAGTGAAAAAGGAAAAAAGCACGAGTGCCACAGAGGAACAGACGGGGGGGGCAGGCTGTTTTCCCCAATCTGGGGTAGATATCACTTCTACCGGCGCCTATCAACTGTCTCTCTCCATCCGCCCTTCGACAATAATCCATGCCTAGGCTCGTTGAGATCCACAATTCAAAAAAAGTAGTAATGCACTACTATGCGAATACCGGTACCGGTATGTTGTCGTGCTTGTACGGTACGGTAAGTCGAAGCACCGGTACTGTGCGATCTGTACCGTGCGCTACGTGTGAACTCTCAATCGATCTCAGCTTAGCTGCCAACAAATCGATACATTTCTGCCCCACGGAAGAAGAAAAAGAAAAGGAAAAAAAACCCCCTTCCAGCAGGAAATCGATCACCCCGCAGTCCATCGCCGCGATAGAATTTGGCGCCCACGACATCACTTACTGCATGCTGTAAGAACTTGAAAGTCTGGTCTTGGATCTCAGTTCTCCCTGCCTTCTATACCCTACCTTACCGGTCGCTATGTACGAGCACGAGGATGCCATGTTATGTATCATAGTATAGTTTTATGCAATATGTGCTTTAGTAACTACAAATTCAAGAGTTGCCGTAGAGTCATTCTATGGCTTGTAAGAGGTGAATCATTTTAGAATGGCAAGTACCACCGGACGTGCCTCGCCCATCACTGGGTTATTTTGATGTCAATCCGAATGGAACACTAATTATCATACCATGCATTCGTCCTTCATAGCCCTACACAGATTCCCCTTCTCGTTCCTTTCAGCCCTTAGCAATTATCGATGTTCAGCTGCCAATCCTGGTCCTGGGATGCTGAATCCTGAGAAACCCAGCTCAAAGTTGCCTCCATCGAGCGCAGGATAGCGCCTATCCCGTCTAAGGAAATGGAAATGTAAAAAAATAAAAATGAAAATGAAAAAAGTAATGAATGCGGATTATCAACATTACGGCACTTCAAACGGAATGAAATGACGAATGAGTGGAAGAAAAGGAAGAAGGAAACAGCCCTGGGAAGGATTAAAAGAGAAAAATACAGCAAATATGTAATTCATCCTATCTTTCCCAACGCAGGAAGGCCCCCCCCCCAAAAAAAAAGAAAGGAAAGGCTACAGAAATTCCATATTCCCCGGAAAACTGCTCTTGAAGTTACCATCCTCCCTGATGTCTTCACTGATACTAATAGGCCGCTTCCTGGTGAAATCCACCAGCTTTGCCCGCGGTCGCGCTCCCTCCCCCCCAGCCCCTTCCGAGACTCCAGAATGTCGTGCATTCCCATAGCTTCTGCCTGAAATCCTTAACCCTTCGACCTTTGCTGCTGCAGATGTCACGGCAACCCCAAATTCTATAGGCTCGTATTGGTAGTACGAGGACGCACCCCGGCTCAAGGCTGTAATTCCACTTTCCCGAGACTGACTCGGGTGCCAAACCCGTTGGCCGCTCTCGTCAACCATGTGCGAGAAGCCGGAGTCACCTTCGCTTCCCATGCTTCCCGTAGGGTATTGTCGCAGGTTTGGAAATGACGAGGATGCCCCAATATTCCCGGGGCGACAGGTGCTTTCATATCGCCGAAGGGGTGTTTCTGGTAGGTTGACAGAGGAATAGGTTCCGATAGTCCTTGTCTGGCTTGGCTCACGACTCATAATTCGTATAGCGTCGTCCATAAGGCTCCCTTGACCCTCAAGCTCTTCTCTCGGCGAAGCCATACCCCCCAGCGGCATCCTCGGGATGCTCCTCCAGGCATTTTCTAGGCCCGCGAAGAATGGTGAGGATCCTTTTGGTCGGCCAAAGCTTGACTGCTCCCGCTCTTCGCTGACCTCGGACTCGGCACCGACCAATCGAACGCTGGGGTGATCGAGGTAATTGATTTGGCCGACCTGAGCTATTTGATTGAATATCTCTGTCGAGACCGTTTCGAAGGAGCCATCGCTTTCTCTCAAGCTCCGCCCACCTTCTGCCCACTGGGCCGGGCTCATGATACTCTTTCTCCATGACCTCTTCAGGACCCCATATCCCGGCGGTCTGCCATAAGGCGGTTTTCTATTGCCCGGGGCAAGCGAGAGCCGGTGGCTACTAGTTACACTTGAGCGCCTTCGATTCATACTTCCGCCGCTCAACTTTCGGGTTAAACGGGCGCATTCTTGTCGAAAATTTGGCCTTGCACGCCGGGTAGAAGCAAGCTGCGAGAAGTTGACGGGCGCTAGAGGGGGTGTACTGTCCTGCCCTTCGAGAGGCGCCAGGGATTTTTCGGCTAGTGAGTGAGGTGGCCGCTCAAGTGTAGGGGCATTTGGCGATTCCCCAAGTCCTAATATTGCCCCATCACCGCCATCGCTACTCAGAGAGGCCAAGAAATCTCCTGATATACCACCAGGCTCATTTGCTGTAAAATACCCAAAGGAAGACAACCTTCCCAACGGCGGCGATGTATCCTTCTTTACCGTGACTGCTCTGAAAGGTTGTGGAAGCAGCTCAAGGGGGCGAGAAATATCTACACCTACAAGGGACATCGGACGAGTCGAGGAACCTGCGTAAGAGCTGTAGCCACCCCTGTGCACAATGCAACACCAAATTATCAAGATGCTAACAATCACCAAAAGTGGCAGTACTGTGGCCAGAACGATGGTTAGAATCCTTTTGCGGCTGCTTTCGACCGACTCGGCATTCGTGGTCTTTTTTCCTAGAGTGTCCTTAGGGGCTGGCGTTGGCGTATGTGAGGTCTTAGTGGAGGATGTGGTCGATGTAGCAGATACTGAAACCACGCCATCCTCAATCGCCAGCATCTCTATACTCTGTGAATCTACCAAATCTCCAGACGAAGTCCTTGCTGAAAGCCTGATCTTCACCGATCGCAGGTCCTCAGGAGCGCGGCCGCTAAATTTAAATTCCTCGGGATCGAAAGAAATCCAGTCCGCCGCCGGTTCGTAAACCGCAGACAGTCGAACACCAACAGCAGTAATCCGTGTCTTGTTGAATGTATGCTCAAAGGCCCTGCCTCTAGTTACGTTGAAGTCTGGGAAATCAAGAGTGAAGACTCCCGATTTCACTTTAATACTGATAGCCATTTCCGCATGCCCTCCGAAAGCGTCTTTGGCGGATATAACAACAGTCGTAGATTTAGTCCCTGGTGGAGGTGTACCACTGAGCACGCGATTGTTTTTATTGAACGATAGCCAGTCAGGAGCATTTGTGGATACTCCCGTTAGGTTCTCTAGCGAAATTGGCGTGCCATCAAGTAGAACTGAGCCAAGTGGGATCTCGTAATTGAACGCACTTCCCGTAGCTGCACTCACCTCCAGATAGGTGTCCTTGAAACGAAGAGCATGCGCCCCTATCACCATCCCGAAATTCACGGATGCCCCCGTAAACCCAGGATAGTCAGACGCCACAAGTGTGATATTGAATGTTTGTGGGGGAGCTATCAAAGAAGTGATATCAGGCGTGGTCCCGGAAAACCTCATCGTCCCTTGATCAAAGTTTATCCATGAAGGCAGAGGTGTATTTTCCGAAGAAACCGCTTCATAGCGTTGGATTTTATCGAGTGGAGAAAAGGTATCAGGTGCAAAGGAGAAACCGTATCTTTGCCCAGGAGCGAATACTAGTCCCCGTTTGCCATCCGTTGGCCCAAAATTCCCGAGCTGTGAATCAATAGTTCTCACTACCTTTAGCCCAGGCTCTGTGGATACAATAAAGGCAGCTTCATGATCTACGGATTGCCCCGAGGCGTCCCGAGCCTTTATCCTCACTTTGAAAGAACCGGAATCCTTCTTTGGTGGGACGCCATAGAGCTTTCGACTACCACTGTCGAGTTGCAGCCATTCAGGGCCACCACTCAGTGTGAACTGTAGAGGTTGCGCATCTGATAGGAATGTCGATGATGAGAAAACGAACTCGAAAGGTTTAGTAGCCCGAGCAACCGGCGGTACTTGCGAGCTTATCGGAAAGGCTACAAAAGGTGCACCTGCATCGATAACCACCGAGGCAAAGGAAAGGAACAACAGCAAAGACATACGAAGGAATGAGCGGCCTCTGTATGAACCATTAGTTAACTATTTCAACTACTTTCCGGACAAAGGCACTTGCCCCATAAGTCTTCCAATTATGTCAATATATCTCCAATCAGCCCCCAGAGAAATATAGCAGATAAATCCAAAAGAAAGGCAATAAATAACCAAACCGTTCGTCAAAAGGGCGGACAAGAAATTGCGAAGAAACCTAAAAAGGAGTGTAGGAATAAACAAAAGAGGCTTTCTAGACAAAAGAGCGTCTGGTGGGGGAAAGAGAGTAAAAGTGACTGAAAGAGAATATCGGAATGATATCTCGAAGACCCGGGGGGGGGGGGCTACATAGGCTCCCATGTCCATTAAGTTCTCCCATCCTGAAGACTCTCTCCCTTACGTAGTTGCTCAAAACCTAAGGAACGTAGACTTGAGTACCTCATGGTCGTGAGGCAAATCCCACTATGCGGGAAGACACTGCCATCATCGCAATTGAAGAAAGGTCGCGATTTCCATATCCGGTGCGTGGAATGGTATGGAATTCAGTGTAGACTAATGCCAGGGGTCCCCAGGAAGCCAAATCGCCAAAAGTAACTCCATCGAGAAATTCCCATAAAGGATAACTCAAAAAAGCGCAGCCATGTTCATGATTGCTAATTCGCCAAAGTGGCTTCCATCCTGATACCATGGCGTCCAGCGGAGTAGTAGTCATTCACAGTCTCCCTCTCCTCAAATCCACATGAAAGGTAAAGCCTTCGTGCAGCTTCCCTATCCGCATCAACCCACAAGTCCACCTTCTCTGCCCCACCTTTCCTGAGCTCAGCGAGCACAAGGCCCAGCATCCACTTGCCGACCCCCTTTCCTCTCTGCTCCTCGACAACGCAAACCTTATGTATGCGTGTGACTAGCCTCGAGCGGACAAAGACGATATAACCATACAACTCCAAATCCCTGGACTTCCCTACACTCCCCCTGAGTGCACAATAAAAATGTGTAGTCCGCTTAGCAAGCTCACCATCAAAATCGAAAATCTCACTGGTGGGGAATGTTCGTTTCTCAACTTGCTTCACAGAGCGAAGTAGTGGATCCGAAGGGCTGCGCAGCTCCTTTGCTGAAGGCTTCACAAAGCTCAGTTCCGTGAAATTCATAACAAACGATACCGTTAATTTCTTAGGTTCGCTGCCTGGGGGATCCGGGGGGGGTACGGTATCGGTATGATGCGAGGAGTTTCCGGACAATAGACGTGACAAAACTTTCCACCCGTCTTATGGCTTGGCATCCCGATAAGGTCCCCTGCCCTCAATCACCATCCATCCATCACTTGCTCTGCCACAATCGAGATATTACCGTAACCGGCTGTGCTCGCACAAGGCATCCAACAATGTATAAATTAAGGCTCTCAAACGAGCAGATTAGTATCACATACAGTAATCAATCACCAACCTAAATATGAGCCTCTTCGGACCTTTCTTCTACCGGTATGATAATATCGTATGATACAATATCCTTTAAATCACTAAAGAGCACCCAGAATTAGTCTAGCTTAGTCATCCCCACCCTGCTGCTACCGGTATGTTCCCACAGTGCCCAGCTCCGGAAGTCCAGGGCCAAGTTTAGGTAGGGAACCCTGACACCTGTACTACGAGTGCGGCCGATAGATATATTCGTCACGTGAGTCTGATAAGAAAATTTTCCGTGCACGTTTTAGCTGCGATGTGTCCTTAGATAGGGCACGTGACGAATATATTTATCTGCCGCACTCGTAGTACAGTGGACCCGTTTTATCAGAGGCCCTACCAGTAGGAGCAGGGAGGGCTTCCTAGGCCCTTGTTGTCCCCAAATGCCTAGCGACTCTCTGTGAAGCCTGGTAGACCCCCCCCATCTCTAAGCGCAAAAGAGCACCAAATCCGAGTGCTATACTGTGCCCCCAAGATCTCTGAGCCTCCCCGGAGTCCCTTCCAACCCCACAATCCAATCACCCAAGTCCCAAGGGCGCCTCGCCAACCATTTTTACTCAATGAACCTCTTCGGCGACAACAGCGACAGTGAAGTTGAGCCCTTCGGCGCAGATCTAGTCGAACTCGCACCGATCCTCAAACCCCGCATCACAGAAACCACATTCAACGGCCTCCTCTCGTCCCCGATAAAACTACACGAGGACCTCGCCAAGGGTTGTGGTGGGCAGATCTGGCCTGCCGGGGAAGCTCTTGCGAAGTATCTCTTACGCCGCTACGGGGGTGATAGCAATGGGTTGAGGGGGAAGAGGATTACTGAGCTGGGTGCCGGCAGTGGGTTGGTTGGGTTAGTACTTTGTTGTCTGGGGACAGTTATTCATTTCCTGGTGGGAGAGCTGATAGAGGTTCAGGCTTGCGGTTGCGGCAGGGTGCGACATCTCCGGGAGCGAACTTTACATCACGGACACGGAGGCCATGATGGAGATGATGACAAGGAACGTGGCATTGAATGGGCTCGATGATAAGATCAAGGTTCAGTTATTGGACTGGTAAGATCCGGTGTCTGGCATGGGGGTGCTGAGCAGCTTCTTATATCTTATTCCCTGCCATAGGAGTGAACCTATACCCGAGCCAATATCGCGGAAGCCTATGGATTTTATTCTAGCTGCCGACTGCGTATATACGGCTCGATATCTTTTTCGTCGGGTATTGCTAGTATTAACTACCGGTGCTACAGGTTTACTTCGAGCCGGCATTTCCTCTGCTTGAGAAGACACTGTAAGCGACAGGCTTAGGAGACCGTGTTTGTTGACATTGTGATCTAATATCCAGCAGAATTGACCTAATCGGAGAAGAAACGGTAGTCTTTTTTTGCTTTAAAAGGAGAAGACGGGTGAGTACTGAGCGCATTCTTCCAACAATGGCATCCAGATAGCTTACCATCACCCCGAAGGCCGACTTGACTTTCATGAAATCCATTAAGAAAAAGATAAACGTCCGAGAAGCCTGCAATGATCCCGAATATGCAAAGGACGATACCGACCACGCAACATACTCACGAGAGAATCTTTATCTGTATTTCCCTACCACTGAATCCCTACGCTCGGGGATAGGTTCCGTTTGCTAACGCGAAATACAAGGTATATTATGACCAGAAAAAAATAGAAGCCGCCCTAGCCTAGGCTCCCGAGAATAGCCGTATGCCTATAGCGCCCAGGGTAATACCAAGTTCGACAATGGGTTCAGCTCTCTCTTTGAACCACCCACCCGCATGCCCTGCAGCAGTCTCCTGCTCCCCTTTGACAAGAAGTGCCCGCATCATTCCCCATACCCCCAGCCGCCAACAACCCCTTACCCGACCCATTCCTTCCGAACCCCCTCGATATTGCTCCGACAGCCCAGATACCTCTCAGGATAAGGCGCCAAAACAAGAATCCAGATCCCCCTCCATTCCTTTAATCCTCTTCACCCCCCAGGGCATCAATCAGGGCTCCGGCACGGTAGTCGGCGTGACTAACCTTGGCAATTCTTGAACTCGTGAAGAATTTTCTGTAGGCCACGAAGCCCTCTTCCAGTCGTGGAGCCGTCAATCCCCACACCGCAGTCAGACTCGCAATAGATCTATCGCCGCCGATTGCGTTGATCATGTTTTCGGGTACTAGGTAAGACGCAGCTAAAAGCGGCCCAAATTACACATAGCCCGCCCATAGGCACACTATACCGCCACACGTTTCGAATTTAGGAGGCTTACCAATGGGAAGATCCCACAGAGTTCTTCGGGCTTGCTAGAGACCGGTATTAGAGAGTTTGCGCAGCGAGACCTAGGTGGTGTTAATATAAGTTAACAATAAGGCTTGGCCACCTGGTTCTTTGGTCCCACCTGGTCAAGGTGTAAAAACCCGAAAATCGGACCTGGAATTGAGGACCACAAATGTCCACTTGAATTGCACTTTTATGCCTCTATTCAGGTATGATTTTGTAGCTATTCTTCTCAAGGACAATCCTGAGAAGAGAAATTTCATGAAAGTTAAGAATCGGCTGATGGATTGACCTCTTAAATACATGGAATTTAAGAAACTCAACAATTGTCGGGAGTTTGATGGGCTGTTGATGCGAGTGGCAACCCCTAGTGACATCGTTAATAACTCCCACCTAGGTCTACCTGCGCAAACTCTCTATTGTGCTATCGTCGGGATGATGTCCAATAGTGACGCTCCGAGGACCCCAAGCCTGGGGCTAGCATCAACGTAGATGGTGAGTCTGTGTGCTACCATTTTGCCGCAGTCATAGCGAATACACGCTATCGGCTGTTTTATCCAGTCGGTCGGCTTTGGGGAGACCGAATGTCTTCGCTAGCCCTTCGAGAATATCTGAGCCAACGGATATCTCTGGGTGTTTTCTATCACACCCCCGGAGCCCTATGTGTTTCATCATTCCTAGTATCTTCATATCCCACACCCCATCATCGGAATCTCCATGCCATGTGAAGTAGGGATTTAGCGGACCACGTGCGTCCGGGATGAACGGGAGATTCTCGGGAAGCAGAGGTGTCAGGTACCAGAACCTACCGATCCCAGAGTGAGATCCGGTGAACTTGTGGGAAGGTGACAACAGACATGAGCATTCTGCCAACGTCAGTGTGGGTCCCGGAGAAGGTGTCTCGGGTTCCTTACGGTTGGAGGGGTTCGTGTATCAGGGCTAGGACAGGCGGCTCCTGGTCTATGGCGCCGTGCGTGGTTTGCTCTTGATCTATTGCTTGAGCAGAGTTTTAAGAGACGCCATGGTTAGATACCATGGGGAAGTGGGGTTCCATATAGTTACAGCGGCTATTCACCCATACACATCGGCCGGTAAGGCTTCCCAGCCCCCTTCAAGGCATCGATTCGCCTCTGCAAGGAGAGAACACCGCGATTGCGATTGCCAAGAAGGGTTCGGAAATACGAGTGCGGCCGATAAATATATTCGTCACGTGCCTTATCTAAGGACACATCGCAGCCAAAAGGTGCACCGAAATTTTCTTATCAGACTCACGTGACGAATATATCTATCGGCCGCACTCGTAGAGTTCTGCTAGTACCCGACATGAAGTGATGGTTAAGTAGTAAGGGGCGGGAGAATACAGGGGCGCCGATTGACTGAGGCACAAACCCCCGGCGACCTACCGCCCATGTACAGTATACAAGTATATGCCTCCCTAGCTACAAAAAAAAAAAAAAAAAGGCCAATAGCTGCAACGAGTGACAGATTGTGAATGCTAGAGTGCCACTTGTGTAACGCTGAAGGTTTCCGTTCCGCTCGTAGATCCTTCCCCTGGCAACCTACCGGAACGGCCGCAACACCACGTAAACCATATTTCAAGGAGCAAACGGAGCTCAAACGATGCCTTGAAATGACTAGCAACGACTGCTCCGACACCGCTGGCCTCCTCCGCAACTCACCCGAACACGCCGAAACAAACTCGCTCCTATCCGCCAGGAGCAGCAGCTCATCCGACGACCTTGTCGTTGCCATTCCACCGCCGCAGCCTGCCCCTTCTCCAATACCTCCTATAGCCCCCGTCCCACGAACGCCTAACAGAGTACGGTTTGCGTTAGATGAGGCACCCGGTGATGAAGAGGAGCAGAGGGTAGACGATAGGAGTTGGACCAATCAAGAGGACTTCCTACACTCTGACGAGGAGGGAGATGAGGGTGGGGGGGGGACCAGGGCCCCGCTGTTAACGGGGATAGAAGCCCCGTCTGTTACCGTGGCGAATGACTTTGAATTTGAGGATCTACTAGAGAATTCACGGCCAAAGAGCGGCATGCGGATGGCTTTCATGAACATGGCGAATAGTATTATTGGCGCTGGGATCATTGGTGAGCCTCCTTTTTCCCCGGTCCTTGGAGCCGCAAACTGATCTGTGATCGCTCTAGGCCAACCATATGCATTCCGGCAAGCTGGGCTTGGGATGGGTATATTCCTTCTCGTAGCCTTAACAATTACGGTAAGACGGGTAGGGCCCACGGTGTTTGTCACGCAGCTGACGGGAAATCTAGGTTGACTGGACAATCAACCTGATTGTGGTGAATTCCAAATTGAGCGGTGCGAATTCCTTTCAGGCGACGGTGAGCGCATGCTTTGGAAAGTCGGGCTTGATTGCTATATCAGTAAGCTCCTCATATCACTCACATATCCACCCGGCATAGCTAATGTTTACCACAGGTCGCTCAATGGGCATTGTGAGTTCACGGTATCCCGCCCGGGTTGCCCGCCAATATGCTCCCTAACAGAATTGTACGTTTAGTGCCTTCGGCGGCATGATTGCCTTTTGTATTATCGTCGGCGACACAATACCTCACGTCATATCTGCATTGTTTCCGTCGCTGGAGGGCGTGCCTGTTCTGAGATTGTTGACCGACCGCCGGGCATGTATTATCATATTCATTCTAGGGATCTCCTACCCCTTGTCACTCTATAGAGATATTGCAAAGGTACCCGCCACACGTGCACATTCCGGGGAACCACGGTTGACAATATGGGTGATAGTTGGCCAAAGCAAGTGCTTTGGCACTCATCAGCATGCTTGTCATCATCTTGACTGTGATCACTCAAGGCTTCAGAGTACCTCCCGAGAGTAGAGGCGGTTTCAGTAAACCGTTGTTAATAGTCAATGACGGGGTATTCCAAGCAATTGGTGTAATATCATTTGGTAAATATCTCGACAATCCAATAACATGATTCGCTTTTACTGACCGAATTACTCTAGCTTTCGTCTGTCGTAAGTCTCTACCACAATCCCAAATCGCCAGGATTCGCCCTGATATTATACGCCATAGATCACAACAGTCTTCTCATCTATGGATCCCTCAAAAAGCCTACACTAGACAGATTTGCCCGAGTAACACACTACTCGACGGGAATCTCCATGGTGGCTTGCCTCATCATGGCCGTAGCGGGCTTCCTTACATTTGGCGACAAGACTGCCGGAAACGTTCTAAACAACTTTCCAACAGATAACATAATGGTCAACATTGCCAGATTGTAAACCCCCCTCTAGCTCTCAGGAAACAGCCTCACTAATCCTCACTTCAGCTGTTTCGGCCTAAACATGCTCACAACTCTCCCCCTGGAAGCCTTCGTCTGCCGCGAGGTGATGGAAACCTACTACTTCCCTGGCGAGCCCTTCAACATGAACCGCCACTTAATATTCTCCTCCGCACTAGTAGTCTCCGCGACGGCGCTATCACTAATAACTTGCGACCTCGGCGTCGTGTTCGAACTTATCGGGGCTACGTCCGCGTGCGCACTGGCCTATATCCTACCACCGCTGTGCTACATGAAGCTCGCATCGCGGTCGTGGAGGACATATGCTGCCGGCACGACGGTAGCATTCGGGGTTGCGGTCATGATGATCTCGCTGTTACAGAGTGTTTATAAGATAATCTCGGGGGGCGGGGGGGCGACCACTTGTTAGGAGAGGAGGCGGCCATTGGGATCTGTCTCTGAGTTCTTGGGATTGGGATTGGCTATGCACGCACGGTGTACTTAGATGGTGACCTGTGGTCGGGATATCATAACATCATGGGGGTTTTTTTATTTTCATTTGGGAGGGGGCACCGGTGTATGTGGTCTGCACTGTACGATACTAGAAATTTATATCCTCCTCGTTCTTCTATGAATCGGTGGGTTGGGCTATGATTGGGAAAGGTGAAGGGGTGAAGTGCCAAGAATGATATCTCTCGAACATACAAAAGACTATTTAGGTACACCTAACCTCAGGATCCCCGTATCTCACCCCCAGATCTGAGCTAGACGAACAAACCGCATTCACGGCAGCACCACGACCAATAATCTGCAGCAAACCGATCAAAAACCGGGAAAAAAATCAAAAAATCAAAAAAAAATACAACGCCCATTGCTTAAACACCCCCAAAGCGCAATAAGAAAAAAATCGTGAAAAAAAAAAAAAAAAAAGAACAGACAATCCCACCCACCCGATACCATAATACCGCACACTCCAACCAATCGCGCAACTACCGAACCCTAGTATCCAACGCCAACCTCTCCACAACCTCCAAACCACACATACCCCTCATCAACTCCTTAAACCCCTTCAGCTCATTAACGCCGGTATTAATGCTTTCAAGATCCTGGTGACTTTGCACTCTGACGGCGGCCCTGAGGACCCAAGACCTGGCCGGGTCGAGAGGCTGCAATCCAGACGTCGGATAGGGATTTCCGTACTGCGCGTTGGGGGCAGCGTGAGATGTGGGGGGGAGTAGGACCTGACTCAGCGTGATGATGATATTATTGTGTATCAGTGTAGACACCGTCATGAAGTAATTTGTTTGCAGCCTTTGTAAAAATCTTAGTAAACCCAAGAAAGACCAGAGGTGGTGGCAGTGGTGGTGGGAACAAACATGAATCCCAAACTATCCACCAACCCCAACGAATCCCCCTCGCCAAACCCAGCGCCGAGTACATTCCTAGAGGTGACCGGCTTCCTCGTAGGCTCTGGGACGTCCTCCAATCGCATACGCCATTTCTGACTCTTCACGTCGTATCCTCCTTCCACTTCCCCATGCTTTTGCTCTTCGGGTACGATGGAGATCAGTTGTAGGTAGTATAGCTCCATGTTCTGTCCCAGCTGGCGCGGCCGCTTGGGCTTGTATACTAGGTGGTGTTCCAGCGTGGTTTCTGGGAGCATGCCGGTTATGCCTGAGATCACGCGGAGGATTTGCGGTTGCCGGGCGGCGGGGATGTGAGAGTAGAGAGAGAGCTCGTGGTAGGCGCTCTGAGCGAAGGAGAGGTGGGGTGGTGGTGGCATTTTGTTGTTGCGATGGTGGGAAGGTAGGTTGTTGGAATTGAGTTTACGGGGGGGAGTGTACGAGTAAATGGTTGATGAAAGATTGAAGTTTGAGGTGGAAATGTGACGGGGAAACCTTTTTCCGGTTACGGGAGGCTAACTCAATGGATTGTTTGATGAACGAACGGGTGCGGAGGTGTTGCTACCCGTATTATATAGCCACTCGGGTAGCGCCTTTCGGTAACCCGCACTGATAGATTAGGCAGTGATAGACAAGCGACAGCAATGATTATTAGCTTCTATGCAGTGTTGCTCGCGACGGGTGACGGGTAACTGATACTGTCATGTCAGTGACGGGGGGTCATGATAGGGTGTCAGTGAAGAGGGTGACGGGGTGTCGATAGCTGCTGGGTAAGGGTTTATGTATGTTGAACTCCCATTCAAGAGAGTTAATAGTTTATATTCGGTACTATGATACCAGGAAGGAAAGCAATTCCGCAGCTCTTTCTGAGGGGGAGAGCTTCTATGGAACACTGGATAATGTCCTACTCTCTGAGTACTCAAGTACAGAGAATCACTCTCCCCGGTTTGGTGTAGCAATTGGTGAATTTATTGTATATTACTAAGCATGACACCCCATCATGATACCTGTCTGACGGGGCGTCAGTAAAGTCCAAAGTGACACCCGTCACCAACTGATCCCGGAGTGACACCCCGTCGCGAGCAACACTGCTTCTATGAGAGATCTCCGTCAATCAAAATGTGGAAGAGGTAATTACTAGGGTAAATTCTGGTCGTCCAATTGAGAATCATGTTATCTAGGACAATGAATGGTAAGGAGAAATCCGACATCACCACAAGTTCTAGCCACCCTGTCCATCCCCCCTTCCTTCCATCTATGATGCCATAACCCAATCCGCTACCACACTGCCCCTAGCCACCAGTTCCAAACCCCAGATCACCATATTCAACCAATTTATTACCCTCCTACTAGTTCTAGTATCATACCATATTTCACAGCCAACAGCCAATAGCAACCAAATACCAATAACAGCAGATCCAAGGCATTATTAAATTGCTATAAAACAATAAGGAATAGCAATATCAGACCATCACCCATCACTCGACTTCCTATTAACTCCGCTATCCCGACTAAGTGCTCAAGTTTAAACCACCGAACTTCGTTCTCTTTCTATGTTGGCCTTGTGGAACTAAATTTCTCACAAACCAGTGACCAGAATATGCACGGACAAATCTTACAACACCGGAAAACCGGCTTCCCCATAAACAAACCCTCGAGGAAATGAAATGAGAAAAAGAAACCCCCCAACAGATCGGTCGCACGAAACGCGCAACAGAAGCGAGAGAAGCTACAGAGATTAAAAGGGAAAGCAAAAGAAACTTTCAACCACACCAGACACCCAGTTCCAAAAAGAAAATCGATACAGAAAAGATACAATAAGATAAATATGGCAGACCGAAGAAAGGGGAAGAAAAATATTATATAACACTATCAAGATATTTTCAGCCTCACTTCCCATTTATTTGCAAGATTGGGGTTGTCCTGCTACCCTTCCTCCTCCCAGCCCCATGAATAATCACAGGCACTTGTTTCGGCGGTCTCGGAGGCTCTTTCATCAAAGTAGGATCAAGCTTGGCTGGCACTAAAACAAGAAAGTTAGATTAACAATGCTAGAAGCAGCATTGGTGGAGTATCATACTTCTGTTGGTTGCGACCGTAGCTTCTGAGCGATGTCTAGAGCTAGATCCGATAGAAATGGCTCCAGTGGTTTGCCATATATGTTCCGAAGTATCCTGTAGATAACTGATACCTGTAGACCGACCACCAGTCAGGTAAGCCCCTCAGCACAGCTAGCCACAGAAAGAACTTACTCGACTTCGAAAAGAATCCAGACCTCCCGCGATTCTTCTTTGACAATATAACCTCGTCAAATAACTTAATTGAAGGATCAGATGCCTTCTTCGATTCCCGATCATGAATAAACTCGCTAAAGGCTTGAGTTTGCTCGAGCATCTGGACGAACATTGAGTTCTCCTGAGGCATGCTCTTCAAGAACCCTTCCATATTAAACCTATAGATATTACCGGCCTTCTTCCCATCACCGGTTGCAGGCCCAAGGAATTTCCTATAGGTATAGAACAAACTGGCGAAACACCTAACGAATGCTGCTCGGATTTGATCGGAATGGAAGGCAGCAGGGCAGGGTAGCCCTATTTGAGAAGAACAACGGGCATGTGCACTTACTCGACAGTCTAATTGTTCGGAGCACATTAGCATTGCTAATTTAGAGCTGCCATACAGGCCACTTACTGGAGCATTTATATATCCCTTCATCTGATTTCTCATCGCATATCGAGCACACCGATTCAATATCAGCAGGCTTCCACTGTAAACAATGGCCCTCAACCCATTTGGTGGTATCAGTGTTCCTCACAGGCTGCATCAGCATGCTTGGCATGATAGTTGATGCAGCAAGGGTAGAAGGTGCAAACACTGAAGGTGGGTATGCGTTGAAGATTGAGTGGCTGTCCCCGGTCCCCAATGAAGAGGTTGAGGGCGAAGGGGAGTGGTGGGCAAACGGCAGACTTGGCCTTCGGAGTGTAGGTGTGCGTTCAAACCCGAAGGAGGAGCTACGCCGAGAGGCAGCATCGAAATTTCCGGATCTCTTTCCGCGAAGGGTTGCAGTCAGTGTGAATCCGGTATCTGTTCTGCCAGTACTATTGCCAGTCTGGGGTGGGTGAACTGCCGAGTTTGGCGAATGGGGCGAAGGTGGCGAGGTTCCTCTCATAGTTCCACTTGTGCCGGGCCTATCTGTCCGAGTGGGATTTTCCGCCCTAGATTGCAAGAACGCGTTAAAAACCAAGGCCCTTGGCGCAAAATCTGATACAGCTGCATCTCCGAACGATGTCGAATTCAAATTTACCAGCTTCGCAAGGGTACTTGGGTGAGGATTGGGCGTATATATCCCCGCATTCTCGGACATGAGCATATTATGAGGGAATGTCTCAATGGCATACTGAGGAGGACCAACGGGGACACCATAACGGTTATGGTGTGGAGCGGCAAGCTGCAGCAAGGAAAGGAGCTTCCTCCTCTGTTGCCTCGGGAGCAGAACTGGTGGGGTCGAGGAAATGATAACATCCGAATCAAGATCGACGCAAACGAAATCCTCCTCAGGGAGCTCAAGTTTCTCATACCTCCGCTCAATGCCCACGATATAGGGGCAGGGTGCCTATTACAAGTAAGTATTTGACAATTCAAAAATAACGAGCAAAGTTATACCTCTAATGCCGATAATAAACGCGCCGGAAGCACTGGAATGTATATCCCAAGCCACTGTAACGGGTACATCAGATTGATTAATGTCCGCGACACAATGTGCAGCATAGAAGTATGAGATGATAGCAAAATTATACGCGATTCGGCCAAGGCAAACTGTGAAAATCGTGAGAAATAGCCTACCGGAGGACTAAGGATGCGGGACCCACCTCAAACATTGTTACAACATTTGGGAGCGACAATGACCTAAACAGGGCATATAGATCCGTCTAGAAATAAATCAGAAGCTGCTCTAGACCAGCCCGGAACTAAAACGGAATAATCACATTACGGGATCCAGGCAATTCATTTGCCGCTTCCTTTCTAGCATACATCCGCAACTCCCTTACAGCCACTTCTACCTGTGTCCTGGAAAGGTCCGGTGCAGGAGATTCGGAACATAGGTTCACGACGTATCTATCCTCAATCAGTGATAACCCCGGCCGAGAAGCGGAAGCAGTACATACCGTTCCAGCGGTTGCCAGATTCCGATCCGCGGCGATGACAATGGCACTCTCTGGATTGCACCACTCGTCATGGGAACGATCACGGCCTTTAGCCATTCCTTCCAGAAATTCACGAGAGAAGCATCCTTGCCCAATATTCCGTAAGCGCGTGGAATCCAGAGCCCAGTCTCTCCATCGGTCAATCCTTCAATTTTTGAAGCTGCACCGTGACGAACAGGCCGCAACAGATCGGCCATAAGACCGATCTTCTCCTCTGTGGCAACGATCTCCTCATCCAGTTCCTCTCTCTTGACTGGATCCGACACTACCGAAGGCAACTTTGCCAATAATTTGGAAAGCTTAGTTCTCTCCGCTGCTAGCCTAGTAATTCATCAACATTAAAATATCATATTAGAGTGAGACCGAAATACTACCTCTCGCCCAAACTAGTAGCTAGCTCCCGCTCCTCGTCCGTCATGTTATCCCTCCTCCATTCCTCACATCTGCGCTCCAGGTCTTCAGCAGCTTTGGGGTTAAGTGGGATCCACATAGTAACACATATACCGTGGAGGCGAGCGTTATCAGCCCCAGTCATAGTCTGTAACACATATGAGCCTCAATCTCACAAAAAACGCGCAGGGAGCCACTACGCAAACGTACAAACCCATGCCAGGTGGATCTTGGTCTCTCATCCGCGGAAACTATGTTAACATCATTCGGAAATGCAAACATCGGAACATAATCTGGGAATGGCCCTCTTCTCTTGGCTTCTTCGGTCAGATGTTTAGGTGGATACCGATCCAAAAGTACCGGTTCAAACTTTCGTTTCAATGGGTGCATATTGGGCGAAGAATTAAGAGGTTGTGGCGTAGGAATAACCGAATTGTAATTGGACATCCTCCGTGCCGTCCTTATCGATGCTGCGTATATATATGAAATTTCGTTAATTAACCTTGAAAAAAAAAAACCTTCAACCCTACCAACCAGGAAGAATCAATCCTTACAAGCTCTATTGACCGCCGACGGAGCCCTCCGCATTGATGTCAAGTCCCTCAAGGAAATCCTCCTTCTCAGCGATCCCGTCTTTTGCAAGCTTATATCCTCGTTCACTACCCTTTGCGCTCGGGGGTGCATGACTGGTTTATTCGGCACAACAGTACCCGCGCTAAATGACAATTCGTCCAAAAAGCTATCCCGCTCCGCAGCAAACTTCAAGAGCGCATTATCAAAGTCCTGATCCGTCATCCCTTTAAATGCAGCCACACGTTCCTGACTCCCAGCGTTGGCATTAGTGATTGTCGAATTACTCGAATTGGACCCATTTCTCATCAAATTGCTCGGAGTTGCAGCTCTGGACGAAGGCCCTCCTCCCTCATTGCATTCTACCTCATTGCTCCCTCCCTGGGTGCCCAGAGACGGGGCGGCTGGGGATGCCTGAGGCTCCTCCCCCCCCGGGGGTGAGGGAAGACCGATTGATGTTGTGGGTGACCTATTCCGCTTCCCCGACACACCAGCAGGCGCTTGTAGAAAGGCTTCCTGAACCTCCTCCTCAGCTTCTATGGCTTCCAGCAACTGCTCTGCGAAGCTCCGTCTAGTAGGCTTCGAGTCTTGGTCCAGGTGTTCCCCATACGAGATGGAGTCTATACCCGCTATCCAAAAGTAATCGGCCAATGGGGGTTCTGTTGACGGAGGATGATTCATAGTGTCGTGTGATTATTATTATTATTATTATTCCCCCCGATAAACTTCCCGGGGTGAAAGTGATGAATCTGGCCGGCTGGCTGGTCTGGAGGGAGAGGGAGGGAGAGGGCGAGGGAGAGGGAGAGGGAGAGGGAGAGGGAGAGGGAGAGCAGCGTGTGTAAGGGGGCAAACTGAGGTAAAGAAAAAGAAAGGAAAAGAAAAGAAAAGAAAAAAGAGGATATTAAAACAAAGAGGATTCGTTCACGACATTCGACAAGATAAGCAAAGGAAACGAGGAGAGACGGCAGCAAAGCAAGACGCAGAGAGTGGTGCTAGAGGGGGCACTCCCGAGTCCGGCGTGGTGGAGGGAAAGGGGCAACAATTCAAGGCACAAGGCGAATGCACCACTACCGACAGACGCTATCAGATCCCAAAGCAACAACGGTAACAGATCTGGTGTGCGGACACCCTTATTCTCGAAAAGAACTCCTCCCTTCACAAGAGAAAAGGGAAAGGACAGGTCAAGAAGGGAGGGTGAAGGGCAGAAATCCACGAAAAGGGAAGGAAATGGAGATGGAGAAAAAGCAAAGAAAGAGGAGGGAAGAGGAGCAGGCCATTCGAGAGGAATGGAGAAATACAAAGAAGACAAAACAGAGGAAGAACACCCCAGCCAGAAACGAGAAGTTCTAGCGAGTTGCAACGCCAACCACGAAACCCAAGCACGCACGCACAGAGCATGGGAAGGGTCCGCACAGACTGGGCGCAGGCCCAGGGACAGGCAGGCAAAGCAAGACAGGGGAGACCCTAAGGACTTGACCTGCCGGTACCGGTATCATACCCCCCCCAGGGGCTTTAGTCTCCAGCTCGACTTCTCCCCCAGCTGTCAGTCGAGTCCTGAGGAAACATTGGTTGGAGGAAGTGAAAAGGATGATGATACTGTAGGCTTTTAGAATCGGGGCCCCACGCGCAAGATTGCAGGTTGATTGATTCAGTGTCGCCCTGTCTACAATTTTGGACAAAGTTGCGGCGCATCCGGCGGCGTCTTCTCGCCCGTTTGCCTCATCTAGAACTCCTAATTACGATCCTCCATCGCCCTTCGAAAAGAAAAGCAAAAGGGAGGGGAAAGGGGGAGGGATGGCACCAAAAAATGACAGCTCTGGGTTACAAGATGAGCAGAAAAGTGATAAAAGGCCGAAAAAAGTAAGGCCACAGGCAGAGCTATGATACTGTACCTTAAGATAGACCCTGGTACGAGTACTCGAGTACAGTACAGTACGGTACCGGTATTGTACTCGAGCACTCGAGCACAGAAAGAAAAAGAATGGAAAAAAAAAATGGAAAAATAGAAAAATAGAAAAAACGAAGTTGGCTGCTACAGTAGAGAATTGGCATGGGTGAGGGCGATCTCTACTGTCCCAGAACTGGTAAAAGCACAGGGATTCCCATGCCCCACGCCCCGGGGATTATACAAACTCATACCCTATCATGCTTTCTTTGGCCGCGCAAAAATGCCCAGCAAGCGCGCAATTGCTCGGGATGCGAGCGAGGTACCCAGGAGCGATATCCAGTGGGAATTTGAGTTCGAATGGCTACAGTACGATATCCCGACATCTCCAATTACAGCGCAAAGTGCTAGGCCTACATGCAGCACTCGTATAGCTTATGATACGGTACAGTCGAATGATTCCCTCCTCTCCCAGTCCCCCTCACACCTCCCCGTCTCTCCTAAAAGACCTGTACAAGTACCATTCCCTGGTGGGCACGGGCACAGTACTCGAGTACACTCCGGCCCACCCCCACGGCCACTCGCGCGGCCGAGTTGAAGTCGGGAGCACAGGGTGGAGATTCCACGCAAAAGTGACCGGTTTCGACTTTGTCGTGCGAGTACAAGTGCTCCAGAGCGCCTCGGCTCATCGTGGGACAAGCTAGATAAAGCTTACTCGAGTGCATCCGTGCGGTGCGTTGATCATTGCCATCCAAGGGCTATCACACATGTCGGTACTCAGGCATCTGTTGCGCACACACAAGTGGAGCCCGCTCTGCTCGAACACAGCATCTGCGGAGGCGGCCTGTCTCTAATCAATGCCGTCGAACGATCCACTCAGAGTGAGCAGCTCGTACTGTAGCCCCTTTCCAACTCACTCGGGAAGAAACACATGGCATCTAAAAGGAGACGACTGTTGGGAGTAATATTCGTCCAAAAAGCACCCAATACTCCCCAATTCAATCCCGTCTCGAATACCGGTGATGTATAACCCCATACGGTATACTCGGGTCTATCCAGAGGCTGCATCTTACCCGGCCATTCTGGCCTATAGGTACGGTATTACACTGGGGGTACAAGCAGCACATTTGAGCTATGATACGGTACCCGGAAAGACTGGCCCTTTTCGCTCATGCACCAGAACTTGTGAAAGTTGATGAAGGAGCTTCCATCATCCCAACCCAAGGGTCTCCGTATGATTGATCGTAAGTGCATTTAGAAAAAAAAAACCTCATACTGGATATAGAGGATGAAGCAAAAAATGAAAGAGGAGGAGGAGGACAACCCGGAGAATTGTTTAGATCAACACACTCCCTTGAAATTGGAAAATTAAACCCGATGGTTTGTTCCATGTAAATTGATACACACCTCGATCCTGGGGAAAATGCTGTCTCTGTGCAACATAATCGCGGCATGCTGTGCTGCGGGTATCTGCTCCAACCTCGCCAGAGACAGTTCGCGCTTGGGAGAGAGGCATGAGCTGCCAACAAAGTTTAAAAGTAGGGCCCAGGATTCCATCAGGCCGATCCGGTGCGGTACGGTGATAGAAGTTCATACACCGGAAAGCCCACACGAGCAGACCAGTCAGGACAAATAAGTTTCAGACTTGTTTTCCAGCAGAGGGAGTGCTCTCGTCTTGTTTGGGCCCCGGATCCTTTTTAATTCGCCTGCGGGTGGTGTGGGTTGTGGTGGTGGTACCCCTATTGCAAAATGGTAGAGAAAATATGTGAGACTTGACGCCAAGACGGGCGGTGGTGGTGGAGCAATGTCCTCCCAAACATCAATTCATATCTGGGCCGGATTTATGAATTGCTGACCATCGGCGACCAACCCTCATTCCTCGCTCCCTCACTATGATACCTCCCAGCTGAACGCAATGTTCCTCTTTTATCACCACCTGTCCCCCCAAACAACCCGTCACGGCGCAGTCGAGTTGTATCCGCAGTTGACATGGCACTCATCCCAATCCCGTACCATACGGTACAGTACCGGTACTCGTACTAGTACATCTCCTTTACTTCTCTAAAAGCAAACCAACATGATGCCATCCACGCTCCCCCTCCTGAAACTCACCTCGGAGCGATAAAAATACACCATAGATGTGCATCCTAACCCACCGGCAACCCCCGCAGACACAATACGGTAGCATTAAGTAAAGTATCGTACAAGTATTACGATTATCGCACGCCCTTCGTATTCACCAAAGCCATTGGCGAAGCCGGATGAGTAGTGCCAGGCTAATAAACCACGTTAAATAAAGCCATGCAAACCCCACAAGCCCGCCCAACCCCCACCCAAAATGTGTCCCACGGCGGGAAACCTATCTATCGAGGATATCCTGCTCTGCGTGATGTACGTTTCAGTCACCGCACCAATTCATCCAATTCATCCGACTCAAAAAAGCTTTAGTTGGGCGGCCGCCGAAGACGAGCAAGCCCTCCGACTCTTCCGGGGAACGTCTTCTACTGAGTTCCTCCCCCCTCTGTCGGTTTAGGTATGCAACCGGTACCGGTACTCGTGGAGAACCATAGACGGGGGTTGTTTGACAAAAATAGCGGGAGGAAGTACAAAAAAAAAAAGCAAATTGTACCAATCACGGTCTGGATCCCCGTCATCGTATCCGTAAGTGCTTCGTTCTGGTATGGTTCCGGTGCGGTACTAAAGTGCCTTGCATTACCGGAGTGAGCACAGCATAGTAGTACGGCCGTAACTTCATCCAACGCGGTTGATTCCCCGGGAATATCTTGTTCCACGACGAACCTACCGGTATCTGTCACTTGCATATTTACGGACTGGCTGCCGACGGGGGGGGGTGTGGAGGGAAGGGAGTAAGGGATGGACGGGGGATTGAGACGTGCATTGTGCGACTGTACAGTACTGTACTAGTACATGAATATCATGGAAAAATAGCCTCCTCTCCTCCCGATTACCGCTGCTAGGAACGAACCTTCTGTATGTCTCCCCATCCATGTTGCAGCCCCCCCTTGCCCTGCAGTTAAAAGTCATTTACAGTTTACTAGTGCCACTACCGGTATCGAGATTTACTGCAACTTAGATTGCTCCCCAACCCTAGGAAGGAACACAGCTGCATCGGGTTGAAGCGCTTTGCAAGCAATGTACTCGTACTTGTGTTTCCTATCCGCCAGGTATCCCAGTACCAAGGTGCGTGCTCTAATACCGCCTTCCTCGCATAAGGCACGTCTACTCGCCAATTCGTGAGGTATCCTGATACCTTGGCATTGATCAATATATATATGTCTTGGCGCCAACGATGCCGGATACCCCATGAATTGGCAATTAACATCTATTATAAAGTACGGGGACAAATCTTTTCGTCCGATCCTCTTTTTACACCAAAAATAGACATTTTCCAGTGGACAATTCTCAATGCTGCATATATGATAACACCTCAAATTGTTTCATAAGCTAGGGAATGACTATCTATTCCCACCTCTACATGTACAAGTACAAGGGACTAAAACTGTCTTCATTGTTCATCATTGCATAGACCAATGTAAAAGTGACCTCAATTTTTGTATGGGGCTCCATACAAAAATGTACATGGCAACCAATACCAGATACTTAAACAACCTTTTCTCCATCACTTTATAGCATTTAAGGGTTCTGTAATGTTTTTTCATGTTATCTATGGGCTTGTTAATGCATGGACAAATTTCCACTGATTCTCATAAACATTGCACAAGGAGAGAGGGCTGTAAAGATGGGGACTTTTGGTGTAAAAAGGGCATCAGACGAAAAGATTTGTCCTAGTACTGTGCGTTTCCGGCGGTGGGCCCCACGTCAGCTGACACAACCCACCCCGGTTCAATCCAGCGAAACAAACTCCGAGTCGAAGAAATCGAGACCCTATCGAGGATACTTATGATACTTTAGCTCGCGACTTGTGAGCAAGTAGGGCTCCGGACTAATAGAATAATCTCAACAAAGGGTTGGTTGGTGATTTGAGCCCCAAAATATTTGGTAGTAGGTGTATGCCCCCCAAGTGCTTTGGTTGTACTGTGCAAAGTGGCTGCTGCGGTTTGTTTTATCCATCAAGCGGGCAAGGAGGCGTGATGGTTTGAGGAATTGTGCTAACGATGCTGGTGATTAACCGTCCCAAGGTTCTCGCTCGGGGGGCGCTGAGCGACCATCGATTACGGTACTCCTAAAGAGTGCCGAATAGCTCCACCATACCGGTAGTCTCATAACAGTTTAGTGAAAGATTCACTACATACGATGAGAAGTGTATTCAGCATGGCACTGGTTTTATTAGTTGGGGGCTTCCACAGCTCATGATTCTTTTTCCTATTCTTTCCTACCATATCCCGGTTTTCACCATATCCCACCCCACAGCTCCTACACGCACCCCTCTTCCGACCACATTCAATGCACAGCCCGGTGGTCCATAGGCCTTCTCAGGTTGGCTTTCTACAAGCCCCTGCACCCCCTAAAAAACATTAACATTTCATAGACTTACGAAATGGTAGCTCCGGACCGAACTGTTTATGGTTTAGAAGTTGCCCAGGGAGGCATGGAAAACACCGATATTCTCCCATGAGGTGAACTTCTGGTGACACCTTACAGTGGCATCTGAGGTGGGGCTGTCCTAGGCCGTAGGCGGAGTAGAAACCTCTGAGTATGATACCTTCAAGACACAGAAGTAGCGAAACTTGCCCCACTCCGCAAAGCAAAAAGAGTGCCGAGTAGGGACTGAACAACCCACAGAGGACATCCGGAAAAGATGGATATATAAAAACATAAAGACACCACGGTGCGGGAAACCCTGGCAGGGATATATGGCGCAGGCCTGACCAAAATCTATCTGCCTGTCGGTACTTTTGGCAGTCCGAGTCAGAATTGGTGATTGGTTGATCAGTCGGTTGGCGGGGCGCGGGGGATCAGATAAGGGGGCGCTTCCGTCTTGAGTTCAAGGTATCATAGGGGTGGCACATTTTCGGGAAAGGGGTTCATCGTACAGTAAGTACCGTAGGGCTTCCGCCGTAAGACGGTATGATATTATGACATTATAATGATTGATTAACCTTTTGAACCCTCCGGTCAGGGGGGCGTATGTGTGGACAAGGCTATACTTGTACGATATGTCTCCCTACACCTACCGTAAAAGTTAGAATTGAGAAATCTGATCATCACGGAAGTTGGTGTTGTTCATCCTAGTAAAGGTCTGTTATTCCTTTTTTCTTTCCCAGCCCCCCCTCCCCGTTTCTGACGATACCGTAGCATCATATTCGTTGACCCACCCGCCACCAACCATCATCACAGACCCAGGATTACCTATATCACGTTGAGTATGGTACGGGTGCAGTATGATACAGCATTTCCACACTCTCGACCATCTGTAGGGCTGGCAAGTCTGTGTAACCGTATATACAGTTGTAAAATACACTGCTTTCTTGGCAAGCCCCTCGAAGATCAAGCCGGGCAAATGCGGTACCTGCATACCGGTACTCACTTCACCGGCTGCTGCTGCTACAGGGAAGCGGCAAATTCACGTTGTGGGTGCTCGTCCCTGCTCCAATCAACGCTGAACGAACGAACGGGGATGGCATGAACCGGGGGGGGGGAGGAGTTATCACGGGCACTCGTGTCATACGAGTACTGTGCGGTGTTACAGCCCAAACTTTTTAGTACTGTAGTTGGCGCAGAAATACACACCCCTTTGCAGTTGGGGTTCTCCGACAAAGTCCTGCCGAAACACTTCCCGAGGTCAAGGCTTCGGCGTCTCATTTTGATGAAGGCCTTCGTATGTAATTCCGCGATTTGCCTCGTGGGAACTCTACCGCGCACCACTGCGTCTTACTCTACCAGAATGCTCGCACGGTAACGCGCACCGGCATCCGAGAATATCCACCTTTGTTTTTTTTGTTTTTTTTTGCACTCTTGAGGTGGTAAAAATACATCCAAGAGGTCTGGCTCGCCCCTGATATACCGGGATCTTACGTGTACTGTACTCGTACTGGTACAGTACAGTACTCGTACGTTAGTATGAATATCGGCGACCGAACATGGCAACAACACTCCGACCATCGGAATTGAAAAGGGTTCTCTCAACTGTTGTAATGTTATTCACCTGATAATATAGAAAATTTTAATTTTTTTTTTAAAAAAAAAGCGACAGGAATTGGGACAAACGCTATCCAGTAAGCTAAAGGTCACCTGCTGCTCTGTATGATACGTTCTGTCGGAACTACTCCACACATTGCAAGTTTTGAAAAGTGGTAAAATGTTCAAACCGCGATATAGGGAACACCAAAGACCTGTTCCACTTGTTTTTCCCTCTTTGGGTAATTTCCGGGTTTCTGGTGGTCTACATGCTATGGTTGAATGGAGAAGAGTGTGATAACCGTAGGGTGCTCCTGTTCCGCAATGATAATCATGGTAATACCGTACTAGCTTTCTTCCATGGGCTGTGTGGACGGAAGTACGGTATTAGACTATATTATTATTATTATAATGGAAATATTTATTGCTTAAAGCATTACAGGTACTAATTATATGCCTAAATTAGATCCATAGCGATTAGAATTTCTTGAACGGAAATAATCCACACGCCTTGCATTCCTAACCACGCTCCTAACGGCCTACATATTTTAATGGGGTTGATTGCCGGTACGTTGTTTAGCATACCGGTAATCGAGAGGGAGGTTTAACGTTGAGCACTTTTGGTTTGGGCTGGAGATCGAGTCGCTCATTGCGAATGTTCGGTTATTTATGCTAACCGTACGAGTACTGTACTAGTACTAGTACAATAGCCTGTGGCAGCGTGGCATTGCTCCAAGGTCCCCAAATAGTGCCGTGAATTCTTGCCTGTTTGGACAGCTGGTGTTTATTAACTTGTAACCCCGAGAAGCCCTTTGCGGTATCCATCGTACAGACATCACGCGATTTAGGGTGAATATGTGTGTCTATAAATAATGTTTGCGCATATATCTGACTTCACACGTGCAACCCCAACCTCCCCGTTGACAGATATCCTCTGTCTCCACATGTTGATCTCCACTCAATACTCAACTGGCCGAGTATCTTCTTATCGTTGGGGGCCGCATCTTCCTCCCTCTTCTCTTCTATCTCTTCCGGGTGTAACAAGAAGGCAACTTGCATGACATCTCTAGAGCCGAGCATGGGTGTGTTCTTGGGATCCCCCTGGTCACCCCCCCGTCCGGTTGACCCTTGCCAATTCAAACTTGTGGCCGCCCATCCCCTCTTTGTACCCATATTTACCATCTCTAGTGATATCGGACCGTCCCCCATATTCTCGAGCTGCGCCTCCAAGATAGCCCGGCCGCCGGGGAGGGTCCCAATCTTTGTCCTGACGGTCAAGCATTGTTGAGCGATGAATTGGTATAATTTACGGAAGGTCCTGACTCGTCCGGTCACTTCTTCTCTTCCGCCTTCACCACTATCCACTCGCTTCGGTGCTTCGGTGTACGTCACAGTAACCGCCAGAATATGGCCTCCCTCTTCTTTCAGATCGTATTTGACAATCTTTTGAAGGGACATGGCAGGGTCCAAGTCGGCTATTTGCCGTTCATCCCCGCCAAGTTCAAGGTTGAGGGTGAGTGATGGTGTCTGCATCTCAGCACTGATCCTGACGCCGGCTATTAGGGTGGTTGTTTCGTTGTTTGCTGATAAACAACAACTGAACGTTTCGCCAATGTATGCATTTCCGAAAGCTGGTGGAAGGGTGAGCTGTAGGGTAATCGGTTTGGGCGCTTAGCCATCAGCTGTCGTTATTCCTCTCAATCCAAATCACGCTCTCTGCCGAGGCAAGCCAAAATTTGGGTACCAGGGTGTATATATGACGTACCAAAGGGCTTAGGATAAAGGGGTCATCGGTGGAGTGCGAGGGATATGCATGTGATTGCCGGGAGAGCTCATCTAACTCTGGAGATTGGCTCGCGGAGGTGGCCTTAGGTAGAGAGTGCTGTTCCGAAAGCGAAGGTCTGGAGAGTCTGGAGAATTACTCGTATTAGCATACCGGTAGAGGATGGGTATGGTCGGTCAGGTGCAAGGGACTTCTGAGGCTGTGACACACCTGAGGACTTTCAAGGAGATGGAGTGGGGCTCTTTAACCTCCGAAACCGCTCGTTCACGCGGCATCCTATTTGGACTGATTATGAATTGTCAGTAGAGGGGGGGGGGGTGCGATGTAGATGCCAATAAGCAGGAGATAAGAGGGAAGAGGGAATTTGATCTAATACGGTCCCAGGGATTGAGGATTTGTATGGGTAGAGTGGAAGCTGCTGAATTCGAGAACTCCGGCATGCGGTGTTGACAGCTGATCCACAATTGATCCGTCGAGCAACACCATCGCCACCATGCATGAGCCACGCCAAGCTATATGAGAGCACGTTATTCAGACGAGCAGATTAATAACTCAAGGCCGGCATTTCGCGGGGTCCCGCTGACCTACCATATTATACTCATGCAACCGCAGCACCGGTACGGCAGACCTACCTTATCACATCCCACACCGCATTCCGGTATTTTGGTCCTCAACGAATTTGTTCGAAATCTTATCCCCCATGAAATACCCCGCATCACATCGCTGGCTACCGCACAACATCGAATGACGGTTCCCCTTCAGCGAGTCGGCTGCCTGGAGCTGATTCTGGACACGCCAAGGGGTAGGTAACTGGTTGCCGGACACACTACTCTATCCTGTTCCGGTGAAAAATTTCTCCGTCCCTCCTCCCTCCCCCCTCGCCCACTACCCACCGCCGTCTCCACGGTTTTGAAATCGGACTTGAAAGGCAATGCAGGCTCATGACTAAATAATTCACGCTTGCAGGGCGTGGGGTGTTTTCTACCCGTAAAATCGAGGCTGGCACAGTCGTAGACACAGCGCCGGTCATCATCTTGAACAAGGAGCAATTCGACAACTATATTCGGCACTCGCTGCTGCAGCATTACACCTAGTAAATGCCTCCTCCTCCTCCTCCAAATCCCTTTGCTACTCCTCCTCCATCATCTTCCACATCTACCTCATTCATCGTCAATGATACCCCCACACTTCGCTCCCATTGGTGGAGAAACCTACCACGTACTCGAGCACCTGATGCATCTTCGAGCAAGTGTTGCTTAAATCCTGCCACAGCAATTGGCCAATGGGCCACGGAACGACGAGGAAATACACGATACATCAGGCAATTGCTCTAGGGCTTGGATCAATGTTCAATCACTCGTCGTGGCGGCAAAACGTCGGATGGAAGCGAGATTTGGGAAAAGAGGTGATTGTTTATACAGCTTTGCGTGATATAGCGGAAGGGGAAGAGCTATTGATATCTTATGGATCACACCTTACATTCGAGGATGTCGAAGCGGCTCGGCTGGAGGAAGGCGAGGAGGACGTCACAGATGTTTTGGCTCGAATCGATATCTGATGGAAATTTTTTGGAGCAAAAATTGTGCACTCTTGTACTCACAGTATCTATCTAATATGTATGATACCGGTATGATACCGTGATTCGGTGCAGTGCTGCGTGTCTTGATCGGACATAAGGTAGATTCTGATAATGGGGCGAGGGTTAGGGTTTAAACTTGGCTCGCACAGCAGCTTGTGGGGGGAAGTCGAAAGAGTCGACAAAACGTCAGTGGCGCTGAAAAACCGTGTCACCTTGGCTTCCCCACCCCGTCTTCTGAATTTGACCACCAGAACCACACCATTCCCTCGCACAGCTTCCCCCGCAATTCCTGATAAAAATCAGGAAACCTAAACCGGTACCAGCATAAACCCCGAAGCAATGGGCTATCAGAACGATAATGTCGCAGCTGGCTCCTCCTCGAGCACGCGCGCGACCCGCTCCAGTAGCAGGCCCGCTCCCCAAGTTGACGCTTCCCCATCACTCCCCGAGCCGCAAAAGCTCCCCGAAGCTCCGAGGGGGCGTGGCCGCCCGCGCAATATTGCACCAAAGCCGGCACCGCAGAAATCAGAGTCCCCCAAGAAACGTGGCCGCCCGTCCAAGCGCAAGCTCACGGACGAAAATCAGGGCGATGACGACGTGGTCGTGATTGAAAGCGCGTCGACACCGGCTCCGAGGGCAATGGGGAAAGGAAAACAGAGTGTTGTCCCTGCTGCCTTCGCCCCCCCTCATCCTGCTGCCCCTGTCGTTCCACCCGTTGTCCTGCAGCCTTTCCTGCTTGAACAGGAGCCCCCGCAAAAGCAAGCAAAAGTTGCCCCTTCTGCTTCCGGGAGCTCTGGTGCAGCGCCTGAGAAACGCGCAAAGCTATGGCGTAAGCAGCCGCCTAAAACTGTAAGTGAGAGAATTGGCCGTTGTCTTACCCAGAGGATGGTCGTTCTTGACAGGCAGAGAGTTGTGGAAAACGATATCCCTCAGGAAATTGTCAAAATCGCAGGAAGCACCGGAAATGTCTACACGGTTCATATTAAGCTGGTCCCCATTTGCGATTGCCCTGATTCGGTATGGATGCCCGCTGACCGCCTATGATGAGTATATGCTGACAAGTCTCACCCTAACTTTAGAGTCCAACGTGTAAACACATTCTATATGTATTGCCAACTGTCCTGTGGCGTACGTTTGTGATATAGCGCGTCTGCTGACCTCGTGGCAAAAGGTGATGATGAAAGTTTTAAAAGCGCGCAGTGACCTCGTGTACCAGGCTGCCCTACTCTCGTCCGTGCGTAAGCCCTTCTCCTTCTTCTTCGGTCATGGCCTTTACCGGTTTTCAATCTAACTGGCAACATCGAACAATAGGAGTTGAGAGAAATATTCGAAAAAGCACCACCAATTCGCTCGTCCGGCGAGGGTGCGGGTAGTAGCGCTCAAAAGCCACTTGATGAAGATGATTGTCCCATCTGCTATTGTCCATTCGAAGAAAACGGCCGTGAAGCGGTCGTCTACTGTAAGGCGCAGTGTGGCACAAACGTCCATCAAGTATGTCATCAATTGTGTTCACTGGCCTTGGAAGTAATCCTTCTCCATACATGTCTAACAAACATTACAGAGTTGCTTTCGCCAATGGGCTTCAACCAGAGGAGAGGGGGCTGTTACCTGTGTCATGTGTCGTCAACCGTGGCCGGGGGACAGTGAACCTCATGAAGCGCTAGCAAAAGGCAAAGTGAATAGTGAAGGCTACGTCAACGTGGCTTCAGAGCTCGGTATGAGCGGGCACAGAGGTTATCATTCCCCCGAAATCTTTACGCTGGCTCCTTTCTCACCTTTATGCACAGATTACTCCACATACCACTACCCGCCATATTATGGCGGCGGATTCAGACGAAGATATTGGTAGCGGGTATGCACTACCCTCACCCCGCGATATCAAATAAAGGATAGAGCGGTGTTGGAGCAATGTTGTTGTGGGTGGTGGTGGTGGTGTTAGTGGTTTTGATAGTATTCTGGGGAGGGGAGGGGAGGCATATGTGGCTGTATCTATTATCCCTTTCTTTCCCTCCATTTGTCGATAACTGCGTCCTATATTTTCAAAAGTAACTTGTATCTTTACTCCATTATATGACTTATAGTTTGCCACAATCTTTAATCCCTCTATATCTCCCTGATTGGCCCTCTGTAAGGATCAACGAAATGACCCCACACATCTCCCAGGCTCTCGCGCATGCCCTCCCCCCCCAAAAAAAAAAAATTCGCGAAAATCGCACCACTCCCGGTTCAGATCATCCAAGCACACCCAAGTAGGGTGAGGAGACAGATAGTGTCTTTAGCGTTATGAGTAGCTAGGGCGAGTACTGTACGCGGCCATCCCACACGCCACGCAGCGTTCCCAGAGCGGGGAGGGTGATCCGAATTCAGACCCATCTCGCCCCATCCATCCATCCATCCATATCAAACCGGTGCCCCCATTCATTCAGTCACAACCCCGCCAAATTGCAAAGCCCACGATGATACCAATACCGCAAAACCAAGAACCCAATCCAATCCAATCCTACCCAATCCTACCCAATCCTATCCCGAGCACACCCACCTCTGCAGCACAGCGCAGAGCCAAACCCCTCTCACAATCGACCATATCGACGAACCAGACTCAAAACCGCGCTTCCTATGCTATGGCCCCGCGGGGGGGGGGGAAGGAAAAGAAAAAAAACCCCCGGATTGGGATTGTGATAGCCTCCACTTATATATAACATTTCTCCTGTTCGTTGCCCTATTGTACTACTACTATTGCGCACTTTTGTGATGGTTCGTATGATATGAGAGCATTTGATGGACGGATCGCGGTGATTGGCGGACAGATCTTCATTGCCTTTCTTCTCCACTTCTGTTGTAGCCCTAGTCATTGAGGCTCACTCGTCTGGGGAATGAAAAAAAAAAAAGCTCCCCCGTAGCGATGGATGGATGGATGGATGGGTGGGTGAGTGGAGGAGATGAGCGGAAGGGGTGCCGCGGGTTTTGAATCTCGCTAGGTGTGATGGAGGGGGGGGTAGCCCTTTTTCCTTCATCGAAGCGAGGCTTTGAAGGTTGTGGTATCATATGTATGGGACATTGGATCTGTCGTGGTGATTTCGGTTCGATTTTCCAGGTCCAAGGCAGAGAGGGAGGGAGGGAAGGAGGACTTGGAGTGATAGTTCGTGACCCAACATAGTACAAAGCAGGTTGTTCCAATATTCGTATAGTCCATTGAACCTGTTGGAAAACATTAGCAAACCACAAGGCAGAAAAGGAAATTGCTTGCTAACGGTGAAAGATTTCCCACTGCATCATATCATAATAGATCCAACAGTACTAACCCCCCCCCCTTCCGTTATATTTAACTTAACCTACAACATTATACCCCGCGTGACATCCCGTGACCAACCAACCCACTTGGCAAACGAGTGATTAGTCCAAGTTACCATCGCACAGCACCCGGGTACCGGTACATACATAAGTACTACGGTAGTACAATACGACAATTACAACAGCACCCTTCCATCTAAAAATGGAAAAGAAAAAAAAAACGAATACCGGTACTCCGTCCCCTTCCCCCACCGGACCGAAGCGGCCGTTCAAGACAAACTTTCCTTCACACTACAGCACATACCCCGTCACGGGACGGAACCAGTTTCACCGGTTTCAAGTACCGTATGTATCACGCATGCTCCTCACCACCACCACCCCTTCCCCCCCCCAATCCGATCCACCGAGGGATTACTATAGCACAAGTAACACACTGCGGTGCGAGTACGGTATCATTTATCGAGACAGGGTGAATGGATGGATGGGTGGGTAGTACTCGTACTGTGCTCGCCGCCGTCCCGCAACGTACCCGTCCCGTAGCGATCAGGATGATATAAGGCTGTGGCCGGGATCGGTCCGGTTTCCGTCAACTTTTTTCTTTTCTTTTTCGGCCGGGTTGGAAATTTAGCTTCGCGTACGGCAATACAGTACCGGCAATTTGGATTCTTAGAACAAACTTGGTCTAGGGTACTATAAGTGATTCGAGTGAGATGTTGTGAGAGGTTGCAGGTTGCTTTCTTCCTTCTTCTCGCACGAGCGAAGGGGGGTTGCGACGGTGCAATGATGTATCGTACCAGTAGAGTAGATACCAACCAGTATGTACTATACTCGTAGATGATTTTATGATACCGCCTTGCCCCCCCTCCCCATCTTGACTATGATGGACGCAATTGCGATTGGGAAAATAGTTCTGGTCTACCGGTAAATCTTTCTTCACGACCGGTCATGGGGTTTCTTTGCTTTTTTTTTTTGCAATGAGCTGCTTACTCTGCGGGGAGGGGGCACTAACCGTGTGGTGTGAGACGGCACATTTGTTTGGGTACGGTGTTCGAGTACCGGTAACTATATACACTATACCGTGCTGTTCTGTGCTGTGCTGTGCTGTAACATGGCGCTGGATCATCTCCACTCGCACCAGTAGTACCGTACAGTAGGCTTGACTTGACTCGCCTGCTGTTAATGAGGCTTGGGACACCGTATACGGCACTCTACCATACCATACGAGTACCGGTACTTGTACAAGTATCAAGTGGTTGGCATGCTGACAAGCACGTGACCACTGTGACCTGCTCAATGTATGATATGCCGACCAATGGACCGTTGGCGACACTTTTTCGATTTCCGGTACGGGAGCGGTAATTGCGTGTCCAACACCGCTTCGCAGTTGGTCCGCGGCGATCTTGATGGGCCGATGGGTGGACATATGATACATGCGTAAAGTACAGGAGAAACAATCCACAGCCCCAGGTGCATTACAAACCATCAGCTCAACCCGATAACCCCCCTGCCCCCGCCCCCGGACAATCGATCGTAGCTTTAATCCGGGTGAAAATATCGTGGTCATCGCGAGCCTAGATCTATCCACCTTACCTTACCTTACTTTTACCACCACTAATAACAACCGCCTCGTCCGCCCGAGCAGTCAGGTACCGGTAGGGTTTTCTCCTTCCAGCCCAATTCACCCCCTCCATTAACTCTCCTCCCTGGGCTGAACGGAGGGCTGGAGAGCTCAGTGCTCTACAAGCATTCATAATATGCAAAAGAATTCGCTGGCGAAGGGAGGGACATTTCTTTTTTTTTCCATTCAAGTGCGCCAGGTGTGAGGGAGGCACAGGGTACAGAGGCCTCTCCTTCTCTCTCCTATGATACACTGCAGGCGATGGACCGGTGGATGAATGGATGGGTAGAGATGTACTGAACATGGACATGGACGTGTGGGATCTTTTTCCTTTGTTTTTCCATTTTTTTTCCCATTATTCCATTTTCCTTCTTCTCTTGGTGCACATTGGTTGGCTTGGGATTTCAGCTGCGTGCGGCCGGGGTACGTACGATACAGCAGGTTAGGAAGGGAGGGGGGCGATAAAGTCGACTTTGGTCCGGTTGCAGGTTTGTTTGGTACGGTAGGTGGTTGTCGGAGGTGGCGGTGGGTGGGTACTCGTACCGGTACCAGCACGAGTAGGCGAGGAGAAGGACAGGGGGGAGAATGGGGGATGCAAACATGCTGTCCTGTACTGTGCCGGTACTGTATGCACGTGAGTTGTGTATCTCGAATATCTGCCGTTATGCTTGCAAGGCACAGTATGCAGTAGATGAGGGAGAGGGATAAAGTAGGCCGATAAACTGGAGAAAGGAGGCGGAATGAATCGTGTTCGTGCGGCACCATAGAGTACCTGTACGGTGCTGTACCTAAGGTGCTCTACAGATGGGGTATAACACATGCAATGCGTACCCGCTCGAGGATTCGTACAGTGCTATCCATGCATGCCCCAATAGGTATCCGGGCATGTATGTTATCGGACGCTTTTTGATTCTCTCCTTTTTCTTTTCGCGGGCTGGCTGACAATTGCTGTCTGGGGGCACTTGATCCAGTAAGTCCACCCCCGAATTTCGTACTTGTACCTGCCTGTGGATGATGTTTTGCAAGGTGCATTTTTTCCTTTCTTTTTGGTAAATTTTCCGGTTTGCCGATATGTAGGTCATCAGAAAAAAAAAGTATTTCTTCTCTTTTTCTTTTTTTTATTACTTTTTCTTCTCTTCAGCTTCTGCATGTGGGGAGCTGGCTGCGAAAAGGAAAATAGAGTGAGCAATGACCTCATCATATGGAAGGAACGAGAGGAAGAACAGGAGGAAGAAAACTCTTCGCTCGGGGAGCTGACCGAATCTCGCAAACGCTTCTGCAGTGGCACTGAACTCTAGACTGTGAAATATATTGTTTCGGCGGCCGCGCCTACGAGAAGAAAAAGAAAAAAAAAGAGGGAGAATGAAAAAAGAAAGAATGAAAAAAGTAAAGAAAAGAACTTTGAGGAGAAACAAGTTTCGATGCCAGTACAATGTTTCGGAGAGTGAGGCTGTCTGTCTGTCTGTCGAAAGAAATCTCACGATGGGTGCAAGAGTCAATTGCAGTATGATACCAGTACTGCAGCCCTTCATTTCCTTTCCTTTCTCGCCACTTGTCCCTTGTCTGATATGTACTCAGTACAAGTAGGCTAGGCTACGGTACGGCACTCGTAAATACTCGAGCACAGGATGAGCCGTGAATTGGCCGATTGCCTAGTCCACCTGTCCGGGAAGCAGAGGTCAGGTCACAACCAATTAACCAACGGACAGGCACTGTACCATACCGGTACCAGGTACTGTACAAATTATCCGCGCAGAAAAAAGTTTTTTTTTTCCAGAAAATCCGGACAGATTATTCTAGCCCTTTCCTTTCTTCTTCCTCTCCCTTCTTTTTTCCAGAGCCAACGCACAGCGTGACACAAGGCCCAAGCCATGGTTTCCCGAAGAAGTGGGATTCCCCCCCCCCCAACGGCAGTCCACGCTTCGAGTACAGTAAAGGCCAAAGAACGTGGGCCGTTCCTAGGAAGTTTCAGGGAACCGAAGTGGCGGGTTGCGCGAAGCGGAAAAACGAAGTCTCAGGCGAGGGTCTCTGCAGACTTACCTTATCCATCTGATCCTCCATCCACTCCACTCCATCCATAACCCTTGAAGAACCCAGAGTTCCACCGCCCTGGGGAACCGGAGACCAGAGGCGCAGAGAGGAGAGCCTTCCTCTTCTAATCTTTTAATTTTGCTCCCCCCTTGAAGGCGAGGGAATGGAGGAAGGGAGGGAGGGGAAAGTTCTCTTATCCTGAACCATGGACGCAACTGATATCACGCGACACGTGTCTAAAGAGGGCAAGCGTGCCGTAGTTTTCCTGAGGTGATTTGAGAGACGAGTCGATCCCTTCCCTCCTTCGCTCCACCCTCTCCTAGCTTATATATAAATCAAGCCAGGGGCCGGCTATTACATAAAATCGAAAAAGGTGAGAGAGAGAGAGAGAGTTATCATATGCCGCGGAGGTGAGGGAAGAGAATTGAAGAAAAGGGAGGAAAGGAAGAGGGAAGAGAGAGAAAACACGGCAACAGATCGGCAGACACAAGGGAATTAATGGATGAATGGCCCAATGTCATAACACCGATACCGACGATGTCAGGTGGTCACGGTAGAGTCTTTGCCATGATCGGTCAGTGCGGTGCGAATACGGCACTGGACGAATGAATGCAGGCATTCGGTTAGTTAGATGGTATGGAGCTCGACCGACCACGGTTACTCGTGCTCGAGTAGATTGCCGCTCGCGGGGAAGGGAGGTGAAGGAAGCTTCTGGAATTGGCAAGGCGCGACGAGTACAACACGATGGAGGAGGAGGCGGGCGTCGGGCATGCAATACTCGTACAGTGTCGGCACGGGTGCAGCACGGTTCTGCATCGCCCTCGTGTTGTGTGGATTGCTGTGGGGGAGGGGCATCTGGCATGGAGGAATCACCCTTTCTTTCTTTTTGCAAGGAAAATATCCCATCGCCTACCGACGATGGTATGAGATCGCAGCAGGCGGTTAGTATTGAGAGTCAACAGATCATGCCTAAGGCCCACCCCTCTCGGGGAAGCTCGCCTAGAGAGTAGCTCGCATAGCACGGCAAGTTAACTTTGATGGCGCCCCCCCTCCCCTCCGACTGCCGATTCACCCCTCGCCCCCCTCCGCCCCTTCCCCTAGGATGGTTACAGTACTCGTACACTGTACATGCCCAAGGGTATAATACATACCGCGTCGGAAATGGGGGACCGTGTTCGAGACGTGGTTCAGCATACGCAAACTCACGTGCATGACAGTAATACGGTAGTTAACTACCAAGTTGGGCCATTCATGTCCGCCCAGGCAAAGAACCATGGGAGGACAAGAAGTGCATATAGTCTAGCATGACCTATCAGGATTCTGCCGCCACCCACAAGTTGAATGAAGGTTTGTAGGGAGATTCTCATAACGGTGTGCGGCGTCTGCATAAAAAAGGAATTGAAGCAGCATAACGGTGAGGAAACCCCGTGCTGGTGAACTCCTCTCCCTCTGCTGTAGCAATGAGCGGACGGACACAGGGCGAGAAGAGAGTGGGAAGGAGGAGGAGCCCATGATCCGTACGATAAATCACAGCAGGCGTGATGGGTACAGCGCGATAAGCATGCTGGATGAACGACAGCAGGCGAAACTCGGGGAAAGGTAAAAAATGGCGAGTTGAAATGGTTAGCCGGCCTTCTGCAAGATTGAGTGGTTTGCCGTTGAATGCACGTCTGAGGCAAGCCAGCAGGAGGAGAAACATTTGGAGGGGAACCTCGGCCCACCCGAAGATGCTATTTTCCGGGTGGGAAAGATATCCACCCCTCCCCGTGTTCACTGTGCGTAAAAGATATGATACGATGACGATGACCATTTCCCAGCAAAGAAGCCTACCCGGTAGGTAAACCCATCCATGTTGCTCTACCGTATGGCAGTGTCGAGTCCTATGAAAGTAAGGCGGTGCCCTAGGGGGGAAGCATGGGAGGGGATGGAGAGTATCATACCGTAACTGATGGTATGATATGCTCGCTTGCTTATTCGGCGTCTCCGCCCCCATGAATAACCATGTTACGCATACGATACATGGCATTCTATTCCACTTTATTGTTCATTTATTTCTCGCGTTATGGCAGGAGCGAGGTAAACATCCTGACGCAAGAGACGGGGTTCTGAGAATACTCTGAACGGCTGTATTATGTAGTGTAGTATGTAGGGGCAAAGGGTAGAAAAAAAAGTATGCCAGACAACAATATCCCCTCGACCCTTTTCCAGCTTGCACAGCACTAGTACCCGTACGGGTTAGCTTACCGTAGTTATCTATCGGACAGACTTTTTTTTTCCCTTAATTTCACTCCCACTCCACACAAGTGGCCAGTTCACGCTTGAACAACGAGAGCTCGCAATGGGGGAGGCCGGAGTCATTCGTTACAGGATGCTCCCCGTATCTCAAATCACCGGTTGCGATTGATAGAAGAGAGAGAGAGAGAGAGAGAGACGCAGCAATAGCTACATGATCATACGCGTGGCGAGTTCGATTGATGATGGGTTATTGCGGAGGAGGATCTGAATGAACGAACGAACGGACAACTTTTCCTCGCGGCGAAACGGAATCGACAATTGGAATCCTGGTAGGTAGGTTGATTGGTTGACCGGTTTAGGCTTCACGACCCAGCACAGACAAGGCCATTCATTCCATTCTCTTGAACCTACCCCCTCCTCATCCTCATCCTCATGTTGTTGCTGCTCTGCTGTAGGCTGCCCGCCTGCCTGCCTGCCTGCCCGCCTGCCTAGCCAGCTTGCTTGCACCTCACTTACGACGACACTCCCAGCTTGTAGGCCAACTGCTTCAAAACTATTCGTTTCTCCCTTCATGCCCGGGCAAATTGATGATCGTCGTTACTCCCACCCTCCCAGCCAGTTAGCATTGTAGAAGGTTTGCCTGGGCTCTCGTTCTGCAACAACAATGCTAGGTTCCTAGTCCCCCTTCGGGGTTTTCCCAGCATGTGGTTGCTAACCTGTTGCTTCCGGGGCGCGAAAAATTTTGTGCGTTGTTCACCCACCGGATGCGCCCCACGTATGTGGATGGTCACTTCGTACCGCATTGTACAGTAGAAATTATCGTCGCCATGAACCGAACGTTTTTACCAAGGCGAGTGATTTCTCTTGGAGGGCCCGTTTGTGCGTGCGGTGCTCAGAGCTTCTTGCTCCAGAGCACCGGCACTCTCTGGGCCCACCGCCCCTCCTGCTCCACCTTGCTCCTCCTACTGTACTCGAGTACGGTACTCCTGCTCCTCCTCCTCCTCCCACCCTTCCCCATCAACTTTGCAATCACCCCGCTGATAATAGCTCTCTCTCTTAACCTTTTGGGTGTTGGGATCGTTTTAGGTCCCAGGCATTGACAGTAAGCTGTCACTCTGGGCCGGGAGGAGGGAGGGTCTGGGAGGAGGGCCGGGGCCAACCATCCGGATTGGACAATGGATGATGCTTTGGAGAGAGCATTTCCATCCATGCCTGTGCCAGCGCCAACCCATGGAGGGAAGTTGGGAGGTGGATTTGAAGGAAAAAGCGTTATTTCGAAGACATTCGGGGTCCAATCGATTTCTCCCACTTGGGTTGATTTATCGGGCAGTAACCTCTTGACATTTTATTTTTTGTTTTTTTGTTTTTTGTTTTTTTCCCCTTCATTCATTCCTTTTTTATTGTTTTTTGCGGGGGGTCACTTGTGAACTGAGTTACCTGTACTCGAGTACTCGTAAGGGTCTTTTCTCTCTGCGCGAGGTCACAGACACTCCCGATTAGTCTAGCCTCTGTCACCACACACACACACACACCAAAAAATGGTTTACATGCATCTATCATACTTAAAATTGCCATACCCAAAATCGAGCACCAACCAACCCGCTGGCCGGAAAGGAGGCTTCAAGTGAACCCTACAACTTTAGATCAAGCCGCTCCTGGAGAGTAAAAAATAAAAATAAAATAAAAAAAAGGTATCCGTGGGAAAAATATAATATTACGGCTACTTGGACTTGAGCGTACTCGAGTACCGTACAGAGCAGTCCTCTCATGTTCCCTAACCATGTGCGTATCACCAATAGTAGTTTATCTTATACTTTCCGTATGCGCCCCCCATGCTCTCCTGCAGGTCCCTACTTGTAGGCGGTGGATACACGAGTAGTCTCTTAGGTATTTAAGTGTGCCCCCCTCCCCTCCCGGCCTCACAACCTTTTTTATCTACATATATATATATATTATTTTATTCACCTCCCGCCTCGGCTTCTCAGGGTGCCCCTCGAACCAGTGCCTATTCCTACTCTCTCGGAGGATCGCTTGGTGGGATTTTATTTTGTTTATTACTCCTATTTTCCATTATTTTCCATCAACAGGGCCATACACATCTGTTAGCCCTCTAACTCAGGGGCGTCTTTGAACACTTAAAGAACAACAAAACAAAAAAAAAAGATGGATTCAAGTCCTGGTCCCTACCGTAGCCGCACCCGCGGCCAACCCTTCCACCTTCAAACCTCGGAGGGGGAATACGATACGTCTTCTGTCAACACTACATCGACACAATCAATAGATATACCGGAGTCGAGTTCGCATAATGTGGGCTCGGAAGTCTCTACGTCCGGATACGGGTACCAATCATCCCCCAATACTCCGACGAAACGGTTGAATGAATCGTCACCTCCACCGTCAAAACGATCAAAGGTGGAGGAGTCTGGTCCCAGCTCGCCCAATTGCTCACTTTCGGAATGCCCTACACCCACGGAAGCTCCGGCACCGGATTCCGAGTCCGAGAGGCCGTCGAGGGTTAAGGTTGGGGGGAACAAACAGTTCAGATCGAGGTCCTTGCCCCCCCCTCGACGGAGAAGGCGAGCGCACCCGGAAAGCATCCAACAACACATCCCACCCGTCACCCTAAATACCCTAAGGGAGCTCGACCTGCATGAGATCTACCGCAACCCTAAGCTTAGACACGACGTTGTCTTCGACTCGCAGCTTCATTTCCGCCCAAATCTTGATGGAAATAGAGGGAGGAGAAAGAAGGAGATGGCAGATATGTACTGGCAGATTGTCTTGCGGGAGTGTGAGGTGGTTTTGGGATCATCCAGGTGGAGGAATGCCGAAATGTTCTCGACAACGCCGAGGAAGCTACCCATCTTGTTCGAGACAATGCGTGATATCCTATTGACACTGGTTCCAAAGACAGACAGGTCGGACGTTGAGTCCATCTTGGATCCCCCTCTTCTGATGCAGCAATTGAAGCACAACGTGTTGGATTTCAAGGGGCTGTCACTGTGGCTGGCTACAGTCTTGAAGGCGCATTGTGCCCCGATGAGGGATCAGTGGGTGGAGCAGATGGTGGCTAAGGTGGCTTACGGAGTGGACAATGGAAAAGTATCTGCATTGGTGGAAGGGATACAGATGGTCTTCGGGATTTTGGAAGCTATGAAGCTGGTACGCGATCCCCCCCCCCCGCGTCGAGCTTCACAATTTGATGGGATGTTTAATTCTGACGCATTTCATAGGATGTTGCCAACCACCAGATTCGAACACTTCGACCCCACCTCATTTCTACGGCTATCAGCTTTGAACAGAGTTACTTTCAAGAGCGGATAGATCAGGGACGTTTGGACATGAAGGAGCCCAGGAGCTGGTTTGCGAATGCTGCAGCGGGCCGCAAGACGAACGAGGCCCTCGACCACATGGCCATCTTTACAGGTGCGGTGGTGGATATGCTCGCTCCCTCGGGGTACGCTAAATACCCGGCCACCTTTGTGTTCGACTACGAAAGGCTGGAAGGTCTACGGGACGACATTCGGGAAGCGACGTGTCTCAAGATGGCTATCCTCTTCTTCCGACAGCTGACCCTAACATCAAAACGAGATGTGGACGCGGCAACAATTGACAAGCTCCGCACGTCAATAATTGCTATCCTGGGAGAGGAGGATGGTGTTCACCGATGGTTACGGCACAGCAATGCTGTTGCCCTGCACGTCGCTCAGACAGCCTACGAGTTCAACGGCTCAACCGGGATCGTCGATGCCCCCACAGTCAAGATGGCGGAAAATTGGTTCGCGAAGCACCTCCAGACCAACTCACCGATCTATGCACATGTGGAGAAGGAGATTTCCAAGGAACTGACGGGAATGGTCCTCCGTATAATTAAAGGGTGGTCCTCACTCTCCACCTTCTCCATCATGCAATCGGCCGATGTTACGGGATCCTCAATGGAGCTGGCCTCGATAGCCCAGAGAGCATCGCATATCGTTTTTATGCATTGGCGGATATTCGGAAAAATGTATCTGACATCGTGATCTCGTTTGCCCTCGGATACCGATTCGCCCCCTCCATCCAACTCTTTCTTATCTCTCTCGACAGTATTATGTTTATAATATCATACGTCGCCCAATATTTCCTAATCACATTTTATCCATTTTCCTTTGTTTTCGGTATAAACGGTTTTTTGGGAGGCAAGGTGGTGTCTTTTATTTTATTTATTTATTTCGGTTTACTCTCCTGCTTATCTCCCTTTAATCTGTGTTCCTTCTCTCTTTTTTTTTCTTCATTTTCTATTTTGGTTGGAGTGGGGTTTTTCTTTTCCTTTTTTTTTCTTTTCTTTCCTTCCCATAAATAAGAATACGTGCAAATTGGGGGGGTCTTTCCTTGTTTCCTTTTGTCAGTTTGTCCTTACCATAAACAGCGGCGTATTTAGAGTGGATCGGTATTGTAGAGGCGAGTCCAAATTAATGTGATATCCTGAGAGTAAATCAATCGGTGTTCCATCGAAGTACGTGGAAGGAGGTTTGGTTGGTTGGGACGGATTGGTTGGTGAGGGCTAGTCCGTTGGAGTATGAGACTCAGGGTTAAGGCATAATTCTAGACGTAGGGTGTATGGTTTGAACTATCAAGCCCCCTCCCCCCGAAATGGTTGTCCGATATGATCTGGGCCTTGGTAGGCTACCGTACCACAGAGTTACAAGTATCGTTCCTAAGCTATTGGTACGAGCACATGTCGCGTTGTAGTATACGTAGAGTACAGTACTCGTCTATAGTGCTATGGTGCTCCTATCCAGTGAGCCTCCCAACCTTTTCACCGGTCCGGTAATGGGTGGGGGGGGGGGGGGAGGCGCAATTCGATCCAGTCCAATTCCTGGAAGGAAGAACCCTGATAACCCATAACCTCGACCCATACATACCTCTCATGGGATGATCCGTGATCCACTCGGAGGGGATTCACGAGGCTTCGAGCGTACAAGTATAATAAATGGCACCCATATCATGCTCTTTACAATACTGTATCATACTGTGTTATACCGGTATTGCGCCGAACCTAGTGAACCCCCTTCCCTCCTCCATCCATCACTCCTCCCCCCCCCGAACCGGCCGGAGTTCCGTGTTCGTGCACCTGAGACGATGGGATCCCGGACCCTCGGTGTTTCCTCTATAATGGCACTAACTCCAACTCGGAACTCGGTCTATGTACTGTTACCCTTTTTTTTTCTTTTCTTCTTTTCTTTTCTTTCCACCTTCCTTCCGCACCGCCACCGCCATCACTACAAGTACCGCAGACTAGCCGAAGCGAAAGGAAGAGGTGGAGGAAGGAACGGGAACTCACCGATTTTAGTCACTTGGACAGAAATGGTGGTTTCCGCTTCTCTTTCTTTCTCCCTTCTTTCCCTTCCCCAGCCGTTTACGGTGTGCATACCGACATATCTATCATTACCGCGGGCATCTAACGTGCACGGTGGGAGAGGGAGAAAAAGTTTTAGAATACCGCACTCGAGTACTGTAGGTACGATGGTGTACTTGTCCTGTACAGTGCTCGAGTACAGGCGCCATCCGTGGCAGGGGTAGTATTCTTATTATAACCTGCTGACCAACGCTGGATGCTTGGCTTCACAGCGGTGAAACGGGCGAAACCAATATTGTGGGAAAACGGTAAGGGAAATACATGAAGAGTGCGATGAATAAATAACCTTTTTTTTTATACCTGAATTATTGAGGTGGATGTAGTTGATTATTGTAATTCAGGAGCTGCACCGTATCTGCTATTTTGGTGTCTAACTTTGTATTATATTTCTTGCGTCACCGGTTTTCATCACCATTGGCAATTCGGTAGGTGCACCAACATCTGGCACCATCATAATTTATCATGTCATACCATATTTAATTTCTATCACAGTGGGTAATGACTACTGAAAATAACGTTTGCGAATTTTTAAAAATTAAAGAAAAAGTGCCTTGCTTGAAGATGTTTTTTTTTTCTTTTTTTTCTCTCCCTGGCCATCTCGCTCAAGTGCCGGAGGTGTTTTTCCTGCAAGACAAGGGGGGGTGATCTTGCATTTTCAACTTGACCCGGATCACTATTCACCAACTTTATCGTGGGTACTCGCGACCGTTTGGAGAAACGTGTTTCCCAATGGTGCGTGTGTGTGTATAGAGTACCGGTACTGTATCATACAAGTACCAGTGTGGGCGAGGTCCAAACTTGCATTGACGGTAGAATACCGCATGCCCGGCCGGCCAAAATCCGAAGAGAAAAAGCTCCCCCCCCCCGTCCGGTATGATACAACGAGTGATCCGGGAGGGGGACAACGGGTCAAAAGTTTTGGAGTTGCGAAAACATTTTGGGTTTGTAGGGTTTCGTATGGGACGGTTGAGGTTTGACCGTAACTTGTGTACCGGTATTGAACTTACAGTACAATACAACCCTTTTCTCAAGCCTTGGACCGGAACTTTCTGCAGTGGTGTCGCGCATTCCGCCCCGGGTCCGCTGTGCTGTGCTATTACACCGCATCGGATCCGAATGAAGGGATTTAATATTGAAACAAAGAAAAGATATCGTACCGGTACTGTAACGATATATTACTGTGCTAGCGCAGTACGGTACCCTTCCGGTAAGTGTTAATATATACCGGTACTCTTCCGAGAAAACTGCACTCCGGGAAGTCAAAAAAACAAAAAAACGAAAAGGCGGTAATGAATTGAAAGTTATCGTACCCATCATAATCATAGCATAACAGAGCATAGCATAGCATAGCATAGCATATCATATCGCGGACAGATGCCGTACCCGAGTGCAAGTGCTACGGTGCAGTACTTGTACCGTGCTCGTACCCTTCCTTACTGTGTTATGCTGAGCTGTGTTATGCTGAGCTGTGCTATGCTGTGCTGAGCCATCGCGGTGCCCGGCATGATAAAAATGTGTTTCCCGTACAACGCCAACATCCTGCCCGTACCGATACTTGCACTGTACGAGTACAGTACTCGTACTTGTATAATCAAGACCACCCCCCCCCCCCGCTAAACAAATGGGTCCGAACGATTTGTGCTGCCCGGACCTTCCTCATTCCTTCCTTCACTTACTTTTGGTGGATGAGCTAATCCCGTCTTTGCCTTGGGCCATGGCTCGGTACTTTGCGCCTGTGCCATGTCGTGTCGTGCCGGTAGGTGGTGGGTGGTGTGGAAATTTGGTCAAGTTACCCTTTTTTTTCCTTTTTTTTTCCTTCTTTTTTCTTCGCCTTCCTCTCTCTCTCTCGTTTCTTCTTCGAGGAGATGAGGGAAGGAACGGAAGGGGGATTGCGCCATAATAGCGGTACGAGTACATGCACTCGTGCGGTATGGTTCTTGGATTTGGGCAAGGATGCCAAGAGGAATGTTTCTAAGAATGGAAGTTCGGGAATGTTCTACTGTAGGGAATTATTTATCGGATTGGGATAAAGTTCACGTTCCGCTTTGGGAGCTCCAATACCGGATTATGGTACTCGAGTACTGTATCGGGTGAATGGGCCCGTATAGTAGCTAATCGGGGGTGGGGGGGAGGGTAACAAAAGCTGTCAAGTTGTGCTTTGTGCTAAACACAAATCAATCACGATAATGATAATGATAACGACAATCCCCCCCCCCACCCCGCTCTCCCGGATGGCTTCCTGTGCGGACCAATATTTAGGGCTAACGGGGTCGCCGCTCTATCCAAATCCTATCCGGAACCTTCCTATATTCCTCATCGCCCTCCTCTCCCTCTTCTATCATGCCCCCCCCCCCCCCTTATCGCCAGGGGAAAGGGGATAATAATGGCAAAACCTAATTGTTGGGACCACTTCATGTTACGGTTGTACCAGACAGCCCACCCATACTTTCTACCACCGCAGCCCAGCTCGTTAAGTACTTGCCCTTGATTTGTACCACCATCTAGAGACCCCCTCTTTTCAGCCTTGGCCTGCCTTATTCTTATTATACTTTACCTTCCCACATTATATCTTTGTTATTAGCCAGTTATCCCTTGCTTTGCCAATGCTACCGCAAATCTGAGGTAACACAAAATGCCCATGGCTTGTGTTGGAAAGCTGACGCTTATTACTATTGACCACTGAGGTGTTTCCACTTTTGGTAGGGTCCCGGTTACAGCAAGAGTTGGCGGCGAAAGGGGCGGCCTCGTTGTTCGGACTTGATTATCCGTTACTATATAAGTCACAGATGTCCACAGCCCACCACCGCGGGTGCCAACTCAAAAAGCAAACTCCCTTTGGTGGGCGATCCCAATTTTTTTAGCTGCCAGGTGCGTGCCGTATGTATCATCATGTACAGTACGAGCACTGGGGACCTCGTTGTACAGGTACAGACGAGCGTGTCGCGTTCGTTGTGCTAGTTGGTGCAGAAGTGAAGGGAAGATAGCAAAGGTGCAAAATAATTGCACCAGACCTTTTCCTTTGAGTTAAGCCGTGGGCGGTGGATGTGACTTTGACTTGGGCTTGGGCCGGGCGCGAGTGATGTGAAATGATGATACTGTCCGGAACGGGCGGGCGGGTCCGGTGGTGGTGGTCCGGGGGAGGTGATCCTTTAGTTGGGTGTGTGCTATAAATTGTCTGTCTGTACTCGTGCAGTAAGCCCCGGCAGATGTCCCATAGGATTACCCTCACCTTTATTTGACAAACACTGCACCGGGAACTGCAGCGTGCTGTAACTGGTGAGAATGTCCTGGTTTTGGACGCCGATAAACATAATTGCCGGCAGTGTGCGATACTGGATGCATCATACCAGCCTCAGATATACAAGTGCACGCGTGAATCCGTGATACCTGTGCCGGCCGTAGCAGTACGTGCCAAGACATCTGACCCGCTGCGGATACTCCCGTTGTTTGAAGAAACATCCCTCCTCTCTCCTTTTCCCCCCTAACAACCAACAAACAAACAGATAATCCTACTGTCTTAGTAGACTGTCGGTGGATTCGGGGTGCGAGCGAGTAGGTAGGTAAGCGGCATGATTGGAATCTATCGAATGCCTTCAACTAATGAGTGTTCAGCTGCTGTTGGAAGAAATTCTGTATCTCCTTGGATGTCTCGCTGGTATTGACGGTGGGTATGCTGCAGTGTATAAGACAGGAGTATTTATCACGAAGTTAATCTGACAATTAGTAGTGACGATTGCTATTATACAAGCATGATACTGGGGCGTCGTTTTTAGGGCCCTTATAGTGTTGGTGTTTGGGGTGGTGGAGTTGGCAGCACATTTATCTCCAGTCAGATACCCCTATTCACCCAACTACCGGCTGCTAAGTTAGCATGGGAGCCCTGTCACGCTGTCCTTTCGCATACTTGTGTCGCCCTCCTTAGAATACCACCTCATCGACCGATTCCAATTCCCCCGGAAACAGTGGTTCTAGTTTGACAGCTCTCTGGAACATCCTTGAGCATCGACCCCAAGAGCTGAGAGGCCCGGCTTCCACCCATTGCGAATCGAAGGGGAAGCATGCTGTCCACGCTGCCGCTATGTGGCTGGTGCTCTCCGAGTGATAGTTCGTGGTGCCAACCAAATGCTCTAGTATGAGCCAAGACCCTTGGCGCCCAGCTACACTTTGGTCGTGGGCTCGTTTACCGGTATGCCAACACAAGCATTCCCCCTTCGTTGTGACAGTTAACATACGACACAGTGGCAAGTACCAGCCTGGAACAAAAAGTGATCGGAAAAAAAGTGGTTGGCACAACACCACTTTTTTCCGATCACTTACCCTTACACCCTGGTACAAGTAGCAAGCAACACAACAGTCTTTCCAGGAGTATGCCTGGTAGCTCAGGTTTCATTGGGTAAGGATGTTGTCATCGTGGGTAATACTGCGCGGGTCGATGGATGGGATGGGGCTTGAGGGTTCTACTTACCCACCTCTGAGAGGATGTCTGGAAATGCTGACCAGTGTAGCAGGGCGAAGGCTCGGGGCACAAGGATATTCTCAGGTTGATTGTTACGATTGGCAGATACCTCCTCCGGCCGATTTCGTCGCGCCGGAGTTTTATTCTCCCGGTGTCGGTTTACTCGGTACAATTTGTGTCTACAGTTGGTCGGTGTATCAAGCTCTCGGTATCATGGTTCTGCTGGACCAACGCAAGGCTTGTGAATATCTGCAGCACGGGCGACAGGCTCGTGGAAAGTTGGGCAAAAAGGCGCGACCGTTGTTTACTGGCTGTTGTAATAATAATAATTATAGAATATGGTGTTGGGATTGGTGGGGCCTTCATCCGGACATGAGGCTCCGCTTCGAAGTGTGTTGGAAAATAATGCGTTCAGACATTGACACACAGTGAGTGATTGCACATGAAGGGCTGGGGGAAAGTCGCTGCAACGCGTGCGCCCTAAGTTACGTGCGTGCTAGGTGAGATTCGAAAATGCCGTTGAGCCAGATAATGTAGCCCGGGGACAACGAATTCGGATGCCCATGTGCTTATCGCAAACCCTCGAGTCCCTCCGCTGACAGGGTAGATATCATAGATAGCAGCCTGCATATTTTCCGGTGAGTTTGGGCTTAGAGTTAACGGATAACGCTGCAGTGGGGAAAAGGCGAGTGAGCTGACGGACTTGGTCTACGCTCCAGGATTCTTGTGCGATGGCTCCGTCGAAATTACCCGGCTGGCTGGCTGGCCGGTTGCTGGCTCTAGAAGTCACCTATGATATGACTTGCTGCACTTGCACAGAATACCGGTAACCCCTCCCAAAACTCTGCATAACAAGTGTCGCGGTGCCCTTATGTATCATATCTGTACTGTACACGTATGAGATGTGTGAACCTACCGTGAGGTACCTAGTGTACGAGCTTTATGCCGGTCGGTATCCAACTTATATACCCTCTACCTGAAGCTCTCAAATTCCAGTTGCTTCATTCATGTCCATTGGAAGCCACATATTTTTTGGCTGCCGCGGAGCATGCACGATATGATACTCTCCGCACAGGGGAGATGTCTGCTCGTACGAGTACTGTATCTGACTGACTTGTGATGCTTGCGGTACCTTGCCCAGTTACATATCATGGATGGATGGATGGATAGCTAGCTAGCTCGTTATACCAGGTAGCCCACCCACCCACAAAGCAAGTAGTAACTTGGAGTATACACGGGACTACTATCCACAAGTACTCGTACTGTATTGTATCCCGTCTCGATGCGGGCGACTTCGTGAATTCTCGTACTGCATATCGGGGGAAAAGAAATACCTAGCTACCTGCCGTACCCGTACCATACCGATCGTCCACTCCCCCCCCCAATCCTACTGGCTCGATACGCCCCCACTCCAATCAATCCTATGATCGACGAAGTCACGGAAGGAATGGCGGAATGTGCCACAAATAGGCAATAAAGAGGGGAAAAAAGAAAAAAAAAAAACGGGGCTTACAATGCAAGTCGCCAATGATGTGGAGGTTTACGGTGGTACCCTATACCTGGACGAGCGAACGAATCGGTTATGCGCACTTGGTAATGGCGAGAAGATTTTGGGATCCGGTTTGTGCGTCCGAATTGGTTTTCGGCTGTGTATTTATAGAGTGAGTGAGTGAGTGGGTGGTGGGTGGACGGACAGAGGGAGTTTGGCGATCCTTTTTTTTCTTCTTTCTCTCGCGATTTGCTGGGCTGGGGGGAGGGGCGAACTTGATGTTATCTCTGGATTGACTGGATTGGATGAGTGTCTCGTTATAGTGAGGAGGGATATGATAGGATGGGATAGAACGAATGGATATCGTTGATCGCGGAGAGGGTCCGCAAGTGGGGGATGGAGTAGCTGGTATCTTGGACCATTGGAGGAAGGTAGGTTCGGGATATTATATATTATATACAGAAATCACGCCTTATATCTGTCGGGTCGGTTGGTTGGTTCGTTGGTCTGGATCCTGGATCTCTCACATTTGATGGGTGGCTCTTTCATCCCATATGGATCCTTTATCGTTGCCTTTGTCTCAATCACTGGTGAAGGGTGAATGTGGTTTTTCCATTCGTTGATACAAGAGCGGGGAGTATAGGTATTTCCCTTGCTCTCTCTCTCCTTCTGGCGGAATTCTCATGCAAGGGATCTGGATCTTACAGCGAGAAAGGGCTGGACTCTTCCATTTTTATTTCACTTCCCCCCTCCCCACCAGTGGGAGCAAGGACTTTTCAAAAAAAAAAAAATTGCCCCCATGCCGTTTTTCCTTGGTGTATGTATTGATCGTATGGCAGTAAGAACCCATGTGCTGTCGTGAGGGGTTCTCCGGTGTCAATCAGAGAGAAGAGGAAGGGGTATTGATTCTTTCTTTTATCTCTTCCCCTCCTTTCCCTCGAAGTTGGGCATTGAGTTGTAACTAGTCGTGGGCCGTCCCTTGGGAAAATAGGCGTTTCCGGGCGATTTATTTCACACTTGCCCATTTCGCGCGTTATTCTCTCAGTGATCGTCGGGCACGCGTTGACGGGGGAGCAGAAATGGCTCCCCTCCTTCCTCTTATATATCCTGAATCCATCAGCGTTATATTTAGCACCACAGTAAGACGCTGTTCGACACTTACTAACTTTTGCATATGCCTTGGACTGGGTTCTCCAATACCGCCGTTATGCCTGACTAACAGAATCAAACGTTGGAGATTAGCAGCGGGAGAATAGGATGCTCTGATTGATCGATCGATTGCTATGGTGCGGTAGGAAGCAAGCGCGGATTTACCCACCCGCCCCCATCACCCTACCACCAGTATCCACCGTTTCCATACCGGATCGTACGACCCTATCCATCCTCCCGGTAGGTTGTAGCCCAATTCGACGGTAAACCCAGGAATGCATAGCGAACCCTTGCCTTCTGCCTTTTGCACGGGAAATGTCACACCTGAGGAGGATTTGGCAGCACCGTGCTCTAGATTCGGAGGGTAATTTGAAAAAAAGCCGCAAACCCTTTACCCCCTCCCTTCCGCCCCCAATCCCGGTTTATACTGCGAACAGTGGCACAGCAAACGCACACACACACATATATACCCACACACGGAACGAGTGAGCGAGTGAGTGGGAACGGGCCGCCTACCATGGCGATTTACCCCCCCCCCCCCCCAATCCACCACCTCGTTGTCCTCACATTGCCCTACTGGCAAACTTCCATACACCTTGGCTTTTTCGGTTCCGATTTTCTATGTACTGTGTTTCCCCCGCCCCTCGTGAAAGAGTGGGGTCAGAATTTGAGTGTGCGTGTGCGTGTGCGTGTGAGTGTGTACGAGTACTCGAGTGTGTGCATTTGCATGTGTATGGGTGGGTGTGAGAGGAATCCGGGCCGGAGCTGGGGGTAAGGGAGGGGCGTTTTGTGTATCAGTAATTGTTGATTGGTATTACGGTGGGGTAAGAGGGAAGAGCCCGGAATTGAGTTTTTGGTTTTTTTTTCCCTAGTTTTCTTTCTTTTTGCCCGGGGCCTGGTTTGAGTCCTGACCTGTGAGTTACCAGTATTATGATGGCTGGACTTGAGCTGACTGTGTGGTGATGGTTTACTGATGATTGGTTGGGGTACTCGAGTAGGCTCTAGTCTAGGCTTGACCTATCGCCCAATGGTGCTGTTCCACTGTATAAGGAAGTGTGCTGCAGTATAAGTCAGGGCTAACTCCTCATCGAACCAGGCGAGGGAATCAGCGGTCTCCCCGGACCCTGCTCCGGAGCACCGCTCTGCGTTCGCGGCCGGAGAGAAGTGCCGATTGGCTTGAGCTGTTCGGAAGGTACCCGTGTCTTTATTAGGATCTCTCGCGGCGCTGTGCCGTTCTTAGGGTACTGTGCGTATTAGGGCTCTTACTGTAGGACCACAGACCAAGCATTCGAGTGACACCTGGTGGATGATGGGGACAGAAATTCCGGTTGTGAGGGTAGGTGCGGGCGTGGTGTTTGGTGGTGGAACCTGAGAGGGATTTCCTTTCCGTTTCCCGTGTGCTAGGGTGTTACCGTCGCACGTTATTTTGTCCGGTACAGTAGATGCCCGTGTCCCCAATCCCCCGTGATGCATGTGACGCGGTGATTTCCGTACCTAATTGAAGGGAACCCAAACTTTGGGGAACCTTCTAGAAGGTTCTTTGGAAGGTTCTGCACGGGTTAGATTGGTTGTGTCTCCATGAGCTTGTGAATAAGCTAGTGCAGCTGTTCAGTGTTCTCCGAGTGATGAAGTGTGGATAATCCCGACACAAGAGAAAGGGGTTTTTTTTTCATTTTGCCGTGTTCCTACGGGGGACGGGAGGGGGGTGTTTTTTGGGCTTATTAGATAGCCCTCTGAGCGTCTCTGCTGATTATTTTCCCACAAACAATATTCCCCCCCTGGGATCGAGTGATATCACGTTGACAACTGGTGCTAGGCTTGGTTTGGTGGGATAACCGGCTTGGCAAGCCCGTCGTCTTGACACTTGTAAGCTTGTGGCACTAGGGTTAGGGGTCCATGCCCTCCTTCGGTCAACCCGTCATTTCTCTGGCCAGATCGACGAAACTCCTGACTGGCAAGAACACTTCTGCCCGAACGAGTGCCCTTTCTCTTCCTCTTCTTTCCTCATCCTGGATACCCTTTGCGGCCCCTCTTATGATAACCCATTTCCGATGATTTCTCTGCTCATACTCATCGTCGTCTTGACGATCGCCACACATCTTGTGAATACTCTTGGTGCTACGGCGATCAACAATGCAGTTCGCCCCCCCCCCCCCGGATTAACTATTGGTATCTTGCTGTGGTAATAATTCGTTACTGATATGAGGATTACTGCAGCTATGGATGATATATACAAGTCTCCCTACGAAGATTTCGCAAGAGGTTCGGAATCAAACGGCGTTGCAGAAGGAGGTTGTCAAGCTCCGAGCGGATCTCCGCGGCACCAGCTCCCAGGATGAATTCGCCAAGTGGGCAAGGATCCGAAGGGTCCTGGATAAGAAGGTTGCGGACCTGGAGAAGCTAAGTAAGTAACTTTTGGTAACCTGCTGCCTCTGTAGGGGACCGCCACTGATCGGCGCCGATACTGACGATGTGTGTAATAGCCGGCTCCGTCAACGTTGCTCGCACAAAGTTCGATACGAAAACTGGGTTCATCCGCTGGGTTTCGACTTCTGGCGCTGGCTGGGCTATCTCGCTGTGGTATTGTCGTGAACCCGTTTTCTGGATTCCTGAGGGTTGGGTGCCTGGATATGTCGAGTGGGGATTGTCATTCCCTAAGGCCCCCATCGGGAGCGTCTCGATTCAGGTGTGGACATTTGCCGTTACTCAGGTACTCAGGGTCGTCGCTCCTATCATCGGAAGTCTGGTTACCTCTGTCATGTTCATGCGGAAGCCCGTTGCGCCAGTGCAGGCAGGGTCTGGAGAGAATGGCAAGAAGGAGCTATGAAAGATGTCTGTATCATATAGGGCTCGTGATATTAGGGTAACTTGATGTTTTTTTTTATCTCTCTTATTTTAATTTCCCACATTCGCCGGGTTTACCTCACCCGGCCGCTTTTTGTGGGCCCTTCCTTGTCGCCACTGCATGAGTACGCTCATCGAGCTACCGTATTCTGGTGGGCGGAAGAAAAGAAAAGAGATGATCTACCGGTACTGTACTGGGAAGAGCGGCGTTTTGGCGTCTTCTTATGCTTTGTACTCTATGAAATGGTCAGATGAATAAGGAAATAGCGCCCAGTTTGGGTTGTCTGGGCTTGCAGTTGCGATTTGTGCGGGTAGACTCGAGTACGGTATGATACATTGGTCTTCGACTTGATATCACACCCCTCCGTTTGGGAGTAATCAATATTGAGGCGCCTTAGGCCTCATATGGAGACAGGTGATGGAGCTTGGGAGAAGATACTGTATAGGGCCCGGAGGACAAGGCCGCCTGCCGTGTTATCATGGTATTGTGCGGCAGGAGGGCTCTCGGCTGGCTTGTGGAATGTAACGTGCCGAGGGGACTGCAGCGGGGGAATGACAAATATCCGGTCCGCCCTTCTTCTGGCTGACGTGAGGGAGGGGAAAGGAAGTGTCACCTTCACCCCAGTTAAATTACCGGTATTAGTAATCTCTCCGATATCGATTTCCTGGCACTGACTTGGGAATGTTTTGCAATTGAGCGTGAATTGTGCCATCGCTCAGGCTTACAGAGTCATGGAAGGAGAGTGATCCAGACTGCCATATCGGCCGGCCGTGTGCCTGAAGACTCCCGAAATTAGGGTCACCATGAGCACTGGCGCCCTGGAAAGCGAAGGTGTCGAGATGAGGACACCGGAGTTTCGCCTCCAAAGCTTATCGGCTTCCCTATGATACGAGAATTGAAGAGATTTTGCCTCGGCGATTTCGTCACAAGAGGGACAAGTTTCTAATCTTTAATCCGTCTCCAGCCATGTCCAATTCTAATCCATTACGAGTACGAGTACAACCCCACCCCTACCCGCTTGGCGAATGCGGTAATCGCGCGGGAACAGTGAGGGAGGAGAGCCCCCCCCCCCTGGGCCCGCCCTGTCTTCACTGACAAATACCTGTACCTCCCCCCAACACACACGCACACGGCAGTGGAACCTTGATAGCACTCCCAAAAACCCGAATATCGTACCCCTCCGTTACCCCACCATCACACCCAAATTCAATTCAACCCAACCACCCCCCCAAAAAAAAGAAGAAAAGCTCTATTTAAATTGCACCTGTGCACCTTCCCTGGGCTGCGCAAATCCCATCACCATCAACGCTGTCGTCCACATTATTCAAACGCCTCTCATCGCAGGCCACATCCGCACGCCTAACCGCTCTATCACGACACCTCTCCTCGGGCAAGATGGCACCCGTGTCCAAGCAGTACGACTACCTTGTTATCGGCGGAGGCAGTGGCGGTCTCGCGAGCGCTCGCAGAGCGAGTGCCATGTACGGTGCCAAGGTTGGGATTATTGAGAGTGGGAGGTTGGGGGGTACTTGCGTTAACGTTGGGTATGCTTCCCTTCTTCCTTTAACCATCACAGCTGTTTGCCGGTCGGTGTTAATGCGCTTTTTTGTTTCGGGTGGTGGCAGGTGTGTGCCCAAGAAAGTCTCCTGGTATGCGGCAACCATTGCGGAGGCACTGGCTGAGGCGAAGGGGTATGGGTTTGATATCGATGTGAAGGGCTTCGACTGGCCCACCTTTAAGGCCAAAAGGGATAAGTACATCGAGCGCCTGAACGGGATTTACGAACGGAACCTGAAGAACGACAAAGTCGACTACATCGTCGGCCGCGGCCGCTTCATTTCAAGGAACAAGGTGGAGGTTACAGACAACAATGGCGGAAGGACTACATATGGCGCTGATAAGATTCTAATTGCCACTGGTATGCCCCCCTTCTCTTCCGGAGAAGCCGTCCAATTGTTAACCCCAAAAAGGCGGATACCCGAGCATTCCCAACGGCATCCCGGGTGCAGAGTACGGCATCACCTCCGACGGTTTCTTTGAGCTCGACCAGCAGCCTAAAAAAGTCGTCCTCATCGGTGCCGGCTACATAGCCGTTGAGCTCGCTGGCATCTTCCAAGCCCTCGCGAGCGAAACACACCTCATGATCCGCCACGACACCTTCCTGCGCTCGTTCGACCCGATGGTACAGGAGGTGATGGGGAAGCACTACGAGGAAGAAATGGGCATGAAGATCCACCGCCGCTCGGAGCAGACCAAGATCGAGAAGGACGGGAGCACGGGAAAGTTGAGGGTGCACTACCAGGACAGCAATGGCACGGGCGTGCTCGAGGACGTGGATACGCTGATCTGGGCCATTGGGAGGAAGCCGGAAACCGGGGACCTCGGGCTGGATAAGGTCGAGATTAAGAGGAATGAGAGGGGACACGTTATCGCGGACGACTTTCAGAACACTAGCGTGCCGAATATCTTCTCGTTGGGGGATGTTTCGGGAAAGGTTGAATTGACGCCTGGTACCTCCTGCCTCCCCCCCCCCCCCCTCACTTCCACACATACGTACTAACAGCACAATAGTCGCCATCGCCGCCGGCCGCCGCCTCTCCGATCGCCTCTTCGGCGGGCCAAAATTCGCACAGGCCAAGTTGGACTACACCAACATCCCATCTGTAGTCTTCGGACACCCAGAAATCGGCACGATCGGGCTCACACAGCCGGAGGCCGAGGCGAAGTACGGCAAGGAGAGCCTGAGGATCTACAAAACCGCTTTCACCGCAATGTACTACTCCATACTGGAGCATAAGGGCCCCACGGCTTACAAGCTCATCTGCCACGGACCCGAGGAGAAGGTGGTGGGGCTACACATCGTCGGTTTGGGCAGCGCAGAAATGCTCCAGGGATTTGGCGTTGCGGTGAAGATGGGGGCCACCAAGCAGGTATGATGATGATGTCGATTGTGTGACATGTCGGATGGAGGAGCGCGGAGGGCTAATGAGTGAACGAATGTTCTGATATAGGACTTTGATAATTGCGTCGCTATCCACCCCACCAGTGCCGAGGAGTTGGTCACTTTGAGGTGATCACTCGGAATGTTCTCGCTTTCTGGCCCCGTGTGTCTTCTGTGGCGGGGATGCCCTAGCTGCAGCAACCCAGAATGTTGGTGGTTCGGCGATCCCTGTCCAATAAGCAAACGAATAAACATACAAACGGAAATCGTACCTCTTTGTTTTTTTAGTTTTTTTTTATTCTTTTCAAGGCCACTATGTATAAAGGAGGGATTACAGGCTATGGCAATCAGACTGAATAGCCAACAATCAAGAGCTAATGTGAAATATCCTTCCCCACTAATTGCCTTATTGGGGTAGGAGACGGACGAAAGGATGCAAAGTACTGTGTAGAAAGGAGAAGAAAAAGCGAGTAGATATATAATCGCTCCCAAAATATAATTCCACGCCCGCAAAAGTAGTTCCCATCCACAACGTTGCGCAACCTGAATCCGAGATGCCGTAGAAAAGCGAGAAGGTGAGGTGAAAGAAAAGGAAAAGAAAAAGCATTCCCACGTCTCTTCTCCCCTACAGTAGCTACCCGGTTGAATATGTCCGTTCCGGCGATATGATCCAACCTGACGTAGGATCACTCCTACTTTTTCGAACTGCCCCCTCCACCGCTACTGCTACTACTACTGCCCCCCGCACCTGCTGCCTCAGATTTCTTCTTCAACTCCGCTGCGGTGAATTAGTGACTTGTCATTCCGGAATGTGTGTTTCTATGTGTTTAGCGGGGAGGCGTATCCGGGATTGTTCCGGTGGGGGGATACCTTGCTTTTGCTTGTCGCGCATTAGCTGGGCGACCATGTCTTTGTCCTTTTGCATCTCGGCTTTGGATTTCTAGTTGGGTTGGGAAGGTTGTTAGTTCTGCTTGGTATTTCGCCTTCCGTCGCTTGGGCGGAAAGCTTAATAATATGGCCGGTACGAGAAAGTGGCGGAAGGAGGAAAGCTCTACCGTTGACTTGTTTTTCTGTAGAGTGCTCGTCAGCCGCGATGCTATGCCTCAAGTAAGACTCCCCGGAAGTAAACCTACTTGACCCGCTGCGGCCTTCTGAGCCTTTGCACGATCTCTCTCACGCTGTTCGGACAGTCCCCCACGATTAGCCATCCCGCCAACGCCGCTGTTGCTGCTGCTGCCACGTCGCAAAACCCCAGAGAGAGTTGATCCGAGCCCTACCTGATTTCCACGAGTCATGATCTCGTTCTGTCTGCTTTTGGTTTACTGAATGGAGAACTCTTGGTTGCTTGAATCGCTAAGTCGCTTGTGGTGCTGTGGCTGGGGGCCCTTCTCTTTTTCGAGCTGTGAGTTTAATGAAGAAGGGGTTCTGCGGGAGAGAACCTGGCAGAACGAGGCGGAAAGGTGTCGTAGTTTCACAGGGTTAGGGTTGGGTTGTCGTAGTCTCAATTGGTTCAGCTAAATATAATATATCAGACGTGGTTGAATTGGATAGGGAATAAGGTGCGGGGTCACGTTATTTCGATTTTGGTGTCATATGATACGGTACAGAAGCCACGGAGGACGATGAGGCAGTGGTGACAAAGGGGAGGATACTCGTAGGAAGCGTGAGATCCAGCGAATTGAGTGTAGCTGCGAGAAGCGGAATATCGTATGATACATGTACAATCACATTCCAGCGTGTTTTTAGTAAAAACTGTGGGGAACCACCTCTGCTGGCGATTGTCTCCCCCTGGTAAGGTATCATAATATATCGTACTACGGTAATACCATAGGTATCATACCGTACCCGTACTACCGTACCCTTTTCCCCTTACGGTCCACCAATCGTTGCGTGCACAGATACGGTACCCATTTAACTCCTACGGATCTGGAGGGTTCTGACATTTAGTACGATATGATACCGCGGACATTACGTTGAGTTGAATCCGAGCATGAATTAATTGATTAATAAGATTCCTATATCATAGTAAAAAAGTTTGTCAGGATATATAGTACGGATAGCTTACAATTGGATGCACGGATAGTATGAAAGCGGCTTCTCATTATCATAAGAGTCCATAGCTCTCAATAGAAAATACTGTATTTCTACCATCAGACAAAGTGCAATATTTAAGGATGTCCATGAATGAGCAGAACCGCCATTGAATCCCAACTAAAGTGAATAGTAAATACTAGTGCCTGAATGGTCTCCATTCAGCCTTGTAATGCTATTGAAACCTATGGCCATTGAACCTCAAGCAGCTCGGAAACATCAAGTTGAGCGTTATAAAAATAAATAGATCAGTTCTTCGCTTTCCGTTTCCTCGCCGCCGCCGCCGCACCAGCCTGCTACACACTCTCTTTGAATATATCACTTTTTTTTTTTTACTTTAACTTTATTTTCCTATAACACCGGTATACGGATAATTATATCATACAATAAAAAACATATCCTTTTTAACAACCTAAAAGGAGCCGGAAACAAAAACTCCATTACGAAAACCACTATGACGGAGCCTCTCCCCAGAGGTTTCTATATCCTTAATATCATCCGCTGCTGCAGCGTGATCTCCTTGTTGTTAGCTATCATTGCTGCAAGCATTAGCTTGGTGAAGAGCTTTGTTGTAACAAAGGTATATATATATATATATATATATATATACTCCACATCCTTATATTTGTCGATTCATATAACTAATCCCGACAGTTTTACTTCTTTGATGCGATAAATAACGTATTCTTATCGATCTTCTGTGGTAACGCTCTATAAATCTGCCGGCATTATCATACAGTCACTAAAAAAAAAGAGTATGTATAGGACTTCTAGTGATGTCGGAAATTTCAGTCTTTCAATCCTACTTCGACAAGCGCTGGCCCTTACTTGGGTCCAAATCCTCTCTCATAACCATCGGAATCGCTCAAGTGGTTGTCGGATTCTTCCTCCTGGGCAATCTGAACGAGACGGCGGCTTCGAAGCAGAATCTTGGATACTCCTTCAATACACTCCTTACCTCCGCTGGGGTTATCGTCAGCTTTATTGGGGTAGTTAACTTCATTGCCGTAAGTTGCTTCTTTTCTGCTCCTGATTTATGAAGAGTGCGGAACTGATCCTGTTTATATGATGTGGAATACAGTCATACGTTTATAGCAACTCCCTGACCCATACCACTGCGCGCATGGTACGGTCCCGTTCCCACATGAAGGCTCGGGAGCTGGATTGTCAGCACAAGCCGTACCAGTCAAGCTTTACCCCCACCAACAACAGCAATGGTTCTGCCCCGATCGCTGCACCTGCAAGATCCTATTCAGCCAGAAGTCACGCATCCAACCGGAGTCAGGAAACTACTATTACCAGGTCCGCTTCAGCTGGAAGTACCCATCATGATCGCTCCAGACAGCCCAGCTACTCAATTTCTAGCTGGTATTCTAGGCCTTTGGGGAGAGATGAGGTGGCAACTCGGAGGGAGTTTGTTTAAAGACTTTCATATAAGCAGGGATAAAAGGTTGAGATTCATGTTCCTCTAAGGGCATTGTCTTGTTGAATATGTAAGTAAGTAGCTAATTTAACGAGATATCAAGTGGAGTGAGATTCAAATAACAAGATAATAGTACGGGAATAGTAATGAAATGGGAGTGATCGATAAACGCATCACGAATACTACTATTCGCTTGAGCGTGATATTGTCAAGTAAGAGGTGAAACTCAGTTAACAAAAATCATCCGAAGCCCCACGGCTAGGAATCAATGTGGTGCATTGTGTCCAAAGTATGCACCTAGCGCGATGCAATACATAAGGCACAACCCTCGGAAGCGCTTGATTTTCCCGAGCATACTTCTCCCGTTTTTTGTGCATAACTTAGTACTTGTGATATCTTGGCAGTAAGGGAATATAAATAAATGGTTGTCCACTTGGGAAGAATATTTCCCTCTTCCCTCCGGAGGACTCACTTGATTGGTGACTATTGTGCAACCACGGCGAAGGGTTGTCTTGCTTATCGTTCGGGGCACTGGCCTTACAATTAATTCGCTGGGATTGTATAGTGGGATAAAAGTGTAGTATCATAATAATATGATATTGAATTTTCCTGCGACGCCCTGGGCAGTGCTAAGGGAAAAGGAGCGCTCCTAGAAGCAACGAAATGGAGGTTTCGAGTTTGGGGTCAAGAGATAATTCGGATTGAAGGCCTGGCACACATGCACCTCGCCATCCCGAATCGCGCTGAACCGGATACCGGTACCCCGCTGAACCGTGCAGAACCCCTGGCTCCTCCGAATCCCCATGGAATTTTACCCGCTGAACCGGATGCGGTGGTTGCTGCCAGAAAAGCTGTACCAAAGGGGGGAAAGAAGAGAAATGGAGAAGAGTATCGTGGGCTCAGAGTTGAACTGGGAGGTGGAGGCAAAGTATACCGCAGTGACACGGAGGAGAAGGACAAAAAACATGCTGTAGGATCACACATGTGTGGTTCTCCCTCTGTTGTTCCATGCTCCGGGTGTCCCGTCGTTCTGGATGAAATCGGTGGGGTTTGGCCACCCGAGACGGCGGGGTGAGGGTGTAAATAATGCAGAAGTTACCGAGGGCAGAGCGCGGGAGATATGAGTGATTTCATATCCCACACCGTGATATGTGTCTTTCACGTCGAGGCGACGACCCATGCGGCAAGCCGCCGATCATCGTCACCAGATACTGGAGAGGCCTCCCTTCCACCCTATATATATAGGAGAAAGGTAAGACGTTTAGTCTAGGCTTCAACAAAACTTTTTGACTTCCACGACCATGGTGAAAAGGCTCGTCAAAGCTTCGAAAGTGCCAATTGGGTGGAATAGAACAAGGGAATGGTTTGGGTGGTGGAGATAGCGATGAAAGAACAGACTTAAAATTTGAGCGATGTACATGATGGTTGGCGCGGGTTGATGCTTTCCTCTTTGCTGGAGATGTTGGTGTTGGGAGTTCGAAGGGTGGTTCGAGGAAAAATGCGCGGTCTACGGAAGTCTGTCACGTGAGCTTGGCAACCAGGGATATATTTGGCCGCTCCTTGGCAACACTGAGGCTCTTTAAGTTTACCGTAGAGGGTCCGCCATCCGGCCACTTAAGCTGCCGGTAGCTAGATGAGTGCAGCCCAGCTCTCTAACCAACCACCAATATCTCAGGAAATCTCCTTCAGTAGCTACACGATAGGATATCTCCAACATGGCGTCCTCTAGCGAGCAGCTTACCCACGAAGAGATATGGGATGACTCTATTCTTGTCAATACATGGGATGAAGCACTCCAAGAATACAAGGTGAGTTTCAGCGTTCCTTGGCTCCCAAGCAAAAACCCTAGCGAGGCAATTTTTTCCAAACAAAATCCTTGTGCATCAGAAACAAGAAGAAAAAGAAAGAGCATCCAGGCTGATCAATGTTTGAGTACGTTAGAAATACCACAGCATAGAAGCCACTGGTGGCGACGTGAACAAGCTCCTTCAGGAAGCTCGGGGAGAGACGAGAATGCTGGATGCCACGCCTTCTGATCAGTGAGTCCATACATACTTTTCCTCGCCCTTCTTCCCCCGTGCCTGAAAGACCCGTTACCAATGTTGACAGGGGGACAGGCGGCGGTGGTGGTGAAGAGGATACCGGGGTCGCAAGTCCATCACACCGAGAGGATGGCGGAGTGGGTCAGGGTGCTGTGCTACAACACGAGGATGCCCCGGGTGTCAAAAATGTTGATACCTTGATGGAAGATCAAAGGGCGGGAGAAGGGGAAGAGGCATCAACGGTATGCAAGCGCCAGAAAGTCTTGATCGTTGGAACCCGGAAGCTGACGAAAGCAGGGTGTTCAGGGCCCAGCCACTGGAAATCATGAGCAAGCCCCCGTCCACGGAGAAGAGCACGGTATTAGCGACCTACCAAGTCAAACGGTGCCCCCACCCGGACTACCGCCAATCCCGCAGAACATTGTCGGAGGAGCGGGTGAGCAACCAACCTACCTCCCTATTTGGCGCCATGTAGAGCTTGGCACCTATAGATTCCCCTATCTTTTCCCCCCATGAATCCGATGCTAATATCTTGGTCCGTTAGAGAACGAAGTTCTACGTAATCTCATGATGTCTTGGTATTATGCTGGCTATTATACTGGGTTGTATGAAGGGCAGCAGCAGCAGCAGCGGCAGGGCAAGAACTGAAGAAATTGGGGAGTGGATCGTGCGAAACACCCGGTAGCATACCGGTATTACAGATACCTTATCTCACAACGTCGGGCCAAGGTTCTTTAATTAGACATAGGGGAAGGGGTTCACGTAGAAAACACTCGGATACCTGCCTATGCAGACTTGACGGGCTTAGAAGTTTTCGTGCTAAAGTTATTTGTGCAATAATGTTTCTCTCTTTCACACACACACACACACACACTCTCTCTCTCTCTACCTTGACAATAATGGCTAAGAGATAGAAGCGAATATAGGGTGGGAGCGGGATGGAGGAGATGTACTCGTATCCGGCATGAAGTATCTGAAAATGAGACGCCGTTTTTCCCCCACCAGTATGTATAACACAGGCCGTACTCCCAGATACTGTACGAGTACTCGAGTACTTATTGCCGGATACAAGTATTCGTACAAAGGGGTGTCGAGACTTTAGTCGATGGCCGGCCATCACAGGAGAGCAGGGTGGGAGATTCCACCGATCCAACTTCTCCATCCATCCTTCGACAAAATTTAGGTTTAGGGTGCAGGAGGGAGAGAGAGAGCTCTAGCAGAAGTAACAGGGTGATGAGACGAGGTATGTAGGAAGGAGTTTCCTACCAGTACGGTATGATACTGAATCCATCCGCATAGTCAGCAGTGTGCAAGCGCAGCACCGTACGGTAGTCCAGTCTACCGGCAGCTGAAAGAAGGCGGTGGCCATGAGGGAAAGCGCTATCCCGGCGAAGTGGGCAATCCGCAATGGGTAAAAAAAAAAAAAAAAGGTGCTCGACCAAGAAGTGCAGTCTAGCCCCCTTGTGGGTTGGCGCCCAACTCAAACGCTGTCAAGCCTTCTGACACACTTCTCCAGACACCAACAGAGCCCCTCCCCCACCACGACAACCACAAGGGGTGGCACTTTGGTGACACCCGTGGGAAGTCTTTTTGGCGGTATGATACCGGTATCCCGTCCATATTCAACCAATACCTTCTTAATACGGGCTCCAGTCTAGATACCAAGAAGGGAAAATGCTGCAACAGGACCCACCGCCCCCCCCCCTCCCTCCCCCTTTACCCCATTCTCTTTTTTTCTATGTTTCCCCCTGCCCTCCTTGACTTGGTATGGCGACGCCGTTGGGGATGTCAATGTAGGGCAGTATCAGGAATGGTTGTACCTGCAGAGACTCCTCCTTGTAGGGAGGGAACTGGGGGACCGAGAGTACGGGGCCGATGTTGTGCTCCCACAGATTATTGCTCTGCCCTCCTCAACTTATGTCCCTTTCCTGGGCGCCGGGAGCGCATTTTGGAATATAAACACAAACCTCCTCGCCCCACCTCGCATCTCTCTCACTCTCTCCATCTCGCCCGCTCACTCAATTTGGACCGAGTCGTTTCCTTCTTCCGTCAAGCATCCCCTTTTGTTTTCTCCTTCCTTTCATTACGAGCAGGGCCTCGACATCTTCTTGCGCACCCTCTCAGTATACTCTCCTAGTCTCAATTATACACTCTCTTGCGAGCAAGACTTTCTCTCTTTCCTTCGTCCTTTACCGACTTTTTGCTTTTCCCGCTGAGCGGCGTCCAATCGGTCATTATTCAAAGCAGTCCAAGTATATCCATCCATTGGAGTAATCTAGCTTATATCAATCAAACCGCATTCTTGAGAAGAAGCAGAAGAAGAAGAAAATCAAAGAATATGAGGCACTCTTCAGCAATTTCAATCCTCTCCGCTATCGGTGGCGCTTTGGCTACCAACCATGTGGTGTCATACCCTGGGTCGGCGCAGAGTTCTCCCTATGCAGTATCGGCTACGTACACAACCTACGATCCCGCTCCGGTTCACACAACGGCTGCGGTAACGAACAAGGCCACATATGTCGCCAGTATGGTTCCCCCGGTCGCGTCTGGTGGTCCGATGACACATACTGTGGGTTTAATCCATCCCCTCCAGTGGGAACGATGCCCTAGCGGGGGTTAGCCCTGAACAAATTGTACTGGTACTGATGTCGGATAGGTCACCGTGGGCGGTATGGCCGGCCTTATCTATAATCCTAGTCAGGTGATGGCGCAAGTTAACGACGTCGTCAACTTCGTCTTCATGAGCCAGAACCATACTGTCACTCAGTCGAGCTTCGACAAGCCTTGCAACAAGCTGTCCCCCGATGCCTTTGACTCCAACTTCATGCCGAATCCCAACAACACCATGAACCCTGCTCCCACATTTAAGTACACCGTTACCGCCAAGGAGCCCACATGTAAGCCTGTCGATCCTGGTTTGGACATTCGGGATGCTAATGAAACCAGGGTGGTACTGCAAGCAGAGAACTGGTAACCATTGCGGAATGGGAATGGTCTTCGCCATAAACCCAACTGCAGAGAAATCCTTCGAGATCTTCAAGGCCAATGCCATCAAGATCAACGGAACAGCAGCATCGACCACCGGTGCCGCAGCCACGGGGTCTGCTGTCTCCAGCACTGTCACCCTCATTGGTGGCGGTGGGACCACCGGTGCCGGTGCCATTACCAGTGTTAATGGTGGGGCTGTGCCCACAGGATCTGCTGCTGCGCCAATCGTCACCGGATGGAACCAAGGCGCCTCTGGTGCCGCTTGCAACTGCGCTTGCTTCTGTGGTGTTGGCGCTTACCCTGCTGGGGACGGTGTCGGAGCCTATGGTGGCGTGGGAGGTAAATATTACTCTGCGACTCGATTGTTTTCTACCGTGTATTAACGAATCGCTAGGATCTCTCCCGGCTCCTTGGTAAATTCTCTCGTCGATAATTTCTCATTTGCCTCTCTAGTTTTCCATTTTCTTCTCATTCTTGTCTGCCTAAAATACGGCTTGATACAGGCTTTAATATATATTCCATATGGAGTTCCTTCTTTGTTTATATGGACGTTGGCGGGGAGGGGGGGAGGGAAGCATCCGAATCCCGTTTTATGCCCCATTTTTTAACCATTTAAGAAAGTCGAATAAAGACGGATACATTGTAAGAGTTGGGCCCGAGGCCTTGGGGACGAAATTCTGAAATAATGATTTTTTTTTTCTTTTTCTTCTTTTCTCTGTTTGTTTTTCGCTTCTTGGGGATACTGTATTATAGACATATCTTTCAGAGGCCGTCTCCCTCCACCCCTCTTTTCTCCTTGGACCCAATCTTCTCCGCTTTTCTTCTTCTTTTTCACATAAAGATGTGAAGAGTGGGTTTCGCTCAATATGCTGGATCGTATGTGTTAATAATTGTTGCGTCTTTGTTGCCCCCTCTCCCCGTTTCCTCCCGCGCCCTTTCATTCCTACGCAAGTATCATGCCGGTACATGTACAGTACTAGTACTTGGATGCGATGGGATGGGATGAGATGAGATGAGATGTGCATAGTTTTTCTTTTTTTTTATTCTTCCCTTTCTTTTCTCTTGGTTGGGTAAGATGACACTGCACGGAACATGTAATGTACGAGTGGTGAGGGGAAACAACAGATCAGACAATAGACATCTGGATACTCGAACGGTTTCGAGATTCTTTTTTCTCACAGGGAAACCCCGTTTTGTGCTCTCTTACCGGTAGTCCAGTCCAGTACGGCACGGTACAGTATTCGAGTGCTGTGCTGGTACAGTGCTCGGGTATAATGCATAAATTTAACGCTCAAATCCACCGCTACTCGTGCAAAGGGGCTTGTTTCGCGTGGTCGGGAAGGGTCCAGCTCAGGGGTTGGTTGGTTTCGGGCGATCGGCTTGGACATGGAACGGAATGTTCGCTCACTGCAGGATTATACAAAGGAGTCGGATCCTGGGGTACTGTATCGTGCCCGTAACTTGGATACATCATGCGAGTGGTGTAGACTATAGTCTACTTGAACACCCCTGCGAGCACAGCACGATACAAGTACCGGTGCCTTGTATCCGAGCATGGCCTTACCGTACCCTACCGTATGACACTCGTGGGGGAAACACAAGGACTTGGAGGTGTTTGAAACTACTGTAGAAATAGCCCTGGTTATGGGATAAGTGTATGGTGTAACCAGTGCTCGAGTACAGTACCGTATTGGGACTCTGTTTGAATGCAGGGATTTGCCCTTGTCCGGGGGGGGGGGGGCACTACTAATACCGTATCCGCTTCGTCTACGAGTGCGGCCGATAGATATATTAGTCACGTGAATTCTCGTCTTAAAGCGGCAAGATAGCAACACTCAAGATCATCATAAAATCGTCATCAAGCCAGCATCCCATAAGTATTCATACCAAACAACCGCCCACTGGCACAGCATCCAGAGATCTGCACTTTTGGAATACAAACAACCTGCGAGTATTTTCATATTTATTTTTTTCTCTCTATTGAGCTGTTATGGGCCGTACACGAGGAGCAGCCGAAATCTCATTGGAAATTCGCTGTGCAATCCTTGCTCTACACCTCTTTACCGACAAGACTTGGATTGATATATCAAAATGCCTTCTTGTCAATCCAGTTACGGCACAAGTGATCTGTACAAAGGCAAAGGTAAATATAAAATAAATTGATTTTAAAATATCAGAATATTCAATAATACTTGCCAATTTTTGTTTCATTTCATACTAAGAAGAAGTAGGAGCGAGCAACCGATCCGAATGACTTTTACGATCTCTTCGCGACACTTCAAAGCCTTGATCGCCCAGGTCGCCCAGAGATTATACCAGAAGGCTCAGAGGTATCTCTTGCCTTAAAGAGAGCATCACAGGAGGGTCCTGAAGGTTATCAGAAAACCTTCCCCCGTCTCGCAAAAGATCTGGATATCAAGGCTGCTCGTTCAACGATTGAACAAGTAATGCATAACCACCACAACATATATCGATTTCGACCTACTCAATCCAAGCCGGCTCTCAATCAGTATCATAAGGAAGATAGGCTAAACTATGCCTATTGGGCTATACGAATGGATCCTCGGTAATTCATCCTTCCTCTATACTTGTCCCTTCCTGTCCTCTGAAAGTTCTGCGATTCATTTCTGCTTTCCAATAGCTGTATGGTGCTCCCCACCTTCTACTTACTGTACTGTACCCCTCAGGTTCAGTATTCTTTTTCATTATTTTTCTCATCGTATAGCACCCTACCCTATCCTCCCCTCCGGGTATACTAGTGCCCTATTGTTTTACAGTGCAGTACCCTATCCTCTTAGGGTATAGTGCTCTGCCCTCCTCTCACAGTATAGTACTCCGCCCTCCTCTCTCACAGTACCGTGCTCCGTCCTCTTCTTATGTTGTGGTAGCCCGCCCTCCTCTTGTGGTGTAGTACCCCCGATCTCCTCTCCTAGCATGGTACCCCCACCCTTCTCTTATAGTGTAGTACCTCCGCCCTCCCCTTATGGCGTGGTACCTCCGCCCTTTCCTTATGGCCTAGTACCTCCGCCCTCCTCTGATGGCATGGTACCCCGCCCTTCTCTAATGGCATGGTACCCTGCCCTTCTCTAATGGCATGGTACCCCGCCCTCCTCTAATGGCGTGGTACCCCGCCCTCCTCTGATGGCATGGTACTCCGCCCTTCTCTGATGGTGTGGTATCCCACCCTCCTCTTATGGTGTGGTACCCCGCCCTTCTCTTATGGCGTGGTACCTCCGCCCTCCTCTTATGGCGTGGTACCTCCGCCCTTCTCTTATGATATAGTACCCCCGCCCTCCACTTATGGCGTGGTACCTCCACCCTCCTCTTATGGTGAGGTACTCCCACCCTCCTCCTATGGTGAGGTACCCCCGCTCTTACCTCATGGAGCGGTTCCTTACCCTTTCCTTCTGGTGTGGTACCCTGCCCTCCCCTCGCAGCATGGTGCCTAACGCCTCCCTTGCTCTACTCTATGAAGGTACAGCCTATAAGTTTTAGGACCTGTTTGGCAATGACCGTTCCGTTCCGTTCGTCTGTACAAATTGCCTTATGGTTCCATTCGTGAATGGCTATTTTGTATGTACGAACGGAACAGAACGGTTGTTGCTGAACAGGCTCTTATATATTCCACATGAGCTAATAGTTATAAACCTTGCTTGTGGAACCTACAAAACTTATGGGCTGTTCCTCTGTATATTTGTAATCTCTATTCCACTACCAACACAAGACCTTTGTACTAAAGGCAACTCTAATGTCCAAGTTCTATATTCTCATACTTTAGTTTAGAGAGTAATATATATTATATTTAACTAATAAAATAATATAACTAGGTGTTTTATCTATTCGGATGAAACTTGGGTTGAAATTGGACACCCACGACGTCCTCCAAATATCTCTCGTCCTCGGGGTTCAAACCCGCTCGATTACGCTACCCAGGATTTTGTCACGGCTACCCGGCGTGCTGGACGTGGAGGAACATTGGACTTTTGGTTGCATATATCGGCTGTGGTTTCTTTGGTTGTGTTGTAGGATTTCCTTTGTGTTATGATTGGGATAGGTTGCCACGCGATGGAACCTGGCGGAACATGACGGAAAGATCGCGGCTGCGCGCGACGTCAAGGACTTTCTTTTGTATTAGTGATCATGGAGGATTTCCTATCTATATAAGGGGGTGTGCCCCCTTATACTTTATGTTCTTTACGCAATCTGGTAATCTCCTTTGGACA